TGTCCCCATATCGGCAATGAGTTGCGATTGTCGGGTATCCTGTATAGTTTCTGGTAATATGGAGGATGATCGATTCGGGTCCCTCTCTTGACTCGACCGTCGCCCTGACGAACCCTGCAGCACGCCTGATTTTCCCTCCCTCTTCCCTCCCGCTTTCTATCTAAAATCTGATCAGTGCAGCTACGTGGCTGTCTCTCCGTCGTCGCTGTGGAACAATTGTCTGCATGGATGATGAGCAGCTGAGCAGGTTCGATCATCGAAGGAACGTACCCCTCAGCTGCATGTCATGAAGAGTCTTATTTTATTTCATTTTTTGCTCAATCTTTTTGTCATTATTTTACCTTGGGGGAGGGGTTTACAGTAGTAGCGGGGATATGTGGATTTTTTAAATTTTTTATTTTTTTACCCCTCCCGGTATTTTTTTTCTCTCGATCCGGGGCATTTACTACCCTTGTACTCGGTGCCTATCGTCGGTCGTGGCATCTTTAAGATTAGAGATTATGCTGGTGGATTCCGAGAATGGTGTGCATGACATGGGATATGCATGAAAGACGTGGGTGTGCTTCTATAGCGAACTCCCAGTAAGTGGGTTGACGGTAGGGGCAGACGGGGAACTGTTTGCTGCAACACCACGAGTCGGATAGTATATACAAACGACCCGATCTTCGGTGAACAACCAAACCAGCCCGTTGGTATCGACCCAGTACCAACTAAAATGGGTACTTCGAACCCACATCCGATCAACAAGGTCCATCTATTCCAGAAAAACACACCCTTGCCTCCCCTGTCCCAGATATCAAGCAGTAAGATATATTCCGGGGAATGATTGTCCGTCCATCTGATTGATGATGATATAATTACCTACCCTACCTGCTCTGGAGAAAGACACATCCCCACCTATGATATGATATAGATTAACGCATGTATGTATCTCCTACGGACAACGGAGTTCTGAGTAAGATCCCCTTCGCTCTCTCTCACCCCCCACAATATATCCGACCAGGATTGACCCCCCTGTTATGGACCGCCGTTGGTCCTCGGGTCACGATGAACCGACCTCACTCATCTCCGTCCCTAAGGGCAACCAAGGCCCTAGGCGGAGCGAGCCCCGAGCCTGGCGACTGGATAGGAGGAGAGGCGTTTCTTTTTTCTCGCCAGCGCTATATCCCGCGCCTACGACCTACATTGGATATACTCCGTTACGCCAGTCCGTTCGATGAGGCGAAGCTGAGGCGTAACCCGAAACAAAAACAAAAATGTGACTATACGAGTGATGAGATGAGGGAAGGGGTGACAATAGAAACTAAAAAAAGGAAAAAACCATAGTAAATAAATGTTTATTTATTTCCAAAATAAAGGGAGTAAAAAAGAAGCGAAGGCTACACCCGACGTCAAACGTCAAGCAAATGAAAAATTAAGCGAGATGTTGACATCAACCATCACCATCACAAATTCAAATCATGCGGATGCCCATACCCGCTTCATCCTCTGGAAGGGGAAAAGGGGGAAGGGGAAGGCAAATTGAAACCCGACGGGTAAGCCAGAACAGAGCTGGCATGTCAAATCTCAAATCGCATATCTTCATCCATCTTACAACTCATCCGTCAGGTGTTCCCGAAAATCTGGACCTTGACGTGCAACATCACATGATTGCCGAAACGTGCGCCTGTGATACTTGGGGGCTGACACTGACGGACAGGCAGTCAGAGTCAGTCGGTCGGTCCGCCCGTCAGTGATAAGGGAAGGAAGGGGGGAGAGGGGGGGTCAAAAAACACAAATCCAAAGTGATAGCTGAAGGCGGTGGATCGGGAGGATCTCCTTAATCCTAGTTCCCCGAACCACTTACCTGGGGAGCAGGGGGTTTACTTTCCTGCGACCCAACTGTGGCGGCTGTTAGTTTCCCTATACTGGATTAAACTAGGACCGCCGAGCTGGAGAAATTCTTTTCTTGCCCCGTGACAATAAAAAAAAAATAAAAAAATAAAAAAAGAAAAATGAAGAAAAAGAAAAAAGACCAAGACTTTGACACCTGCCCTGGGGCAGACCGGGGCAGGGCGCCTAAACAAGGCCCAACGGATGGGCGTCAGTAGGGTTATGTCAATTCCCCCCTCCCCGGCTAAACACTCCCTACTCTATTCTGTCCTATGCTACTTCGTATACATGCAAACGGCCCTCATCTGCCATCGCCCCCTTTGATCTCATACTGACAACTGGCAGACCGACACAAGCCCTTGTGACTTACCGCAGAGTAAGAATGAAGCGGCTGTGACCCTGATCTGTTGACTTGCTTTTTTTAATATTTTTTTTTTTTCTCAGCCGAGTCGTCATCAAGAAGGGGCAAATACAGGAATTCCTCCAGGGATGCGTCGCAGACTTGATTATGATATGTAGCAGGCAATGCTTGGGGCCATCCGCCATCCAAACGCGACAGATAAAAAAAAATCGTAATAAATTCCAAAAGAGTGTCCCGGGATAGGGACTGTGCATACCTGCAGAAGCAATCAAGGAACCGATCAAAGCAATAAGAGCTAAGGCGATCAACCAGATCGGGAACCACCCTTCTGTTCCCCGGTATGCGACTCCGCCTGGGGGTGGGCAATTTTAATGATCGTGATACATACCACCGGCCAATGGGTCGCCAGTACAAAGTCGGACATCCAGGAGATCGATGCTGAGGCCATTTCAGCCGGCGTCCATCGTGGGACTAACTACGTCGACGTGTCATATGGAAAGGGAGTACAGCCAACGACACCTCCCAGCCCGTACCTTATCCAAGACCCGGACGGGGAGAGCGAGACTGTACTTTTTACTTCTGATTATTTGTGCCGAGGGGGGTGAATGGCGGATAAACATCACATCAAACGGCCGGAAAATTGGATCCCAGGCAATGGATCGGGTCGGATTGAGCGATAGATTCGCAACCCAGAAAGGAAAAAAAGCAATAAAAAAGGGTTTACTCGCTAGTTCCGTATGCGAGAGAAGCAGGAAAAAGTAAAATGCGGCTTCAGAAGTAGTCCAGAACGTCCAGGGTTACCTTACCTACTCCTTGGGTAGGCCATATCAACAAGGCATGATTTACTGGACTTAGAATGGACTCCGAAAACAAGTCCGTGGCGAAAGCAGTTTAATTAACGGTGGAAAGTCAGCAGGCCTCAGAATGGCAACGCGGCCTGGTGAACTGTCAGTCATGCTTTCGGCAGGGGCCAGAACAGAAGAGCTCTGCGGCAAGACATGATCCTCGACCTATACGGCTTGGCCGGTTGTCGTTCCGGAGTATCTCCCAGCAGAGCTAACGGGGATGAGGTACCTCCGCGTTTCTTCCCCCGGGCGGCCTGACCTTTTTTACAGGGACGTTGCTTATGGTTTTACCTATTCAATCATCATTACTCAAGGCGTTGTTGACAAGTGTGGAGTGATATCAGGACAGTTCACCAGGGCCAATCAATCGAGACCCATTTTTGAGGAAGTCAAGTGACGCGAGTGATTGCGAGGTGAACTGCAACGAGGATTCGAGGGGCGCCTTAGTCAGCGGCCGCAGGAGGAGGTCACAGGACAAGCCGATCTTTGTCTGGATGTTTGTCTAGAACCAGTTGCTTCCTTTGCATCGTTCGGGCTATTTACCATCGCCCTCGATATTTTTAGGTAAGATCGTCTACGCTCTCTGAGGACTCCAGAGTATTCACGGCCTGTTCCTTCCATCGTATGACACGTATGTCCCCCTTTTCATTCACGCGTTGGGGTTAATTTTGGATGCGGATTTCCTCTCCCGGATCCATCTTGACAGGTAGAGTGGTGGAGAGGGAGAATTGGTCAGTCGACACCTGGTCGATGTATAAAATCGCGGCAGTATGTACATTCCTTGAACGGAGAGTAAGACCGCACCTGGATGCAGTACCTGTTGAAGTGGATCTGTATAGAAGACCGCATTCACCGTATCTCGCGTACCTCCAATACCCTGTTCCGTACTTTTTTCTTGGGTGGGACTCCGGAAACAGACCGGTAATATTACACCGGTCATAACAAGGTATGAAATACCAGACGACCCACGGGGGTACTCCGGAAGTAACGCACTAAAAAAAAGAAAAAAAAAAGAAAAGTAAATTAAAAAAATAAAATAAAAAATAAAAATGAATATTCTTTTTTTCCCTCCCCCATCCAGGCCCCGACGATGAAGGAGGCGCGGCTAGGATCCTTCCTTTTTACTTACCGCCATCGCCATCCCCATCGTTGGTCACCGCAGAACCTGTTCCTCGGTACCCTCGTCGGGCTTTTCTCTGTGTGGCCACCCTCGATTTCCTTTTTCCCTTTCCTTCTCCCCTTGTACCGTTACCATTTTCATACACCATAACCACACCCCCCCGTCCCATCTCCACCGACCCGTCATTAAGTATCTATCTTCCCTTTTCCTCCTTCTTCGTCCGCTCCACCCACTAAGTTTCTCCTCCCCCATATTTCTCTTTTCTTAATTTTCTCTTCCTCTCTTTCTCTTCCCTTTCCCTCTTCAATCTCTCGCCCACCCTCCACGCGATCAACATCTAGACTCGCCCTCTCGTTCTTTCCCGAATCCGGTAAATCTAAACTTCGCCGGCAACTGTTCCTCTCTTGCCCTCCTTTCGACCGACACCTGCTTCCGGTCGATTTCCCGCTCCGTATCGCCTGGGATTCTGAGGGATTGATCGTTCTCGACTACTCCATCTCAATTGTCGATCCACTCTTACTGCCGGCCGCCTCGATTGCTCCCAGTCCCTCGACTTGACTTGCTGCATCTCACGACAGCTCGGGCGCCAGTTCTCTCCGTCATATTGGATTCCAATCACGCCGCCGGGACGCGTACGACCGAAATCGAGATCTGGGGAAATATCTTACGAGACCAGGGAGCTCTTCCGCATCGCCAATTTCGCGCCGTACGACCACGCTCGGGGGAGACGGCGACCCCGAAACTACACACCATAGATCGTTTGGAAGATTTTGAAAGGCTGAGAGCCGGGACCGTTGACAAGATGCCTTTGAGTTTATCAACCCCCGTTCTGACGGTGGATACGGAAAAGATTCACAAGGTGGACACGGCCAATGCGCAGAGTCTTCACGGGATGTGGATGGGTAAGTACCTGCTTCCGGCTGCTTCCCCTTCGCTCTCATGCGATCGATGGGATTTGGAAAAGCTGACTCGTGGACTGGAATAGTCTTTTCGAAATGTGCCGACTACATGGAAGAAGGCCGTCGATTGGAGAACCTGAGTTGGAGACTCTGGACACGTGAGACGTTCTGCGTGGAACCGGAAACATCTAGCGATACGTCCGTCTTGCCACTCCTGCGCCAGGAGGCCGGTGACCTGCCAGAACTCTCCGCCAGCGTGGAATCTGCTGCTTCGGATCAAGCGGAGCGGATAGAACATCACATCAAGCGTCCCAAGTCTGACTACAGGCCCGCTGTCGTTCGTGAAGATTCTCTGCTGAGCCTCGGCAGAGGCAGAGAGAAGCACATCACATCACTAGGTCTGGAGCGAATGGTCCTCAACATCAAAGAGAAGAGGAATCTCGAACCCCTGTCCCCCATGACTACTCCTGCCCCTCCCGTCGTCGACATCACCCCTCGACCGTCTACTCCCACTCCCACTCCTCCCTCCGTCTCTACCACGAAACGAACTCCCCCCTACCCCATCAGCCAACACCAACAACCGAACCAGTCTACGGAATCTTGCTCGACCACTGCCCCCGACTGCAATGAAAGCGATGCTGCCAATACCACCGCTTCCGACACCAGTGTCTCCTCTTCCGGCATCCTTCCTACTCGTCCTGAATTGATTAAGTCGCCCAGCATCGTCCGTGGTTTCTCTCCCTCGCATGTGTCCTCGTCCTACCGGTCGCAGCCAAACCTGGTTGCCGAACCAAGCCCTGCCAAGTCTACGCAACTCAAGCCACTGCCCTTCAAGAAGAAGGGTGGTATGTTTACCCTGGGTGGCTCGTCCGGTGATGACGACGAAAGCTCTTTCGAAGATAGGATGGCGATGCAAGGACCGCACCGTAGCTCGCTTTCAGATGAATTGGGCAAGTCTGCCAGCAACCAGCCAAGCCCGAAGAAAAAGGTGACCTCGTTCAAGGACCAAGTTGGAACCATCAAGCCCATCAAGGAGCGACCCATCGATAACGACGAGGATGCTATTGAGACCGAGGACGAGGTTTCCGAAAGCGCCATTGAAGACGACGAGGACTCGGATTGGGAAGATTCCGTGACGGAAAGCGGCCGGTCGAGCGTGGAGGAAAACCAAATGTTCCAACGAGTTGATTCGCGACCGAATCTGGTTTCACGACGCTCCCTTCTGACAATGATGATGCACCAGCCCACGAAGATGGGAGCCACCCGATCGAGCCCAGCTTTGCAACGGTCGCGCTTGACATCACCCAACGGACCTTCGATCCCCGCCTCCCCACCCGAGGATGACGAGGAGAACCTGACTATGCGCGGACCCGACGTGCCTCGCTCCAAGCCTATCATCATGAAGCCTTCCCCGCAATCGGTCGCCCACTCCCCTCGGACGACGCGAAGAAATATGCTTGCCACCGAGTTGACCGAGTCTCTTCGCCGCCACCTTCTCTGGGAACGGCAACAGAAGAGTACCACCGCCAACGCCTTCTTGAAACGGCGACATACCGCTCATGACATGGCGAACCTGCAAGAATACCCCGGTCCTAACGGCAGTCAGAAAGGACAGGGCCCCAGTCAGGGTATTGGCATGACAACTGCCAACGCGTCCAATCAGAGCAATGACAAGGATGTTGCGAAAACCGGTTCTTGGACGAATTACACTGATTTCGGACCCTGGGAGTACCACGTGAAGGGATGGTAAGAAAGCACCGTTGTGTTTGAGATCCATCTCCATCCAAACGACCCTCAAAACAAAAAAAAATTTCCTTTTCTATCCGTGTCAGAACATGCCCTTTCGGTACTGTTGATTGACCACGATACCCCTCTACGCATACGCATCATTTCCTTTTTGTTTATGTAAAGACCCTTGATTTGAATATCCCTGTGACACGTACGATCACGACTCTGCATTGCATCTTGGCGCACAACGGCATCATATGGTTGTTATTCCTGACCTAATCTTGCTTTCGGGTCTTTTTTTCTTTGTTTGTTTCTGGTCATTGCATTGTGTGGCTATCTGCTCTGTTACCATTATACGAGCCACCTAGAGGACAACGCCTCGTTTACGCAATTAATATTCATGTACAGATGATCTCATTTGTTTCGACGGCCGGGATTGGCATTTCTCTTTGGACACGGGGTTTTTTCATTTTTACGAATTTCTGTTCGAATATTGTTTTGGGTGGAAACCTTAAAAGAGGATGTCATTGTCGCGTCTACTTGCCTGCTCGCGTTTCATGGCAGCAAGACAAAAGAAAACCACTGTTTATCATGCATTTCCAAAACCTGTCATCTTGCTTTATCTTCTGATACCAGATACCATATTATGCGTTGTGATTTGTTTCCAAGTTCTTTTTTCCTGGACTGCAGTTGGGTCTAGCCTGCACATGTGTCATGTATGTTATAGTAAAAATTTCCTTTTCAGTATTATTATCAAAATAATATAAAAAGAAATAAATACGATGAATCCATGTTCAGTACGATAACCTACATACCTTATCTAGCATCGAGTCCAGCTACCTGGCCTATACCAGACGCACTGACGGGGTTAACAGCGCCCGATCTTAACGGGCGGCACCGGCGACAGTCCAGCTCAGCGTGCAGGTTCCTGTCGCGATCTAGAATCGTCGCACTGATCCCTTCACATGCCGTGCAAGATTCTAAATCAATTATTAATTAACACTAGATTAATTCCATTTGTTGCTACGAGTAAGCTGGACTGGTCTTATACTTAGCTTATCCTTTTAGTATTCCTATTGTTTTGTGTTCACCGCGTGATAATCCATTCTCCATTGCTCCTACAATATACCAAACCCACCACCCAACCAAAACCTACGCACCTCGGTAGCTACATAGGTAAGTAGGTAGGTAGGTATGCACATAAAATAAAAACCCTAGCTTCCCCGTCCTACCTCCATCCAAACTGCTGAATTGTCATCAGTCCGAGGGTATGACGGCGCAAGGAGCCCAGAGCCACTCGGATCGAATTCAAGGTGACATGGTATTATGACGGCATGCGCGCACCAGCGCACCACACCACCTCCCTCACCTTACCTTGTCGAGCTGGTTTCTGTGGAGGTGTAGCTGGAGCTGGGGATTCGGCGGCCATCGAGTTGCTGATGCTGTGTTATGGAGTTGGGTTTGCGATTGGGCTGGTGGGGAGGGGAGGGGTTATCTGGTTTGGTTTAGTTTGTGTAGGTAGAGAGGCTTTGGATCTCTTCTTGTAGCTTCGGCAGTGTACGCATATTGTTTAACCACACTATCACTATCTATCTAGTTTACGACTGCTTGCCACGACTGGGCCAATTTCCGAGATAACTTACAACTGAAGTCCGGCGTAGCTCTAGACCATCACATAAGCACTAAGTCCTGCGTCGCCTTTCCTGCCTATTCTGGACGCCCAGTTATATACAGCGTCGTACACCGTCCCTCCGTGGCTATAGTTATGTAAGTAAGCAAGCATGTCGGGCCGAGTTAACCATCGTACAGAAGAAAAGAAATGCAAGTCATGCTCGCACGTGCATTTTGCATTTATCTCGACGGCAAATCCGGGGATGGGTCGGAAGTTCGCGTCCAGACAGTCGCTGTGATCTTAAGATTAGAATTAGGATTAGGATTCAGATTCAGCCTATGGGAGTTTTTTTTTTTTTTTTTCTTTTCTTCTGACAAGCTTCAGATTCAGCTTCGATTCGATTCAGATCAAGTGTGTTTGCTAACTTTTTTTTTTCTTTTTCGCGGGGGAGCGTAACTTTCCCTCCCACCACCCCGGATGACCATGACGTAATCAATACTAACTATCTTTCTCAACTACGTTGCATTCGACGGGGTCAAATGACAGATTATGTCAATTCGAGAGTAGATACACATCATCGTTGAATCATTCCAGGCTTTGGATTCGAGATTTAATCACTGTATGGGGAATGGAGACGCTGTATTAAATATTAATAGATCTGGCGTCGTAGCACAGTGCTCCGTGGCCGATGCTTGAAAGAGGAATTATGGAGTATCTGGAGGAGATGGGAATAATTAGTAAGATTCTTCATAAATGATAAAATGGACGCACGAAACCTTCCCCAACCTCAGACCTGAGAGGAACGATACAGCTAGGCGACTTGGAGGGTAGTGTGGGCAGTATGAGCCTCTCAGTAGGCAGTATCCACTGGTATTCAGGAAAAAGAAAAAAAAAAAGAAAAGAAAAACGAGGGAAAAAAAAACCTCGTCCCTGAACTTCCCGACCACCATACCCAATCGACCAAACCTTGACGTCCGACTGTTCCCGACAAACGTGGAGAAAAATCCTGCAAACCATCGCGGCTGGAACTGAAAACCCGTCGACCGGATCTCCAGCTTTCCCTGGGGGCTTCTGATTCGTCGAGATAGGGCCGAGCTTGTCCCGATTGAGTTTACCTCGAGGATCGAGGAAGAAGTTGGATTTTCCATGTGGATCTTTCTTCTCCCACGCCTTCCTCTGGTCAGTAGCCAATGGCCAACTCGTCGTCCCGGTCCTGAAATCTGGACCGTTGCTGAGTCAAGGCCTGTTTTTCCAGCTGGCGGGCCCTTAACCTGACGGTGGAGTCTGGCGGCGGGGAAGGCAAGGTCGGGCAGATGGGTGATTCGTTGTTGGAAGAGGTGCTAAACTTCACCGGTACGAGTGGCCCTGTTATACAATGACAATGTATCGGGCATGACGAGGGTGTGGTTCTGCTTGTCAGACAGGTCTAGACACTACGGAAGTCCTTAGACACTAGGCGGTATGTACGGGCGATGTTGTAAGCATGTATGTCACTTGTGTTGTGCTTGAGTTTGGCTAAAACTTGATATTCGACAGTCGACCCTCTCTGTCTGTCTGTGATGCTTTTGTATGGACAAGGCTGGGAAGGTGGGGGAGTCTAAGGGGAAGGTTTTTCTCTCTTGCATGCATGGATTCGGGCTAGACTGGGCTTTTTGATCGAGTTGGGAGGTTTAGTCCGTGGAATTTTTCTCTTTCGGAATGCCGGTTGTGTGTGTTTTTTTGTGGCTGGCCCGATTCCCGACCGAGGGGGGTTCGGCATGCCGAGTTTTTTTGCTCGGGCTCGGGATGTTGGTTCTTCAGGAATATGGACTCACGGAGGCTTCATCTTTTTGTTCTTTTATTTTCTTGTCTTTATTTGTATACTGCAAGAGTAGTCTGCATGTTCGTAGATTTCAGACAGACATCACAGTATCCCATCCCAAAGCTCCTCTAAATCTGACCTCATATCCCTCTCCATACCAACTAAAAACCAGATACACACTCCATATACAAAGAGTATAGTGAGACCAATCCAACCAAGACAATCAACAACCGGAGCACAGTCCTCCCGCACAGGCACAGAACCAGCATCAAAACCAGAAACCCCAACCAATGACAATATCTGATGTCATGAACAACCAGCCAACCCGCGCTTGTATATCCCTTCTTGATCAAAAACCACGGAGTACTCCGCCGGCAACCTCCTACGCAGAGTCCTAGCCTCCGTTTCAGCTGCACGCTAAGATTCATCCCGAGAAATCGGGACGATGCCGAGCTCAGGCTTCGGGAGGCCGACCGAGGCCTCCTGCCGTTACTTGTTTTAGGGCGGGCAGGTTCTGAAAGTTTCCTATTTGGGCGTGCGGAGAGGGAGGGCGCGGAGTGCTGCGCTCCGTTGAAGACGCGCTAGAGTGTTTGGGGCATGGCGCGTGTGGGTTGGGGTGGTTTTGACGTGTACGGATGGAGTCTTACGGAGGAGGGATCGAGGACTGGGTGGGTTAGGGGTGTTTTGGTATTTCATCAGGTTCCATCTGTCTATTGTGATTTGTGAAGTAATACCAAGCTGAGAGTCTGGGTGTTGTGGAGTAGATGTATTCAGGCGAGTTAGTGGTAATTATTCTGTGCATGATGTAGAGATTTTGATACTGCGGATAACTACCTAGGATCGCTGAAAAATCTTAATCGAGCCTGGCACTCAAGCAGCCACTTACCCCATGTCCCGTGAGAAGTAATCCCGAGCGTATGATTGGCCGGTCCCCAATCATGTGAATTATGACCCTACGAGATTCAATATAGACCAGGGCATCCGGCACCGCCGAGCATGACATGACGACTAGATCTAAGAAAAGGAAGGAGGCGCGCAGCAACCACGGCTACATGCGTTCTTTTTTTAATCCGTTCACATGCACACATGTGCCTCGAGTCCCCTCCCTGCCCTACCCATGGTCCTCGACACGGGTGGTTGACGCAGACGGCCAGAGGAAAACCTACGGCGTAAGCTAACAGAGAACAAGGTTCGCCGGCGCATGCTTCTCGAAGCTTTCTAGAAACAGCCACACAAGGCGAGAGTGAGTGATAAACCGGGCACGAGGACGCCGCTTTCCACGGATCGAGAATAGCGGTATGTAATGGCCTGGTCACCGTACGGGTTTGGGGGTCCCGGGGCGGCTGGTATTACCGGAGTACCGACGCTAGACGGCCGTGGCGGCGGGGAGGAAGGCGTGGGATGGCGGTATTTTCCTGTATTGCGTGCCTCCGGACGCGGTGGGTGGTAATTTTGGGATTTGGGGGCAGCCGGACGGGACTGGCCGGGATTGGTAACGTAATTATTAATTACATATCTACAAGGATGTCGATGGAGTATGGGGATTGAGGAGTTTTCGTTTCTGATGAGCAATGGCCAATGATGCCCGATTTATATTAATTTGATTGGGAGGATTTTATAGATCGCTGCCCAATGAAGGATCGTTGCATTGGAATGTGCTGACTCCGGTGTGATTTTCACCTCCGTATCGGTGCCTATTCGGCCTCTTCCTTCCGGAGAGACAAAGATCTTTTATCTGAACCCTGGCCCCGGCATAGATTAATTCTACTGGGAGTAGAAAGTGAAGGCGAATAACCGACGTGATGACCAGGATGATTGAGTTCATGACTCGTGAGAGTGGCCATCCTGGGAAAGGTCTCTTGGGATCCTTGCACGAGGATGCAAGCCCTTACCCTTCGGTGTATGTTCCAGATTGCCCATGGACCAGAAGGCCTCGTCTGTAGGGCACGGCGCACTAATCTACTCTCTGGTCTTTGCTCCGTCCCGGGATATGCAGGACGGAGTCGCACGAGGACGGGGCATCTCTACGGATACGGCCGGCGCAATCCCGTCTCGTCTCCGAATCAACCAACTCATCAGGGGTCCAATCCCGATGGGAATCCACGTCCTGTACGGGACTGCGAGAGATCCCGTGGACCGTGGGATTTTTATTTTTCACTCCGTGGGAGTGTTTATTTTTATTTTGTGGCCATGGCCATGACTGACCCAGACCACGTCGTCTTGCCGACCGCCACTTCAGTACTCCGCAGTTGGTTTCTGTTTTGTGCCAGTCGCGTCGCTAATCGTCCGTAAGGGAGACTAACTGAAAGATGGATGTCGTCCCGAGTTGACAGTTAACCGTCCGCAGTTACATGATCGTCGGAGGACGCTGCTCCGCCTGTGTTGGAAAAGTGCGCGGTTTTTCTCAGCTGATTAGGGTTGTGCGATCTGTATGGAATTCTGCTAGAGTGCGATGGAACGCGCTGCAATCTGGATGGAGGTTGGCGGTGCGGAGTATACATTGGTCGCGCTTGAGCGTGCAGAGTGCAGAGTCCATGCAGTCGACTTCTGTGCCTCGGGGTAATCATGGCCGGCGGCTCGCTTGGATCGACCGGGTATACTGGATCCCAGCAGTGAGCCTGGGGTGTATAATTGTCAAAATGACAAATTGTAACTGTGTCTTGGGAATTCTCGGGGAAATTCTATTTCCAGAGCAATGCCATTTCTGGACGCGCGTGCTGTTTGCAACCGGCAACGAGACGAGGCTTGGAGAGTCGAAATAGATCGAGGCTTGTTTTGCTGGACGGAGGATTTCCGGAGAAACCGCAGGAGTCACGGGAGTCACATGTGGAGCAGCAGTACCTCCGGTTGTATGTATGTAAGTATTCAGTATGGCAGTATTCGCTGTATCTGTACGAGTAACACATTAACACGTAATTGGGATAGTCAGTAGTATCTAGAGTATCACCATACTAGGCCATTTAGTAGTCAGTTTCAGACACTGTTTGAGGCGTTCAAGCATCTCCTTTCTGCCCATTGCTGCCTGTGTTCTCTCTGCTCCGTCGTGCGTATTCCCATTCCTGTAGGCAAGGTACTTTGGAAAATCTCAGCCGGTCTGCTGACTCGTACTTGTGCGCCGATCGCGGGCTTCTTAGTCACTCCTGAACATTTTCGTCCGGTGGATCGAGGTTGCATCCCGGCACTCCTCGGGCGCCTGTGCGTGGGAGGGGAAGACAAAAGGCGCGCGGGGAGGAGGCTAACGACTCGTCCTGATTTGGTGGGGAAGTTGGAGAACGTCTTCCTGGACTTTCTTAGTCTCTTAGCGAGAAAAAGCCTGGAAGGGGCTTTTTTCCCCCTCTGCCAGACTGCTAGACTGCTACGTCGCTGACTCCCTTGAAGTCCCTCCCCTCCCCCCCGGCCAATTTGCAATCTTAGTATGCCCTGGTATTAAATGCTCTAAGCGCGCCCGGCTATATTCTGTCTGACCGGCAAATACACGGCGATGGGAGAAGACTGGAAGTATGGCGTAGCATCGTGCATTCCACCCAGTACCAACGCAGCTAGACGCTTCTAACTCCGGCGGGGGGCTTTCGTCAGATTGGATGCGGTTTGGTCTCGTATCGCCGGCGTCGATTACATACCGAGATACTTCTGGGGGAGATGGGATCATATCCGGCCGAATGAAATCATAATGCAGCAATGCTTGGAGCTGCCCCCGACCGGGACAAACACGAGCGTCAAGCCCTGGCCTGGCTAGCAGCTCGGAGCGACCGACGAGGCAACGCATGCAAGGCCAATCGTGGTGTGCATTCGCAGGGAGGTAATCATGATGCCAGAGGGTCGGTCAAGAGGTTCCAGCCCCTGGCCACACAGGAGAAAGTATCCGAGGGGTGGAGGATGACTGTCGCCTGGTGGAGGGAACGAGCTGGATGGCGTCGAGGTCTCAACTGTTCATTTCGAATCGGTTGGTGGCCCTCCTGACGGACGGTTGAACTACGTCAACCGGGAGGATCTAGACCGCGGAAATAAACCCGGGATGGCAGGATATCAGATAGGGTTGAGCAGTCGAAAGGGGCAAACCTAGACAGCTTGAAGGTGAAAGGCCAGAAATTCCCCGCCGTGATATCATCCCCGGGATGCTGTCAACCTGTCATCTCTCCTAATTATAGACGAACGCCTCTCACGTGGGCGCGCAGTATCCATTATTCATCTGCTGGTGAACTGACCTCGTCTCTTGCATTTGTGCGTCCGATGCTCGCTGTCGATCCCCAGGTCACCAGGTCTCTGCGTTGGCAACTTCAATCACACTGTGCCTTCCTCCGCTCCTGCTCCAGCATAACACCGTTGACAAGTCATCGAATCGTTATGGTCATTCATTATTATTTCGATTTGACGAAATTCCCGCCGATCTCTTCATCCCAGCCTCAAGGGACAAATGGCCCTTGAACGGACCTCTTTCTCCAACCGTCCCGACGCGTGATTCCTGCTCGGAGGGGGCTTGAGGATAAGGGAGGCTTGCAGTAGTGTCCAGCCCGACGGTCTGGATAGGATGAATGAACAAGACACTTGACGTTATCAGTTGCCCTGAGGCGTTCCTTTCGACAGATCGATCCCGTTTCTCGACGCCTCTTTTCTTGGATTCTCCCCTTGAGTGTCTTGGATATTCTACATCACACCACACCGTCGTAACATGGACCTCTATCCATCCGCCCTATGCCGGGATGCAGAGGCAAAAACAGAAAAGAAGAACGAATGCAAAAAGAAAAGAAAAAACGGCAAAGCTAAAATCCAGACCAGATGCTTTCGTATCCAAGGCCTGGACCAGGTAGGTCTTTGTAGATCGGCCGCCTTGACGCATGTCTTGCTTTCTTGTGTGCTCCCTGGTGGTGTGATAATCGAGGAATCCCTACCAACCTATTCACCCCAAACCTTCTTTTCCTGACATCTGGTTTGTCGCCTGCCTCCCCTGGTTGTCCGTCCTCCTTTTGTCTTTGGCTTCTTGCTTTTCCCCCTGAATCTGACAGAATTCTCTTCCTGGTCACACGCACCCTTCTTGCCGCCCTCCCCCCCTCCTTCGGCCCTCCATGGCGTTCTTATTTCGACTCGACTGACAAGGATTACTTTTCCGTCGATGAGTTGTCTAGACTCTCAACGCTCAGCCTCAGGGAAAACAAGAAAAAGAAAAAGTACCGTCATGCTTAAGCCGACGTGTTGTGGTGCATGGATTGCCCGTCGCGGAGCCCGGGTTAAATGCCGTGGTGTATGGATGCACTCTTCACGCGCAAGGTCCAGGGTAGGGAGGTAAGGTTGGAGGTACTTTGGGAGAACTTCGCGTCGGTGGAGGATGTGGTTTTGTTACGTTTGAGATGGTGTTTTGAGAGTATGGTAAGTGATGGCGTTGGTACGTACATTAGTACCTTGAAAAGAAGTTGGAATTTGTTCCTAAGACTTGATAAGTATGAATTGGGTCTTGTCAATTGGTATCTTATTGGAAACCTTGTTGACTAAAGTACTTTCTACTTAATCCACTAAGATGCTCCATGTAACTAACTACTTTTGATGATTCTATCTATGTCGAGAGACCCGCAGTAGAGTGGGCTGTCATCGCTGAATACGCTGGCTAAAGCTCCGTTCATGCTCGAATGCAACGGTAGAAATGTCTCGAGATCTATAGTTTTTCCTACATGGCTTAGAATTTACCAAATGCGTAGGCTATAGTTTATTTTGTTTAGGTACACCGCGAGAGAATGTTTATGACTAGTCTATGTGCTGTCAAGGCTTTACAATAGATGTGACCTATAGTCCGAGTCCAATTGCCTGGAACCTACAAACATACCGGATTCTCCATATAGATCAGCAAGTTGTACTTGGGTTCCTGATCTTCGGTTTGGTTGTCCCAGGGAGCTATACACTTTTTCAGATATGGTTATGCGCTTACATGTAGCTGAGGTATCCTATTTTATACACACATTCTCTCGTCACCCTTACTATCAGGCTGTGCCTTGTCCAGAAAAGTGATGTGAGCAGCGTCTACTTCTAGGTAACATGCTTTCGTTTGAACATTGTTCATCTTGTCCTTGAACCAAATCCTTGCCACGGTTTAATTGGGTGAGACCACACCGGTTTACGATCATGCGATGTTGGTTCAATTTTCTATCGAGACTCGAATCCCTGATAAAGATGCACCCGCCTCCGAGTAGATTCTTTTTCTTTGTCTGAAAGTGTCTCTTTGTTCTGCTCATTGCCCTAGTAACTGCCGTCTGATGTTGGTGTCACGTCAAACCCTCTGCAATTTCGTTCCCAACTCCCCTTTTCCTCGTCGTTTCCTCGTAGTTTCATCCTCTATCTCATAGACCAGCCTCTTCCCTAGAAACAGAAACATAAATACCCAACTCCCCAAACCGATCAAATGCCATCAAAACCAGACTACGGCGAGCCCGCCGCCGGAGTCCACATCAAAGGACTCGGCACGGTGATCATAACGTTTGACCTTCTCTGCCGCTTTCTCAACAAGAGCGTCCCGGAAATAGAAGCCCTGCTTCGAGCGGAAGATTCCACCATCGAATCCGATCTTCAGGCCATTCCCGAATTCAACCGACGTCTCGAAAATGGGTCGTTCCCGGTGTTGCCCGCCGATCTGTTTCCTTCTGAGGATGATGATGATGCAGGGCGGCACGGTCATCGGTGACGTCTTGCCGCCGAGTTGCGATGATGTTGTTGCGAGTGGGATTGATACCGAGTCTGAGGGGGTTGAGTGTTATGTGGATGTTATTCAAATCGGTACCTGTGGCGAGCTAGTTGGAGATAGACCTGGAGATGGTGTGGCTGGGGCTGATACCGATGTTGAAGATAATTTCGAGGTTGAAGACGACGAGGGGGACGAGGATGGATGTGGTCTAGAATGGAACCTGCGTGAAACTAATACCCGTCTATGCCAGTATCAGAGAAGTCTGTAGCCTGTGATATTGTTACTTACCATAATTGCTCTGTGTTGAAGCCTCAAGTCCTAGGTATCTACTCGGGCAAACTTGGAAGTGATTTTAGTACTGTTCTCTCCTGTGTGATACTTTTGAATTTCAATTCTATCGATATGACCACATGGGTGTCTGAATCATTCAGCGTTAGCGACTACCTATATACAACAAGCCAATGAATATTGCTGCTTAAATTTGCAAAGCTGCTGGTGTATAGAATAAGGGGCTTAGTCTGAGTCCATCTAGCGTGGTTGTAAGATAGAACTTGTCTAGTCTAGAGTCGAAAGAATTGGGTACATGTCCTAATAGCTAGGTTTCTAGCTAATTCGAGTTCTTAACTTATGTGATGCGTAAGGGAGAAAAAAGAAAAGAGAGGCTAGCAAAAGTTACCTAGTCATAATATGAATATATTGAAGAATGAATTGATTCGATGGACTAATATCATCTGTCTAATGTTCATCATATAAGTCGATATCACCGTCCCTAGGTCCCAAACAGCATATATTAATAATTCCACATCTGACCAAGCAACATCACTGCCATGAAATTAATATATTGCCAACTATGCTCTAGAACCGTGATCTTACCCCATCCGGAAAAAGCTTGTATGAACGCAGACACCCATTCCCGGTTCGATGACGTCCTCACCCGGCTCCCACATCAGCAACAACATCTGAACAAAGACCCATACGGAATTAAATCCACCAAACCAAGCTCTGAATCTAAATCAAGCTCGAGATCTCCCAGGATCCATGGACATCTTACATCCCGAGATGCTCGTTCGGCAATTCCATCTCCGTCTCCACACCGACGTAACTATGAACCAATGTCTTTGGTAGCTCGCCACGGGGAAAGCAAGCAAGCTGAAGAGAAGCTGTCATTGTTATTGTGAGCTGACGTCGAGATTTTGTTTCTGGGACGGAAGGACCTATTAGGTTGCGTGGTGTGGATAGGGAGGTAGGTATAAATAGTGACTGGATATACCTGTCGCGGGTATCGGGGGATTAATTCTCAACGACCTATATTATTCCACCCTTCTATAAGAGAACCAACCCCCATCCAAAATGTACCGGATCCAATACGGAAAACACGACCACCTCCCCATCGATATCAACGACGAGAACGTCGACGAACCTCTCATGGAGACCCGCGATCCCGATTCCAATGAACAGCTTGGTATTTCCCCCTCTTGTCCTTTCTATCCATGGATCTTATGGGTGAATAGAACTAATATGGAATGGAACGATCAGACCGCGATGAAACTGAAGCCATTGACAAGTCGAACATCATCCGCGGAGACGGTTTACGTCATGCGAAGCCCCAGACTCAGAACCAGTACAGCGAGGGTCCGGATGAGGATGATTTGCCTGTTTAGATTGGGTCCGGGATCTGTCTTGGATTGTGGGATTTTGGAATAATGACTGTACGGTACTTTTAGTAATAGGACTGGTTGACGTAGAAATCGGGTGAATAATATGATTTTAATGCCTAAAGACCTCCGAGCCAAAGCACCGGATGTAGCCATCTTACGAGTGTAGATAATGTTAAGCGATGACAGTCATTCCTAAATTTCATTTCTTTCATTCAACGGATTTTTCTATGTGCCCGCCATGTCTTACATAGAACTCCAAACTGATTAGTCATGGCATAACTGATGTATAATATTGAAGCATTTCATTTTTGGCCGTTAACCTGTATACACAATCTAGAAGTCCTGCTCGTCGTCGCCGGAAATGATGACGTTGTTGATCTGGTGTTCGTTAGCTCAAGTCCATCGAGTTCTCATGTGGAATACTTGCCTTCAGAACCATGCGGCAGAGCTGGGTCGCGAGCAGCAGTTGCTGTCGCTTGCTGATCAAGGGGTCAATGGCGAAGTGCTCCCGCATATCTGTAACTGTTGTTAGCAGTAGACTCTTTGAACAAAGCGGAAGTTCATACCGTTGTTGCCGGTCAACATGCAGTCGACACCCAGGCGGGCGTTGTTCTCCTTCACCTGGCGCGACTTGATCGAAGCAAGGGTCTCGATGGGGCTCAATCCAGAGTTCTCGGCAAGGGCCATCGGCACGGCATCCAGCGCATCGGCGAAAGCGCGCATGGCGTACTGCTCAATTCCGGGGCTCTGCAACGGCATACCACGTTAGCACATGGGACTAGCATACTCAATCGATGTCACGTACCTTGACAGCGGCGTCCTCCACAGCCAGAGCACAGGCGATCTCGGCAGCACCTCCACCATACACAACTCGGTTGTCACGAACCAGGTTGCGAACAACGCACAGAGCATCGTGCAGCGAACGCTTGGCCTCGTCGATGATCTAATAGCAAAGAATCAGTGGTCCGCATTGATGAAAAGAATCGTCTGTCCTCACCATCTTGTTACTTCCTCGTACGAATATCGTCACGGCACGGCTGTTGGCACACTCTTCAATGACAAGCATCTTCTCGCGGGTGGTACCGAAAGTCATCTCCCGCACACGTCCGGCAGTTCCCAGCTTCTCCGAGCTCAGGTCCTCAAATCGGGGAACGATGCGACCGTTCGTCGCGATGGCAATCAACTCGATCTCAGGGCCACCGACCCACCGGACGGCGGGAAGCTTGTTCTGAAGCAGAAGGTGGTTGGCCTCGTCATCGAAACCCCATTGGCAGATAACCAGGTTGGCGCCCGCATCCTTCAGGTTCTGGACCATCTCTGTGAACTTCTCGCTCTCGTAGTCTTGCAGCTTCTTGAATTCCTCGACGGATGTGATGTCGAGCTTGTGCTTGGTCTTCGGCTTGGGAGGCTCAAACGGGCAGGTCAAGATCGCCAGTTTAGCATCGCGGACTTCGTCGGGCATCTGGGGGTGGGAGAAGTCCTTGTCGACAATAACACCCTTAACAAGCAGAGAGTCTTCGAGAGCACCTCCGACCTTTCCATCCACCTTGATCAATTCGAAATCGACATCCTTACGCTCGAGATCGGCAACCGAAAGCACTGCGTCGACGGCGATATTGGCGAACTGGTCGTGAGATTTGGAGACACTAGACAAGAGTTAGCAAAGAGGGAGAAGAGCGGGTACTAAAGGAAATGCATACATCTTGCTACCCAAGCTGGTCTTAGCAACCTGCAGCAGGTTGCTCGTGTCCTCCCGGCTGAAAGGAATGGAATCACTGATATCGTCCAGCTTCGACACGGCGATCTCGCAAGCTTGGTCGTAGCCATCGGCAATACGGATGGGGTGGATGCCCTTGTCAATGAGTTCGGAAGCCTGCTCCAACATGGCAGCGGCCAAAACGACGACACCAGTTGTTCCATCACCAATTTCTTCATCCTGAGATTTCGACAGCTCAACCAAGAGCTTGGCGACGTTGTTTGTGATTTCCATCTTCAAAGGTCGGTGAGTTAGCGAAGCGGTCGAGACGAGGGGTTTCGAGGAGCGGCGCGACGAACCTGGCCCAAGATAGTAGCGCCATCGTTGGTAACGGTGATATCACCATCTGCAGAGATCAAAATTTTATCGAGACCGCGAGGACCCTAGTCCGATTAGAAGCCGACAATATTCCCGGGTTATGGATGAGATCCTACCAGAGAAGATTTCACAATATTGGCGACGGTTTTGGCGGCAACAATGTGAGCCTTCACCGCATCGTTACCATGCTGTCTCTTCTTCTTTCCCTGGCTATAAGAACATAGCGTATCAGCAACCGACCCCGAGAACATCGTTATATGGCGCCCGCAACGTACTCTCGAACGACAATGAACGGCCGGCCCTGTTCATCCTTCACCATGGAAGCTGTTGGCGAAGCGGATTGAGGTTAGCGGCGGCGCAATCCGGGATCACCGATGATGCCGAAGGAGGGTTGTACCTTGAGACAAATCAAGCTCTGGTCAAAGGAAGATGAAATCGTCAGTATGGTGGCTCGGAATGAGGGGCATGTTGAGACATACGCATCGCCATCTTGACGGATTGCTGTGGGGGCAAGGGACGGAAATCAAAAAGCCGAAAAGGCCAAGACAGAACAGCGGGAGAAAATCGATGAAAGAAGTCCCCCAAGAAGTGGTAATCGGAGTGACGTCGGGGGATCAGGGACTGGAGGCACGGCGATGTTCTTTCGCACGGGGCCTTTTTTAGAAATTCTGGAGATGTCCACAAGCGGACTAGTGAGCTGGTTGCCCCATCAGGTATAGCGTGTTTCGCCCGCCAACGCGCCTGCCTGCGCGACTTTCTCTGAAGCGCCAAAGTACTACCATCTCGACGACCTCCTGCCCGCCTGCCGGTCTTCATCACGCGGAATTCTTGGGATCCTGCATCGCCCTTGAGGTGAAGCCGTCACTCTGTTTTCACGGCTCTTCAGTTTACCCAATCCTTTCAGGACAATGCCTCGTGAGTGATGCTTCTTGGACCTTGGTCGCATCCGAAGAGCCTCGCTGAGTTGACTTCTGTCTAGCCCCGTTGACGGACCACTCCGATGACGAATCGACCGGCGATTCGATTCCCTTCAATGACGCCAAGGAAGTTTCCGAGACCAACGACAAGGCCGATGAAAATGACGGGGATGACAACGACGAGGACGACGATGAGGAGGGCGTGTGAGTTTGCGATGCGACCCATTCAACCCGCCGCCCGCGTTGACTTGACAACAACAGTTACATCGTCGAGAAAATCGTCGGCCACCAGTGGGTGAATGCACGTTTTTCAATGCGCTTCGCTTAGATTATTTGCGATTCGCTAACGAGGCCTCAGGGCTCCCTTCTCCTCCAGGTGAAATGGAAGGGCTACGACGACCCTGCGGACCAAACATTGGAGCCGGAAGACAATCTAATGTACGTCATCCGGGACGACACATGAGGATCTGACACTGAACATTTCGCAACAGGGAGGGCGCTGAGGATGTTGTGAAGGAGTATTACCGTGTTCAGGGAGGTCGACCGACCAAGCCGCAAGCCCAAGGTAGAAAGCGCAAGTCGATGACAGCAGCAAAGCCAACACCCGAGAAGACGGAACCAAAAAGGCGCAGGAAGTCGCAAGCGGATGCTGCCGCAGAGACAGCGGACGATTCCGACACGATGAAATGGATGCCGAAGTCGAAGAATTGGGAGCCTGAAGTTGAAAACGTCGACACTATCATGCGCGACCCGGAAACATCGAAGCTGATTGCCTACCTCCACTGGAAGAATGGCAAAAAGTCCAAGGTTTCCATTGAGATGTGCTATGAACGGTGCCCGAGAAAGGTGAGCTCCGGAATATCCCAATATAGGTGGAGATCGACTGACATCTAGGAAGATGCTGAGTTTCTACGAACAACACCTGTAAGTTATTGATATACCACAAGTTTTCCTGCAACGCGTTCTAATCTTTTCCCAGGGTTTTCAAGGATGCTTAAGTTGATACCAATTTAACTTGATTTAGCTATCTATTTATTTGTTTCTTATTCCCGCTCCCTTCCATGATGCTCAATGTGTCAGAGTGATTTTTTCGATGGCTCCCCGTTAATATAGGTCGCTCACTCTTCAGCTTCATATGCTGGGATCTTGCGGGTCCCGAATTCGCAGCGCATGACGGGCGTTTACTGGAGTTGAGCGGATGCGATTTTGCGATGTAAGATAATTGCTTTGGGTAATGGTTTCAGTCCCTGAGTTTTCGGGGGTCAATCGAGCTGTAGATGCAAGTCCTGGGGGAGATAGGGAGAGAAAAAGAAAGGAAGAAAAAACAAGGAAAAAAAGAAGCGCCTGGCCAAGCAGGCAGGGAGCTCGGCTTATTTCAGGTATTCATGCCGGTCGTGTTTTTCTTTTTGATGCCATCAATAACATTTTCGGAGCCACGGTATCTTCGATTTCACATTAATTATATTGGTTTAATCGCTGTTGTTGTTTTTTAGGCCATGCCGATTTATTTGCTATCATTATGCGTATGACCAGCGCTGACCATCAAAGTTCTGCGATTCCTTCCTCCTGGCCCTTCTCCAGGCCGGCAGTCCTTGCCATGTCGATATACTGCCAGCGCGAGTTGAAGAAATCGGAACCGTGCTTTTCTAAGACCCTCTCGATGTCTCTGGTGTTTCTCCCCTCGATGCATTTGTCATCCTCGGCTGTCCACACCCCTGCCGTATCTTGTGGGATGCCTTTTCCTGCGACTAGGTGTTTTAGGACTTGATCAGCAAGTTGCGGGTCCATGCTGGTACAGCGAAGGGCCTCGATGATTTGGTCCTCATTCTTTGCTTTTCCGGTCCGGAGCCGGTTGTCAATCCAGGCGTCAATGTCCTGGTCTGGCTGCTCTTCGGGCTCTGAGCTCCCTGGGCTCGATGGAAGGAAAGGAAGCTCTAGAAACATTTCGTCAATGGGTTCCGGTTCGTAGTCTTCGTTGATGGGGCTTGGGGATCTTTGTCGTTGCTCGGGTGTTTGCTCGGGTGTTTGCTCGGGCGTGTGCTCGGGGTTTATTTCGGCTTCCTTGGGTGCGTCCTCGGGTTTTTGCTCAGGAGCCTTCTCAGGTCGTTTCTCAGGAGCTTTCTCAGGAGATTTCTCATTTGGTTTCTTGGGAGTTTTCTCAGGAGCTTGTTCGGATGGTTTTTCAGGGGATTTCCCAGAAGGTTTCCTAGGAGCTCTCTCGGGGGCTCTTTTAGGATCTTTGTTAGGAGCTTTGTTAGGATCTTTCTCTGGTGCTCTCTCAGATGCTCTCTCAGGTGCTCCCTCGAGTGCTTTCTCAGGTGCTTGCTGAGGTTCTTTCCCCTTGTTCAGTTTGGACTTCTTGGTTGTATTCTCGTCAAATGTTGGGATTATGATCTGCGGAGGCGGTGACTGTGGCCGGGACGGAGTCTCTTGAGTTTTCTGAGGGACCTCTGGCGTTGGAGTTCTGGGATTGCTTTCGGGGCTTCCAGTGGCCCTACGCTTCCGAGGTGGAATATCACCTCCAGTGGAATCGGTGCCATCTGAGCTGTAAGGAGACGTGCTGCGTTTCCGTTTCCTAACTTTAGGCATCCGGTTAACCGTGCTTGGGCCTCTTTGCCTTGATGACGAAGCAACAGCAGCTGCGATTGGAGTTGGCGTCGGGGTTTGTACCCTCTGGTTTCTGTCTGGTATAGCAGAAGGGGTAGTGGGTTGCGGCATACCCCCTGGGCGTGGTCGCCCACGGAGCCTCTTTAAATATCGATCGCGATAGGACTGATATGTGTGCGCCGGATTCTGGTTTCAAAGAATGATTGTAAGGGAAAAACGGTATAATTTTATTGTGGGTAGCAGGACAATCCTTACCACTACAGCTAATTCCTGGTAGATTCTGTTGCCGCTGATAGGAGCATTGGGTTCCTTTTCGTATGGCTGCATCCAATCCCAGAGGAATTGATCGTCTTGAATTGTATACGACCTCTTAAATCCCCGACTTGGTATGTTAGTCGCCCCTACCGGACGTGAGGCCGAAGGTCCAGCCCTGTAGTTCTCCAGGTTTTCTAGGCGCCCATTGCGAACTGAGTCTTCAACAAAGCGGTAGGAAAACCTGATGTAGTATAAGCATAGCTCAACAAAGTCCAGGCCATAAATGGCGGAATGATCTTACGTGTCTTCCGGGAGATTCTTTTTCACATGGTCCACCAATTTAATGCCGGCGTCTTTTTCATAGAGTCTTATGACACCGCCATTTCGCTATGTGGGAATTAGGCTTCTGAACAGATATCCTAACGTGACATTGCACAATACCTGGATGGTTTCCTTGAATCGAGCCCTCTGGGGAATATTCTGCGACAGCCAGAACTGCTTGCCCTGGAAAAGCAAGCCGGACGCTGCATTTGAATTGCCATTCGCCCCCTCCACGTTCGTCTCTGCCATTGTTACTAACAGCTCATTGGAGAGACAGGTTCACCTCAGAGGCCATTCACAAGAGCCCTGGCTTGCCGTGGCGCAACGCGTAGTCACGTGCTCCGGTGTCGTCGTGGAATAGTAGTCGCAGTGGTGAACTCTAGGCCTCGAGGGACGAAAAACGCATATACGGACGATGTCAGTTACTATTATTTGTGTGATAGTGGACTTTTGGCCGAGGCATAAGAATGGAGGCCTCTGAGTTGAAGATATGGACAGAACCAACCTTCCTCCAGCACGCGTTCCGCGCGAGGAATCGGTCATTGGATGCCTGATCAGGAAGCCAGGTCACGTGCCCAGCGGATCGTCCAGAGCGCAAACGGCGCTAACCGGCGCTAACGTTGAATGTTGTTTGCCTTGCGCATCAGCTGCAAGATTGGCAACAATGACTATTCCTGCTTAATGGCTGCGGAAGACATAGATTCAGCACCATAATGCCGGTTTTATAGTGCTTTTCTGGACCACACGATACTTATTACTCCATCCAGCCGAACGCAAGGCGGCTGCCCGACAAGCCACTCAATTGGTGTCAGTCTAGAACACAGTGATGGGGACGATCAGAACCATTGCCCTGGCGGTTCTGGGTATTTCCGGTTTCACCTTCGTTGCCCTTTTTGGCAAGCTTCCAGCTCTGCGGTAGGGAGAACACGGATGTGTCTAGATGGCTGATACTGATGCATACGCTATGCAGGAGAACTCCCATTGGCTTGTTTCATAGAGTCATTTGCATACATATACCAAATGGGATTGCTCGTATTGATTCCCAACTGCTAGGGGGTCGAGTTGTGCACTGTTGGAGCAGATCTGGGAACTATATACTCCATGAGAACCATCCCCTTGTTCTAGTCAGTTTTAACACAAGGCGCCCCCGCTATCATACTATACTGATGCCTTCGAAAGATTTTCTTCACGGCTCTTCTGGTGATAGGGCAATGCATCTTTATCCCAAATGCATGGTCCAGGGTTTCAGCCATTCACAAGCTTTGCATTCCCATTGCTGTGGTCTTACCCTATGCATTCTTGTACGCCAGCGTCGTCACCAAATCCTTTATCACCTCGGAAAATCATGCAGAGGAGATGGAACGATATCCTTACGACAAAGTCATCTTTCATCCGGGACATCATTGCGGCTCGTGCCATCTGCTTAAACCGGCAAGAAGCAAGCATTGCAAGTTCTGCAAGGCCTGCGTGGCACGACATGACCACCACTGTGTATGGCTAACTAATTGTGTGGGTCTGAACAACTACCACTACTTTCTGTCGCTGATTACGTCGCTTTCGGTGATGTTAATATACGGCTCATGCCTGGGCTATGCCCTTCTATGCCAGACTTATGAGAAACTTCTGCCACCCGGTTCCCCGTGGCGGACGCCGGGTCAAAGTTGGACGGCTTTCATCAATGTATGGACCGTGATCATCACTACGGACCTTAGCATCGGAGCTATCACCCTCTTAATGGCCATGACAGCTCCGCTGGCGGTCGCCTTTCTTGTCTACCACACGTATCTGATCTGGGCCGGCATGACGACCAACGAGAGCGCCAAATGGTCCGACTGGAAGGAGGATGTGGCTGATGGTATGGTCTTCAAATCAAACAAAGCGGAGATCTACGGGACTTCCCCTTTGCTTGGTGAATATCAGAGTGTGCATACTTCATGGTCCGTCAGTAGCGAGCAGGTCTTGGTATTCACAGACGGTGAAGCACCGAGGGAGGGATGCATCTTATCACCCGACTCCAATGATATTCGACAACCGCCCAATTTTCAAACTGTGGCAGTTGACATGCGATGGGCGCCAGTGCGCAGCATGAGAGAAGTCGACAATATATATGACCTGGGCTTTTGGAACAATCTGCGTCATGTCTTCAATTTCCCTGCTAGGCGCAAGGTATCTTGACACTGGGTTAGCATTGGACCTCTCATGTATAACTAATTTCAATATTATTAGTCAAAAGTATGAACTCGTTTGTGCTGAGATTGAAGGATGGAGATGTAGAAGTACTCCGTAGCCTGGTAATTTAGTGAATGGCTGACCTAAAAGTGGCGGGACCGCCTTCGGAGCCGGAAAAAATTCCCTTTGACTGTCGGTGTTTCCCCTCCGAACTTCCGCAACTCTTTTCGACGGCACCTTGCGAGCAAACTCCGGGTCATATTGAACAGCAGCGAGTGTCGCAAGGCCCTCACACTTACTGTCAAAATGGCAGACCGAAGTGCAACCGAACCGAAGCCAAAATGCACACCCGCTGAGCTCATGCTGAAGGTCGTCCTGACGGGAACTCTGAGCCACTATGAGACTCGCGGGATGATTGACGAAACTCGTCTAGAGCATTTGCTGCAGGCAGGGAAGTCGGTTTTGCTTAAGACTCACCAGGAGAGCGATGTCAGGTATGCAGATGTTCTTACAATTCTCCCCATCATTCATGGCCTGGTATCCGTCTGAACTTTTCCGTCTCGCGTTTGCTGACTTTACCCCTCATGGTAGACACAATCTGGGCTTGTCGCCAGATATCTGGCAGGGCTTCACGGACGTATTGACAAAGGCGATCCCGGTCCTCGAATCGCAATCATTCGCTTGGAAATGCCCCCCGACCGCAAACTACGACCATTCGTCCTCCAACCTCATCGCGTTCAACTACTATTCGCTCGCCAAGGACATCGAGCGACTCAATGACCTGTGTACCATCGCTCGGAATCTTCTCGCGACCACGAAAAAGGCTCAGAACATGGCAGCCGAGAAAGGGTTCGACCAGAGGATTTTGGCGCTGGTAGACACTTGTGTTCGGGTGACGGCGCGGGGATTTGATGGAGAAACCAACGCGAGGAATGAGGACCGCTGGCAGAAGGTGGTCAATCTTTACAAACGGCTGCTGATTACGTGCCTTCAGTTCCTGCATAATTTCATCATGCACAATGAACAGCGCAAGATGGTGCTCTGGTTAGATCTATTCGGGTACCACTCCACCGGGGATTCAAACATCATCCAACCCAGAGAGCCGCTTGATCAAGCGTTGAGTCAGCCTGAAGGAGTCGCACCGATTGTGAAAACCGGCGAGAGAATAGTCAACCCCCCGATCCGGGCACTGTACGACCAAACGGCCGAAGATCTGCTTCTAGAGACCATATCCAATTTCCCCCGGGAGCCTGCGACGATCAAGGAAGAGGCGGCAATGTTACTTCTCGCCAATATTAAGGACCACATGGAAAAGCTGCTGGGACGCGACCTGACCGCCATCCAGGAAATGGGCAAAGACCCTGAGCAAGTCAAGGAGATTCGCGCTGCTCTTACTGCCATACTTGGAGCCAAGGTTGATGGATGGACCGATCTTCAAGACCGTGCGAAAGACCTTCCCCCAGCCTTGCCCGAAGATGAGCCGCCACGGAAGAAGGCCATCCTCACGATCGACCGCAGCCTCACGGCAGGATTCCCCCGCATCTGCTGGTCTGATCTTCCGGATCTCAGTGACTACGGTGCTTTAGCCTCGGGCGACGCGGCTATTATGGATGAAGACACAAGCATGCCGCGATCTGCTCAGTCTGCCGCTGAGACTCTCCAAGAGGCCAAAGACGAGCTGATGGCACGTCTGCAGGAGTCATCGCAGCTCGGTGACGGCGCCGATGGAGATTATGACACTGGCGATGCAGGAACGGTCGGTGATGATGATTCTCGCAGCCTGGAAGCTGTGGCCGACGGGAGTATGGAGGAAGAGGAGGAGGATGACGAGGATGACGATGATGACTACCGGGGTCGTCCAGGCGACCAACAACGTGGCTTGCTGACAGATATTCCATTGGTTCTCGGGCCGGCAGAGATAGAGGCTCTTCCGATGATCATCCAAGCCGGTATTGTCGACAGCTTTGGTCTCAAGGGCGGAGAGAGGTCGGCCACGAGGAACATGCAGTCTCTCCGCTGCCACATCTTGCTCACCCAGGAAACCGGCCGAAACCTCCTTCGGGAACTTCTGATCTTCATCGCCGCATGGGACCTGCCTGACGATGAGCTCTACTTCAAGATGATGGTGCAAGTCATGGATGCCGTGCTGCGAAACGGCCTGATGTCTCATGCCTACTCCGACTTTGGCCAGCCCAAGGACATCATTTCGCCAGCGCAGGCCGTTGTCGTGAAGATTCTCACTCACATCTTCCGAGCCAAATACTCTCCTGCCTCTGTCACCGGGTCAACACAAGCCAATACGACCAAGAGCCCGGCTCCGCTCTCAAGGGTCGACATTCTGACCGTGCGCTACATCTTCACCATCTTCCGCGGCAATATCATTCCCGAGACCTGCGCCCTGATCTACCTCCAAGGCCAAATCCGGGCCGGAAGGGCTCTACCCGAGGACTTCCCGCTGAACCTGTGGGACATGGAACGTGTCTACGAGGGTGTGTATCAATTCCTGGAGTTCTTCGCCGTCCTCACCGAAAACAACGACTGGAAAAACCTGCTGGTCAAGTGGGAGATTGTCTACGATCTGGTCACCTTGATCAAAGAGCTCGAGGCCAGCATTCCTAAGGGACAACTGAGTGCACTGCCGTTTGGACGCAGCAGCAGTCCGTCCAAGGACTCCCAGCAGGGTGCAGCCCCTGGACCGGTCGCAGTGGAACGGCCCTACGATCCCAGCGATCCTGATCCGGTCGACGCCGGCCCCGGATCACGAGCCGAGTCACCTCCTATCACCGAGGACCCATCTGAATTCGAGTGGCGCAATCTCAAGAAGCTGGTGGTCCTCGTTCTCTCGTCTTTGGTTTGGAAGTGCCCCGAGGTGCAGGACCAGATCCGTCGACATGGCGGTGTCGAGGCCGTGCTGTCTTGCACCAACTTCGATGCGCATAACCCGTACATCAAGGAGCATGCCGTCATGTGTCTGAAGTTCCTGCTGGAGGGTAACCGCGAGAACCAGCGGCTTGTGGAGGAGCTGGAAGCTCGCGAGGTTGTAAAGGATGATGGGGGACTGTTGGAGAAGAGCGGATTCGAAGCTGTGATTGACAAGACGGGCAAGTTGGCCATCAGACCGAAAGACGGTCCGGCCGAGAAGAAGTGATCGGACTTGACTGGGTCGTCGACAAAAAATAATGCCGTATGTATGTATGTCACTATACGTACCTGTTTTTCTACATTATTGTAAATTTCCTGTTGTAGACATCGCCGCTTTACTGAGGGCGCTCAGGGGCTTGCTCAGTGAGTAATTCACATCACGGCTCACCGCTCAGTGAGCACTCAGTCGGTGCTCACCCCTGTGCTCAGTGAGCAGTCACGTGAGTTCTGCCATACTCACCCCCCATTTATTTTGCACGGGTAGTTCGACCGCTGTGACAGATGAATAGCCCTCAGGATTTTTGAAGTTATTAAATTACCATGAACAATGACGTAAGTCAAAATATGATGGAGAGTGTTTGAACACGTGTGCCGACCTAAAAGTGAAGTGTACATTTAACGCAAGTACGATAATGATCACTTTCAAGAAAGCTATAAAGGCAGGTATCCTCTCTTCATAACAGTCAATAGCATGGAAGCAAGATCCCTAGACACTTCCTGTATCCCCTGAATGCCCTTTCCCTTTTGCTCTCTCTTTGTTTGTTCAACTGTCTATTCTCATAAAGTTCTACGTTCGATCTTTTTGCAGCTAGCTGACGAGACAATGGATAAAAGAATCTTTTTCTAGGATAAAGATATAAAGAGAAAATGCCGTGAGCAACAAACAGTAAATGACTATATTGCAAAGGCTTACTAAGACAAAGATACTGTGAGAAAAAGGCATAAGCGGATAAAAGAAACAAAAAATCTATATAAGGAAAAGATGATAGATTATTAGAAGTGAGTTATTTATAAATGGAATATCTTGTCCTTAAGGTCTGCTAACATAACTTTATTAGATTTGTGATAGAAAAAGGATACGAGTTATTAAAATATTAGATTAAGTTTAGCTGTCTAGTATTAAGTATCGTTATTATTAAAGATTTTATCCGCTCGTATGTCTGTATTGTTAAAGGTACGGGACAGCTCAGTCAAAAGAAAACGGCTATAGTAAGAATTGTTACAGCTTATACTGAGCAATTCTTTAATAACTTTAAAAAAGTAACTGGCAGTAAAATTGTATCAAATAATCGTTTAAAGATTTATATGATATACAGATCCTTGCTTTTTAAAGATAATCAGTTAATTTGATTAGAGTAGATTAAAAAAATCTTGACAAAAGAAGGTGAAGTTGAGAATATTAAAAAGTAGAAGTTTAATTTTGATTGAAATAATTTTATTGATTTTGTAATGTTAATGTGGATTTATAATTACCTTATCTTCATATATAGGCTTCTTAAAGTGTCCATTTTATTTGCATTATAGATTTTTCTCTTTACGGGAGCAAGAATTGGTGCCTTTATTCTAGAATCAAAACGCAAAAGCTAATGAGGATTCCGTTATAGGATAAGATAATTTAATCCAAATCCATTATTTACGGGTAGACCTTTGTTAATTACTAACAGCATATCCAACTAGTGCTCTTCCGCAGTCTGAATCAAGACAAATCTTAGAAGATAGATTGACAAGTCAACTAGCAATGGCTAAAAAAAAACCGAAATAAAAATTACACGGTATAGGTGTTTTTGGAATGAAATCATGATTCTTTTTTCTGTGTTATAGGCGTCATTGCTGACCGACTAAGTAATTTTAGTATTAATATCTATAATAATAGTTGATTGCAATTTATATCCGGCTTACTGTTCCTTATTATTACTCTTACGCATGGAGCTATCTTTGACATCAATTCGTTAATTGATTTAGCTCAATTTGATCTTCGTAACGGACGCATTACTGAAATTCCGCTCAGTTGAAACTTAGACACTTTAAATAAGCCAGTATTTCAAAATGTTACTGTTAAAGGTCTATAGGAGGTGGCTCTTAATAAAGAAAGATTTTATATCTTGCTTTATTCACTCCTTACTGCAGCAAATTATTTAAAACATATTATTATTCACAATATTTGTTGAGTACTAAACAAGAAAATTGAAGATATATTGTAATTAATCTTCACTTAACTATAAATTAAGAGCTAAACATATCTTATAGTAAAATATGGCTCTGCACCTGTATCCTAAATATACACTTATTGATCCAAATCCATCTATTTTAAACATTATTAAATACATTATTTATCTATTGATACCGTCGGTGATGTTTTGAATAAAAAAAAGAAGATATATTATATAAAATACTTTTAGAGCTATTAATAATTTTAGAAAATAGGATTTTCTTGCGAGCTATCAGCGGAAATAGAAATAATTATAATTAATAAGCCCAAGATTGTTAAAACCAAAGACTGTATCGAACAACTTCTCGATAATATAAATCATTTTAATATCATAAAAAAGGAACAAGAATATAGAAAGCTCTATACTTGTATTTGACTCTTTGAGTTGTATCGTTTCCAACATAAATAAATACAAGAAAGAAGACAGTGTTAAGTCCTTAACAGAAAAAAGAATAAACCAGATTGGCCCAAAAATAACACTCGCACGTGTATATTGACCCTTATCATGCCCAAACTAGATTACTTAAAAGCGACTTTATTTATTTTTAAGCAACTTACCTTTGATAAAAGACTGCTTTTTGCAGAATAACTGTTAATATAGTGCTGTTATAATTATAACATGATCTATCTTCTCAATAAGATACTGATGGACAATAAGAAATATTTTATATATAATTGCTAAAAGGACCTTCAGAGTCCCACACTTAAATATAGTGATTAAAATGCTTACATTCATAATTACATTTGTGAAGATATAGTTCAATGTCTGCATATTAGTAAATCAGACTTACAGTATTGTTATGAGTGTATAACTTGATGCTTGCAGATAGAGTGATATAATCATTGCAGTTATTACCTGCAATCCTGAAATGATCTTCATTGTAAAGTCGTTATATATTATTATATTGTTATTTGTCCCAGCTACTGCCCTTATTGTGTGTGAAATTAAGGCCTTCCAGCCGACAAAAGATTGAAGTATTAGACATGTAACGTGAATCTGAGAAAGCATCTTAAATATAAACATATTATTAAGATTAAATGACTCACAATAGACCTCATATGTGATTGTTTATAAACATTTATATTGGAGTAAGAATTCCAGTATCATTTACATAACGTGCATGGTCTAACCAATAGAATCTGGAAATCCAGAAAACCATCATTAAAAAGGAAGAGAGATGTCAAGGCAGGAGTGGGCTATGTGAAAGAAAAAGCCTATAGACCAAAACTAAAGAAGATCCAATTTTGATACTATCAATCCCATTAGCTGCCACAGATAGGGCATTCATATGAACCATCTATGTCAATCCTCACATATGCTCCAATCTCAAAGTCCTCCCTTTCTATCTCTAAAAAATATGCATGTCCTTCCTCTATTTTTAGCAGAAACGTGGCAAGCAGCCTTGTTAGCGAAAACGATAACACTAACTTTTTAGTTTTCTCGTCTCCCTTAAGTTTACTCCACATTATATCTGATCTTAAATTTATTAATCCCAAGATCTTAGATTTTATTTGACCCAAGGACGATTGTTTACACTTCATTAATGGCATTTATCCGGCTATCTGTACTGAAAATAAGATTTCTTGTACTGGCTTTAAAGAACTGCGCAATGACCCAGTCATTATTTAGCCTGTTTGCCATATAGACTTTTACAAAGTTTTACCTAAAGTGTTTTATATTATCGCAGAAAGCACCTTTGCGAATATTTCTGCTATTTGCCCAAGTATTCATTTAAGTAGTTTCAACATTGGCTCAGAAGATAAACCATCTAATTGCCAAAAGGATAGCATTTTAAGCTCTTTATTTATTAAAATCTCCTTTCAGACTTTATCCAGTAAGAGATCTATAACTCAATTGAAGGCCAGAGCCACATTAAATGAGATTATACATAATAATCCTTATAAGAGGCTGCATTAGACGATAAAGGGCCAAAGCTCAAAACAAAATCAAGCTATATCTTATTTTTTTCGCAAACAGACTCTACAATCAATTGGGGAAAGCATAGGCTAAAGCTTGTTTCGGCAAATCACACGATTGTAAGCTAAAAGAAAGTAATCATCTGTAGTTTTTTGAAGACTCTTAATCCGATTTCACAATTAGCTCGTTAGAGCAAGCTGTTGGACTTGTGCAACAAATTGTTTCAAACGTATGACCATATAGTATAGCACCCTTGCGACGTAAAACATGGCTTCTGCCATATAAGTTTTCGTCTGGGATGAATTTGATACACTTCCCCCCCCCCCACCTTCCTACGTGCTGCCTTATTGTATACTAACTTAACTTTAAAATCGCACCGCTGACGCTATTAGAAATCATTCTAATATATGCCTTAAATCAATTGATTGTACGGTTGCAATAACTAATTCTTTATATGAGAAAAACTTAATTGAATCGATCCGGGTGATTGCTATCATGGTTATCAGTCAATGAGTTTTTACAAGTTATCCATAGATCAAGGGAGTAATGCTAATAAAAAGTCCCAGCGTCGTCCTTCGGTCGCTACTTCCTTCATAATATATACTTCTCGCGGTGATTAATATACACAGATATACCATCTGTGCACTATCACGTTAATCACAAACCGTACAAGGATAAGAGAGAATGATACCATAACGTACCAAAATACGTACGTCGGCATTCGTGTCAGTATCCGGGACACCAACGCAAGGCCGGCCGACGTGCGACGCGGGGCTTTTGGTTGGGCAATGATTAAGAACTGTCGCCGCGGATATACACTAGAAATAAGCCCTTACTACTAAGGGTTGACCCTTTTTAGTGTAGCGGTATTTTTCTGCCACAAGAACCTAGTTCAGCGGGGCGAGCAAATAGACATTAGGAGAAGGTAAAAGACCCCTCCTACCGGTAGATAATGGGAAGGAGAGCTTGAGATATCTTCCGGCTATTAGAATATACCTCAACCCAGGGCTCTCCCTCCGTGGGTGGATGACAATTTGGGGAAAGGCCTTCGTCTTCGCGAGCATAAGGGCAAGCTAATTACCCATTCTCTCTCTAATGTGCGTTTTATGACTGGACCAATAAAGGCGAATTGGCATTCGTATGACCGAATTGGAACCTCGGTATGGTAACGATTGACCATGCAGCCACACTATTGTTGGTAAGCTGACAATTTTATTCATTCACTCTGTTTTTGCCGAGAGACGATAACATTTCTTCACCATGTCATATCGATCTGGATGCGGTTAGCATAATCGTGCAACAAGGCCATACCCGCGTCCAACTTTTCCCCAGCCTCTTTTGCCCGATCTCCCATGATACTGGACGTTGCCAGTGTGGCTGATGTGCGAGTGTCCCATGGAATTGCCCGCTGCACTCAGCGATACACTGTCAGCCAAGGTGCCTGATCGGCCCCAGGTTCATTGCTCCTTAGATAACACTGAATTACTGGGACCATTTATTACTGTACAGCAGTCCGTTCTTAGAACAAAATAGATGGGAGAAAGAAATCTCCTGGCCCCAAGTAAATAATCGATGCTCCTATGTTTGCGTTACTGTGGCTATCGCTTAAGATTTGCTCATTACCCAGACATTGTTCACTTAATCCCGCCTGTTTCTTGACTGTACAGTAGCTTTCTTGCTCAACTGTCTGCACTCTTTATTAAATATTATCGCTCTCTTTAATGTTCCATATTAGTGATTTTTATATTATAGTGTAATTCTCCGTGAACCGTTATCCGGACATAAAGACGGGAAAGGACGATTAATTGTATTCGCACACGGTCACGAGAGATTCTTCAAGCAAAGACGACGGTTTAATGAAAATCCATTTAGACTGTCAGAAACCTGACCGGCGTCATATGACCCACAAACCTCCTGAAGTGCAGCGCCGGAGGCGCCTGCACTTGCTTGCTGCACAGAGTGCAGCTTATTGTTAGTTTAATACACTATACTATTCCATGTATTCTGTGCCTTAGGTACGCCAGGGAAGTCCTTACAGCCCAATATACCTATCGCTTTATTCTTAGTTTTACTTCTATTTTTCTTTATCTTTACCTTCTTATACAAAAAAAAGATATATGCGTTGGTTACCTCCGTAGACCTTTGATCTTTCTGCATAATATTTTCTTCTTTTTATATATGACCTATCTAGATCATTTGCTCATATATCATCTCTTCTTTCTTATCCTAGGTCATTCAACAAGCGTTTCTTTTTTAAAGCCTTTCTTATAAGAAGTTTCCTTTCATCTTTGTTAGTAGGCTAAGGAATCCATTTCTTCCATGCGATAAGATGGGCCAGGCTGCTATGAGGATCCTGGGAAGTCCTCTGTACTTTAAACTCTCAAGTATATGCTCGGTCATCCTATGAGCTAAGCTAGCTTCTAGAGATAGAAGCACCAGCCATGCCGAAGAGCCAAAGTTATATTTCTAATGACTATAAATTTTGCTAATGTCTAATAATAAAAGTAAACCATTCTTTGTTAGCGATGCATTAAAAAAGCTACTCTACCTATAGACCTACCATAACACTTTGCTTTCGGGTTCAATCTACCCCATCAGTTGCTTTCTTTATACTCCTCGAGATAGAGACCGTAAAATGCGAAGTTTCTGGTCCACGTATGGGTGACACGAAATTATTTTCATTTCTTGCGATAGGCGACAAAGATATCATGAGATATGCAATATTAACTGATTTTATAGACTTCGCACCAGGAATACACTACGTATTATGTCTACGCAATCTCAACATATACGAACGTATTATCTCTTTGTCTAATCGGATTCCAATGTCTCTCATCCTCCCCCTGGATCAGCGAATTGCTAGTCAAACAAATAGCGCGAAAGGTTAGTTTCTGAAAGCCCTTTGTGACAAAGCAAATTCCAAAGGCAACATTCGGATTGACTAATTATCCTTATCTCGGCGTCATATGGCTCGCTATTAGATAATGCGCAATAAACAAATACCTTTCTATTTGGCTACAATTCTGGACTTGATATACTTTCTCAGATATTCAAGTAGGGGACGGTCGATATTCCTGTTTAAGTACAGATTGATAAAATAACATTCAGCAATATAAATAATTAACGGCATACGTATCAATGACCAATTTAAGACAAAAAAATATATAACATTTCCGAGTGACACCGCCACCTCACCAGCCACTAAAAGTAATACGTTAACAGTGACCGAAATATTACAGGACATCTGTTCTATCAGAGGAAATATACGCTACCCTCAAACATTAAAGATGCACCTAAATAATTTGATCTGTTGAGCTTAATTTAGGATTTCCTTCGGCGAGGGTCTTAATCGCACGAGCATCTTATTGATTGACACAGCTTCTACTCGCTAATGACCAGAACTTGTCCACTAACAAATGAGGTTTCCAGACGTTCCTCAAAAACTTGAGACCATACTCTAAATCGCGCAGATGAGCATCCCCATTTCTTCTAGCCTCATCATCTAATTTTTGAAACACTGCATCACCAGAGACAAGGTTTGATCATCTAGTCACCTGGATAATACATCGTTTCTAATGCCGTATTCTACGTAACAACTCTCTCTTCTTAAAGCTCTAGGCAATTGACATTTCAACATTAAACACACCGCGCTAGATCTTGCTTCGATAGATTTGTTGCCAGTAATTCTGTTACTAGCGCTAGCAATTTGATAATATAGTAAAATTTATCTTTCTCGCTGTCAGTCATGGACTATAGACAAAGTTGCGGGTTTCACTTAATAAAGAAATCACGAGTCCACCATTGGGAAAGTGATCCAGATCACCGGACATGTTTGAACTAACATTGACTATCACGCTGGTTGTTTGCATTTGATAACTCACATGCACCGTCTTCCCCTTCGTTAGTCACGTATTCTTTACCTGCAATGCGACATGAGTAAGCGTATAAATGTTACCCGGGCATCGTTTCTTTTTCTCTTAGGAGCAACAGAACCAACCTACTTCGGCATGCCCTCCATCAAGGTGCATCACCCGCGAGCGCGCACCTACAAAATGTCCACGGCTACGTACTATTATTGTAGGTATTCTATCCGCACAGACAACCGTATATGCTGATCGGAAGACGGCCACGGTTCAAAATAACTAAGCTGACGAGAGACATTCCTGACGATCGGTCCCTCGGGTCCCACTCCATCTTGCCCGGACATCCAACATCCATTGCGTTGACGAGTAAGATTCGGCCTTCCCCGTGTACTAGGGGACTTGAACATTATCATATCGCGATGCATGCCATCATAAAACTTGATCAAACAAATATCGCGGCGTCTTCACCTTTCCATGTCGTGGCCGTGTTGTCGACGAAATAACCCGATCAATGTAATTAGTTAACATGCGGAGCTAGCCTATTCTACTACTACTTTTACCCAGGTACTCCCTTGCAGCTCTAGTCGGCAAGGATCACTGAGTACTTGGCCGTCATTTCACGGCTTGGCCAGGGCTAGAACCTCGTAAAAAATAACCATTATCCTCGCCATTTGCAAACGCTCCTTCATCTTATCCAATTCGCTCCATTTGGATTCCCACATTGACCGGCTTTCACACTGGGGAGCCGCCAGTTACAGTCTAATGGGTCTTCTGTCTCAACCCGTGATCAGTAAAAATTAAGCGTCCCAGTGACCTTGGAGTAATCCAACCAAAGTTTGTCTTTGGGTTCGGGAACACCGTGAGAGACGTTCAAGTTGTCCCAGTATCGAATATTCCCCGCCAAAATCCCAAAAGTCTCGTATAGCCATCATAATTGGTGCTTCCGGGGATCGGTACTGGACATCAAGGATTGAGTGTTTATGTCCAGATAAATACTTAATTCTGTCCAACCAACATTGCTCGCACGAATGACCGCCTGCTTTAGCCATCGGGCCCCTAAATGGAGATACCATTTAGTCAAAGTTATGAAAAGGGGGCCACGTTGGGGTAGCCTATTAACCATCAACTATGGTACTAGGCGCAGGTTATTGTTGTCAGTTACAAGTTAAACCCATGAACCCGATGAAATGACCGAAGCGTGCAAATGGAGCCCTTGAACTCCGGGCAGACTGGACAACTTGCGTTACGTTTTCCCCGGGCGCTAAATACCTATAAATACAGAGGTCCCCACCGCACTCACGGGCCGTGTGCCCCTTATATTCGTCTCGTGCGAAAATGTTGGACAAGATTCCTGCAGATGTCATTTTATTAGTTACTGAACACGTAAGTTTTCGTCAGATATATCTTAGAGAAAAATGATTAAAAAAGGCAGATCCGACACAAACGCGATTTGAATAGTCTCTCGCAAGCTTCAAAGAACTTCCATACTCTACTCACACCAATTTTATACAGATCGATTACCTTGGCCGCTGATGAGTGCGATATCCAGAATCTCAATATCGGCTCCATTCTCAAGTATAGCACCGATTACTTACGTTTCGTGAAAAATCTCGAAATAACCGCCTTCTTTCATTTGCGTCTCCGTACTCGTTGCCCACGAAATGGTGATTATGAGGGTGAGTCTTCTGAAGAAGACGAGATTCACGAGGAGAATGACGCGATGAGTTTGGGACAGATGACGCAGTCGACAATGATATCAATATTTTCTCAAGCGACAAATTCAGTACCTACTCAAGCGAAGACTATGAAGGCAGCGTTTCAGGTAGCGCTGACTCGACATCAGCGTTACAGCATGAATACAGTACAGATATTGAGACGGACGGTAATTCGATTAAGAATTCATCAGTGTTACTGTGCATGAGAATGAATGGAGAGCAACCGCAATGTCGGCAGCCCAACGAGTCTACGATGAATTCATGACGGCCTTGGAGTTGCAACTACTACCTCTTCTCGAGTGCGTCTCTGATGGGCTCTTCAAACATTCTGGTGCGTCCATATATCTGCCGTGTCAAGAAGAGAATTGCTCAGCTGAGTGATATTCAGTTGGAATTTAGGCATTTGTGTCCCCAAGGGAGTGGTTCAACTTTTATCCAAAACACAACTCCAGCTACAATCCTTGTCAATCACCAATGATACAAGCTGCAGCCAGGATTATTCCCTGTCTTTGGACGACTATAATGGATTTTCCAGTCTTCGCCGTGTCTGCTTTGTACCTGGGGAACTCCCAAACGAACAAGCTATAGGTAAAATTCTTCAGCAAAGCGCACACGACTTAAAAGAACTTGTTTTTGATCGACAGGATCCCTTCAGTGATGGACACGAGTGGGAAAACATGAATCAGCAGAATGCTTTTACTCACGAACTACTTAATTTGCTGCCTGGCGCTGGGTACCCGCTCTTCCGCTCTCTGAGAAATCTGGCGCTGTCGTTCGTATCCTTTCAGCATGGCGTTGATGACATGATAACTGCGCTCAACTTTCCTCAACTGCTCTCTCTCAGATTGCGAAACTGCTTAGGAATGAATCAAGTCTTTACAGCGCTTGCTCAATCGTCACTGAGATTGCAGCTAACCCGCTTCGAAGTCAACTTCACGGGGGCTTTCGTTGAGCAGGAAGATATTATGCCCCTCGTTATGTTCCTGCGGTCTTTCAGTGGTCTACGAGACCTGTTTGTTCTCTGTCGGCCGCTTCGAGAGCAAGCCAATGATTTTTGGCTCTCCGTTAACCATCACAGATCCACCCTGCAAAGGTTTGTCTATCAGCAAAGCACTCTCTACGAGAGTCGCAATGACCCAGAATTGGAAACCTTATGGGGATTAAATACTGTTGATTATATAGGCATTTGTTGTGAGACATAGAAATTGGTAAACTTCATTCCCTGATGATTCTGACCAGTGGAACTAACGGTCATTTACTTGAAACTAGTTTACTTCGCTTAGTAACACGCTTCTGCGGCCAAAAATCTCGTTCCTACATATTCGCCAGACGGGGCTACTCGATTTCAACGCACTTTGTGAACGGACTACTGAAAGAGCTGTCCTAGACTTTTCGGAATCCGTACCATCAGTTCTTGACTTTGCGAAATGGGCATTTGGACCAGAAGGGCTTCCAGAACTGCAAATATTGGCATATGGAGATTTTACATATCGCGGGCGCCAGCCTTGTATTGCTTGGGGTCGATTGAGCACCATCCCAGGAGAGACACTATTACTGGACAAAGCCGACCTTCCGTTCCAAGAGATTGCCGAAAGCGATTTTGGACGGTGGGAATGCATACAAGACAGCCTTGATTTTCTGGAAGCCTGTCCCGAGGATTCACTTTTGCATCATTTCTAGAGACTTAATCCTTCGGGTATCTCCATACCATGGGATTGTGGGATTGCAGGCAGAGACGGTGAGGCGGGCGACCGTGGTTGCGGGGCGTTCCAGTGTGGTACTATATGTTCTCCAGAAGACTTTTAATCTCATTATTCCCTCCCAGGTCGTAGTATTTCGATTGTTCGTGATAGAATATTCGTATATTTTCAAGATCTCCCATTGTGGGGGTAGTGTATCTAAACACGAATAATTCGTTTTATATAGATATATTTGAGTAGAGTGAAATGTACGTAGAGTTAAAGCTATATAGCACTTTATTTAATCGCGAAATCTTGCTGCTTACGAAGCTTTTCCTCTTCTTGTGAAGCCTTTGCAAGCTGTAAAGCTTTATCTTTCTCCGCTTGAAGATCACGGGCTTGCTGAATCTTCTTAGGAGAGTAAAACACCGCGTAGCCGTCCTCAGGGGCCCGTAATTCAGAAAGAAGAGGCTTACCCCGCTGGCGCTTCTTCTTCTCTAGCTGTAGAGCTTCTTCAAGGCCTTGGCAGCGTAGTTTCAAGATAATATTCTCCGTAGAGAGATGATGCATCGTAGAACTCAATTTTTGAGCATTTTGATCATATAAATCGGTCACTGCTTGCTTAAGAAGCCTCTCTATCTTTCTCCAGTCTTCTGCACCAAGCACTGAGCGAGATGAATCACTAGAGGAAGGCCAATTATCATCATCTCGGCTGAATCGAGATAAAACAACCTCGGGATCCCACGGCGCGATTCCTACCGATTGCCATGAAGAAATGATATTTTCAAGCGATAAAGCGCAACCCTATGAAGGCCAAAAGAGGCGGAAAAAGTCCCTTTTCGTAATATGACAGAGGCCTAAGCTGGTGTGAAGAAATCGCTCTAATTCATTGCTGTACGCGATTGAAAGTGGTGAGAATATTCCGACGTCAAGCGGCTGTAACGAATGCGTAGAATGAGGTGGATACGTCATTAAAAGAATCTTATTCGCTTCGCAGTAGTTGAAAACTTCATATTGACGTGTGAGCCATGGCCATCGAGTATAAGAAGCCTCCAACGTCTTCTTGCCTTTGCCTTAGTCTCTCGATCGAATATATCACGCAGCCACGCGTATCCTAGCTCATCATTCGTCCAGCCAGAGGGTGAAGATGCAAAGAAACACTTGTGTTGAAGGGCCTCAAAATCCTGCAGCCAGGAATCTTGAACTTTTGAAGATGCAGCTTGATATATAAGGCCCGGAGATAGCGAGGTCCCATCAGCGCAGATACAGGCAATCGTAGTAATCTATTCGCGATTTCCATCTTGAAGCCGTTGATTCATTCCATCTCGCTCGTAGACCTTCTTTGAGAAGATCCTTGGTATCGCCCAACGTGGAACAAACACGTACCTCGCGCAAGACTTTCTGCGTCCATTGGTGCATGATGTTTGTGCTGGCCCGATTTGTAGTCAGATCTCATCGAATTCATACGCACTGCTTGGTCCAATGTTTTCGAGCCTATGGCCAAGAAGGTTGAACCCATGCATGGTGTCGCCTAAATCTTTTGCTTCCAGATGATTCTCATCTATCGGCTTTTGTTTTGTATATGATAAACCACCAGAAAGTCGGCCGATGAAGTCAGAAACCTTTACCTTTTCGCGTGGGTTCTGCGTCGGTCGCGTTTTTCTTTAAAATCTGGTTCGCAGTCTGCAGTCATATGTACCCGCAGTGGGCGAAATAAACATTGTATCGACTCGCCTGATGCACTGATTGACTGCATAGTCTTGTGCCTCATTAAGGGGTCTGCTTGGTCGATGGCGAATCGAACGAGATCAACGGATTAAAGCGGATCCGGAGTTAGTGTACTGACATGTTCAAATCATGGGCGAATTGTGTAGAAATGCGACTATTTGTTGACCTTTAATGGAATCATAGGCCTCAAAAATAAGCTGTTCAGCTCTTAGGCATGTATCTGTCATAATGATGCTTTTTAAGAGCAGAAAAGAGGAAAACGATCGTCGAGACCGGAGCACTAACACGCGGGATAGTGGTGGGAAGACTACAAAAGGGAAAGTCAGATTATAGTGAGGGAGAAAGTGGCTAAGTCTTAAAAGTCATGTGATAAGGTAATGAGAGATCATAGGTCACATCTCTAACTCGGGATTACTTTCTCTTATTGAACTTTTGTTCAATCTGTTAGCCACATCCATTTCTGTCCCGTTGAGTATCTCGATAACTCGTCGCTATATAGAGGCTTTGCTTGAGAATAATTGTAAGCCCTAAAGACAAGCTTACTGGGTTTCTTGCCCACTTTTGCTTAATTACTTATGCTGACGGTAATCATGCGTCAGATATCCGAGCATACGATGGATTGCCCGTTTCTCATCCCCATCTATATCTGTCTCTTTTTTTGTTGTATTGTTATAATTGTCATTTCATTTAAGCTCTGTATTTCCTGGAACGAGAATGATGATGATTGGATTTGTACTCTTTTATCTTGAGAATTTCCGATTATTCCCACACGCTGTAAAGTGTATTACGTTTCTTATTGATTTCTTACGTCTTTACATTGCTGCCCGAGATCTCCGTTTAAACGACCAAATCTTATTATTATAGCGCATCAATTTCATCTTTCAAGTCTGTCATGATAAATCTTCCGGCAGAAGTAGATGATCACATTGGGTTCTTACACATTTCACTTTAATCATACTAGGTGCAGTGTTGCCGACGATTAAACGGTCATTTTATAGCCATACTTAACTTACTGCGAGGAACAGATTCACTATCTGGTAAAGAAAGTTGGATCTGCGCGGCTGGTCGCGGTGGGTCCGCTGGAGAAACAGACTATATAAGATTAGTTGTGTTCCGGTGTTGAGAAAGTAGGACCAGGTTTCTTACCAGCACGGCCCTCAAAGGCGAGCTGTGTCGGCCCTTGGTGGAGGTGAGCTGTGTCGGTCCTTGGAGGCGAGCTGTGTCGGCCCTTGAAGGTGAGCTGTGTCGGTCCTTGGAGGCGAGCTGTGTCGGCCCTTGAAGGTGAGCTGTGTCGGCCCTTGGAGGCGAGCTGTGTTGGCCCTTGGTGGAGGCGAGCTGTGTCGGCCCTTGGAGGCGAGCTGTGTCGGCCCTTGGTGGAGGCGAGCTGTGTCGGCCCTTGAAGGTGAGCTGTATCGGCCCTTGAAGGTAAGCTGTGTTGGCCCTTGAAGGTGAGCTGTGTTAGCTCACGCCCTCTTAAAGCAGCCCTTTAAGACTCCCAGCGAAAGCAAAACATCTCTTCATGATGCTGGGGACTAGTACTCGTTTATCATTTGATGCACAAAGAAGCCAAAACCTACTCTGACTCCTAATTTACTGTACATGCTGTACATTGGGAAGTTGTCGATGCTATAGGCGTCTTTTTCCCTGTTTGTTTTAATTCCCATGTTCGTACTGTGTAGTAGACTACCATCCAATCAGTATTTAAATAAAGTGAAATCAACGTTACAGTATTCAGGCCCGTTATATCACTAAAAACAATAATACCATAGAAAATGCGTCGAACTGTCTTCCTGCATTCTTGTCAAATCAGACTATGTAGCCGCAATAACAGGAGAGAATTGGTTTTTAGTAGGCCAACGATATAGAGAGTGCACGCGTCCATTGGCAGCCGCGCACAGTTGCCAGCTGCTCTGCCACCGCTCAGTATCTGCTAATAAAGAATGTCTATCATTTTAGGGTACACGCGCGCGCGCGTGTGTGTGTGTGTGTGTGAAATCATTTACCCTGACCCCTCGCGAACGATATGCAGGCTACAACAACTATATATATCCGTGTACGTACAGTAGGTGGTGGTGGTGGTGGTGAATTCATACGCTGATCCCTCGCCTAGGCGATATGCAGGATCCACTATCTAGTCCTTATATATACGTCTGAGTACATGAACCATTACTTCCCAACGAATTTAGAGCCTCGTCACGGCCTGTGGTGGCCTACATGCCTAGTGTTATGTTCTGCGGCCCGACGGCACGCGGCTTTGAAACCTCTGCGATGCCTCTGCGAAGTCCAGTACTGCGCCTAAAACGCTACCGTCTTGCATATCATCCTGCTTACCTTGCTTACCTTGACCTCTTCCTCCTAACATATCTGATATATCATTGAATGCATTCCCGATCTTCCTCCGTAGCGTCTGGCGTGGAAGATTCAACTTTGGGCAGTCTATTAGGACATGGATGACTGTTTCTGCTGCTCCACATTCACATTTGTCGTCATCCCGGAAGCGGTGAAGTTTGGCGTGTGCTGCTAGCCATGAGTGGCCCGTCCGGAGTTGGGTGAGCAGGTAGGCTCGATTCCGTTGCAGCGAGCCATAGAGCCTGCGAGTGTGGATTGAGGGTAGGTCCTTATCTATCCGGCGGAGATGGCCACCTTTCGGTGAGGTCTTCCATTCGTTTTCCCACTGTTTCTGAATTCTCTTGCGGATGAATCCCTTTTCTCGCGATAGAAGGTGCTGAAATGGGTGCTTCTTGTTGGGACCAACTGCTTCCTTGGCCAATCGGTCTGCTGCTTCATTGCCGGGGTCGCCGCAGTGCCCTGGGACCCATTGGAGGCGAAGAGAAATCCCGCGTGCATCTAGCTCTCTAGCTGAGTGAGTAATAGCATGGATGATTCGTTGCCCTGATTTATTCCTTGTGTTCGCTATAGCTTGTAGCGCTGACATGCTGTCGCTTAGGATGGTTGCCGGCTCGTGGTTTCCGGAAATCGGTGTCACCCCCGCACTCTTTCATTGTTTCCCAGACCCTAAATGCCAAGATAAACTAATCTACTTTCGGACAAGCCATGTCAGCCTCATTTGTTTTAAGACCGTACCGTAAATTACCGGAATATTGTAATGGCGGGGAAGCTGTTTATCACCTGTAAGGTGAGAAGTTGCAGCCTGAGGCCTCAAATCAACTTCCCAATCCCCACACTGAGTGGTGCAACGAACCATGGCTCCCAACCTAGCAAGGTTTAGCGCCCGGCGGTCACCCGGGAGCGGGGCAAAAGACATGATGACTTTCAGGAGATAGAACTTTCGCTCGGCTTAGAGCAGCCGCATTTTACGCACTGGATATTCAGCATGAGTTCGACATCTTTTGATAGTAGGAACACGGGTTTCCAACTTGGAAATAATCATGGGACAATCGGGACAATCAACTTTTCATCCGGTATGTGTCAACAGTTCTCCAAAAGCCGTAATAAGGTGACTAACGATTTGGCCCAGACCGACCGGAAAACCCAGTACAGAAGACAGACAACGGTTCGCTCCACACTGTACCAGTCCCAGACAATCTGACTAACCACAGACGAAGAGCTGCGCAGGTCACTAGCATTTCCACAGATGCTAGATCGGAGGGATAATATCGAGCCATGTCACACGAACACCTGCCAATGGATATTAGAGCTGGACGAGTATCAGTCCTGGAGGAGTCAGTCCTGTGGTCTACTCTGGATTAAAGGAAAGCCGGGTGCGGGAAAATCGACCTTGATGGCCTTCCTACATGACAAACTCAAAAATTCACAGGATGACATACATGGCAGTATTCGACTGGATTTTTTCTTTACTGCCCGAGGCACAGAGATGCAACGTACACCGCTTGGAATGTTTAGGTCGTTATTGAACCAGATTTTCGACCGCGACGCGACCATACGTCCTCAAGTGCGCGAGATCTATGAACAACGATGTAGACAGTTTGGATACGGAGAACGCAAGTGGGAGTGGCCGCAAACGATACTTGAAGAGTTATTGGCGACTTCTATCCTGGCATCAGCCAACGAGCAGCCTGTGATTATCTTTGTGGATGCTCTAGATGAGGCTGGGGCTGAGTCCGCCCGAGAACTTGCCGCATATTTCCACCGTCTGGTCGATCGTGCTGACAAAAAGAAGCTAACACTCCAAGTCTGTATTTCATGTCGACACTACCCTATCTTGGAAAGTCCTCGGGCAAGAGGGATACATGTCGAAGACCACAATCAAGATGACATTGCTACATATATCAAGGATATGCTTCTTGAGACAGAGTTCGGAGATGTTCCTAGTCAAGAGAAGAGAGAGGTGTTGGTGGAGGAATTAACCCAGCATGCTAAGGGTGTGTTCCAATGGGCCCATCTTATCATACCCCTTGTCAAGCAAAGATTTAGTGAAGGGGAGTCAATTAGCGATATTCGCGATTGGCTGGGTTATGTTCCAGCTGACCTAGAAAACGTCTATGTGTATATTCTGAGCAACGTGATCACGGCTAGGAATCGAGACCAATCATTCCTATTCTTTCAATGGGTATGCCTGGCCGAACGACCCTTGACTGTACTTGAAATGCGATACGCATTGGCGGCTAGGAATGCCCAAACAACGTCGTCTCGAATCGAATGGGAAAGGCTCCCTGGCTTTGTCGAAAGCAATGAACGAATGAAGCTAAGAGTCAAGGCTCTTGCTGGTGGACTGGCTGAAGTAGTCACAAGTGGGAATGACGAGGAAACCGTACAGGTTGTTCACCAGTCTGTCAATGATTTCTTGCGGGAAAAAGGACTTGCCCTCTTATGCCGTGGCATCGGCGCTAGTATGGGGTCCGTGGATATGGGCAGTATTCTCTCTCAGTCCCAGGCAACTCTCTACCGATCGTGTCTGGTATATCTTGCCACGATCTGTTCATACACACAAATCAGTAATTTTCGGGGCTCAAAGGAGAAGCTTATTTGTGATTACCCATTTGTGAACTATGCGACCATCAATCTCTTTATTCATGCAGAAAAAGCTGCCAACTCTCGAGGTGCCTTGCTGCAGAATGAAAAGGACATCCTACAACGAATGGTCAGCTATTGGGTTCAAATCTATCGATGTCTTGATCCTTATCACACAGCATGTCCACCCATAGGCACAACAATTTTACATATGGCTGCCGCTGCCAATCTGGTTGACGTGGTAATATCTGCTTTGTCGGATGAGGAAGATATAGAGAGGAAAAACAAAGTTGGAAATACAGCGTTACACTTCGCTGCACGAGCAGGGCACACGGCGACCGGCAAAATACTGCAGGAAAGAGGAGCAAACCGAGAAGGGAAAAACAACGATGGAGCGACTCCATTAATGGAGGCAGCTAGATGTGGACATTTGGGGTTTGTGGGATGGCTTTTAGGTGAGGGCGTGAAAATTGAGACAGGAGGTAGGAGCGCGCTTCAAAAGGCTGCATTGGAAGGTCACAGTGCAATTGTAGTGATATTACTCGGGGCTGGAGCGCATATCAACGCCCAGGGTGATCAATACGGCAATGCCCTACAAGCTGCTGCGTGGAGAGGAAGTGCTGAGACGGTCAGGATCCTGCTCGACGCCCAGGCCAATGTCAATGCTCAGAGTGGTGAATACGGCAATGCCCTACAAGCTGCTGCGTGAAGAGGAAGTGCTGAGACAGTCAGGATCCTGCTCGACACCCAGACCGATATCAACGCCCAGGGTGGTCAATTCGGCAATGCCCTACAGACTGCTGCTACTGCATATGAAGAAAATGCTAAAACGGTCAAGATCCTGCTCAACGCCCAGACTAATGTCAACGCTCAAGGTGGTCAATTCGGTAATGCCCTATAGGCTACTGCGTATAATGGAAGTGCCGAGACAGTCAAAATCCTGCTCGATGCCCAGGCCGATGTTAACGCCCAGGGTGGTGAATACGGCAATGCCCTACAGGCTGCTGCGTATAATGGAAGTGCTGAGACGGTCAAGATCCTGCTCGACGCCCAGGCCGATGTCAACGCCCAGGGTGGTCAATTCGGCAATGCCCTACAGGCTGCTGCGTATAATGGAAGTGCTGAGACGGTCAAGATCCTGCTCGACGCCCAGGCCGATGTCAACACCCAGGGTGGTCAATTCGGCAATGCCCTACAGGCTGCTACGTATAATAGAAGTGCTGAGACGGTCAGGATCCTGCTCGACGCCCAGGCCGATGTCAACGCCCAGGGTGGTCAATACGGCAATGCCCTACAAGCTGCTGCATGGAGAGGAAGTGCTAAGACGGTCAAGATCCTGCTCAACGCCCAGGCCGATATCAACGCCCAGGGTGGTCAATACGGCAATGCCCTACAAGCTACTGCATGGAGAGGAAGTGCTAAGACAGTCAGGATCCTGCTCAATGCCCAGACCGATGTCAACGCTCAGGGTAGTAAATACGGCAATGCCCTACAGGCTGCTGCTACTGCATATGAAGAAAATGCTAAGACGATCAAGATCCTGCTCAACACCCAGGCCAATGTCAACGCCCAGGGTGATCAATTCGGCAATGCCCTACAGGCTGCTGCGTGGAGAAGAAGTGCTGAGACAGTCAAAATCCTGCTCAACACCCAGGCCGATGTCAACATCCAGGGTGGTCAATTCGGCAATGCCCTACAGGCTGCTGCATAGAGAGGAAGTGCTGAGACGGTCAAGATCCTGCTCAACGCCCAGGCCAATGTCAACGCCCAGGGTGGTGAATATGGATTACCCCTCCTGGCGGCTATCTATTCAGGCCATGCTAATACTATTCAAATCCTTCTTCATGCGGGTGCAGATATTGCCCTTACAGATGAGATCGATCAGACTCCTCCTCACATCGCAGCTTCAAGAGATATGGTCGACATTCTGTCCCAATTCCCGCAACTTGCTTCGGCTATCAACAAGTGCAACAGGCTCTTACAAACCCCTCTTCACCTAGCTGTCTACTTTGGCCACATCCGATTTGCTATTAAACTTCTCTATCTTGGTGCCGATCCTTCTCTTCCAGACGGCTATGGCAGACATGCTATGGACTGGGCACTCGGGAACGATACTTTGACGCGAGAAATAACTAAGCGTTTCCCTTATCTATCGTTAACACCTCACGAAAAGCAACAATTAATTCTTCAACAATCCATCTTCCTCCTCTCTGATATTCTTCCTGGGCTACACGCTAATTATGCTTGGCTTGTTTTGCAACAATTAGCTCGGTATTACCTATTTCTTAACAACACAACCAACGCACGCTATATCTTTCACTTTTCCCCCCCTCAGAAAAACAACCTTGCCACTCATAGATGCAAGCCTATCTGCAATTTCTGCAACAACTCTATCGCTGGGACTCGTTTCGTTTGCAGAATTTGTCCAAATATGGATATCTGCTCCTCCTGCGTACCCAAGCATCCGTTCCATTGCATTTTGTATTCAAATCAAAAGCATGAAGTTTTCGAAATGCCTGAGCTGCCTGATGACAAATCTCTCGAGTACAGCCATTTACATAATTCTGAGGCTGGCTTGCATCACAGAAGGAAACCCACAGTTGTCTATCATTGTAGACCCATGGGCCCAGCTTGTAAAAGGCAACCTGCAGTTGTTTACTGGTGATGAACTAGACAGGATAACCATCAGCCCTCACCTCTTAGAGACCCACCTATGTCCCACGCTCCCGCTCGAACATTCTTATTTATATCAACCTCTCAAGAGCAAGGGCTCAATCCGATTATTAAGACTGGAGGCCGAGAACAAGGACGACATGACCATTTCCGGTGCACTTGAAGAGGTTTCTTTGGATGACTGTAGTATCAAATACACCGGTCTCTCATATACCTGGGGCTCGTCTCTAAAGCCGTTCAAGTTAAGGACGAATCTGGGATTTATAGCTTTGACCACATCGTTGTACTTTGCCATAGTGCAGATGCTTCGGGATACGAACGGGCCACGGGTGATTTGGGTTGATGCAGTCAGCATAAACCAGGAAAATGAAAGTGAGAAAGCCGGACAGATTGAGATACTGCATGAAATCTTTGGTCAGGCGGCGGGAATTCTAGATTGGGTTGGCAAAGAAAGCGTTGACAGCAGACTTGCTTTTGACACAATGAGATACCTTTCACGCATCCTTCCAGAAGAGTTGAGTGGCTTTGACATGAGGGTCAACTCAGATAGATGGGCCGCCGTTAATGCCTTGATCGCACGGCCTTGGTTTCGTCGCACTTGGATTGTCCAGGAAGTTGTCTTCGCAAGGAGATTGACTCTGGTCTGCGGCCGGGATCAGATACAGTGGGACGACTTTTGGTACGGGATCAAGACTTACATCGACTTAGCAAAAGTTTCAATCTCCAACCTTCAGATCCCTAGTATTCGTCACACCAAAAATATACAGAGTCTGAGCAGCGAGCGTCAGCGGTACTGAGATGAAGCGCCCAGCCGACCAAGCTTGATGGAGCTTCTCGATACTTTCCAACACACCGAATGCTCCCTTTTGCGCGATAAGCTTTTTGCATTACGATCCCTCGCAGGCGAGGCATTGAATAACAAGTTCAGACCCGATTATCGGTCGAGCCTGACGGATGTATTGCACAGATATGCAGCAACATTTGTTGCGCAAGGAAATGCCCTGCAGTTACTGTCCCGTGCGGCAGTTAGCAGCGAACCGGACAAGGACCTGCCATCATGGGTGCCGCGTTGGACTTCTATACCCTACCCACGGACAATCACTTCCTGGAAATCAGCAGATATCAATATTAGCGGTAGTGGGACTTCTGAGGTCGCGTGCAACGCAGTGCAAGCGCCGTTCTTCAAGGATCTAGAGCGCCATATCCTCGTGATTCAGGGTCACCTGTCCGAACCCTTGAAGTTTGTGGGCGTGTGCAATTCTGATTCCGAGAATATCTTAGACTACCTCGACGAGATGTTTAAGACGGTTGAGTCCTTATCGCGATATAAGCAGGGACACGACGATCTAATCTGGAAGCTAGCCATTGGCGATGCGGCGAACCTGCCTGAGGTCAACGATGTAGTGCCGAACTATCGAAGGTCCTACGAAGAGCTTTGAAAGTTCATGAAAGGCGGCACGCACTGGGGATTGAGCTCTTCTGTCTCTCGCGCCGCGGAAGCGCGTTGAGAACAGAAGAGAGGTCTCTGGCTGTATGTTAGAACGGCTATTCTGTTTGCAGAGGACCTTCGGCCAGCGGTGGTGGCTACAACGACTGAGGGATCCGTTGGCTTGGTTCCCGCAGCTGCATGTCCTGGAGATACAATTTGTTTTGTTCATGGTGCTACGGTCCCAATTTTGCTTCGTCGGAACCAAAAAACAAACCAGTACTGGACGCTGGGGGAGTGTTATTTTCCTGGAATCGCGCAGCAGGGCAGCAAATGCTATGGGTATGTGGAGCAACAAGAGATCTGTATTTATTAATTTGAATTCAAGATATTGTATTGTCTGATAACGTCCCAACACTTTGGAGTCTAAGAACTTATTGGGATATTTTATCTACTTATGCCTCTTGACCAATTGTTGAATTCTAACGGTGCAAGCAAACTACGTCCTTTACAGCAAGAAGCTAGCAAAGAAGCCCTAATAGCTCATGAATGCGTCTATCAACATCAATACAGGCTACAACCCCCCCTCTAAAGCAACGTGGTTCGCTATAATAACCTCGATCTATTTAAACACACGGAGTTCGACAGGAAATACACCATATGCCCACACAAAGGACTCATTCAATATATCAATATTAATAAATACTAATAATAGAGCGAATACTCGCCTAAGTGTTATCCGACTCGATATCAACTTTCTTCCATCTATTACCGAAAAAGACCATAACATCGTCAAATCTATCTCGGTCACCATCTCCGTCAGTCTTTGTATGTTAAACTCTAACTCCTAATGTTATACCGTCACCAGTTCTGTCATCTTCTCCCTCTATACAGAAAAAATAAACGATCTAGTAATAGTACTAATTACCTTTGTAAGTGCCCTGAGAACCCCAGTTACTATTATCTTCAGCTCCTTTAGGAGATCGCATACGCACTTTAGATAGGAATAGAAGCTCTGAACTATGTTATATAAATTAATACTTAATTCGAACACGAAAGTGGCTAATACCAGCAATCAAGAAGCCAGATTAATAGATTCTGCCATGGTATCAATATATCCCCCATAGAATTGGAGAGAGGGAACGAGGCGAGTTGTAGATTAAATCCAATGAGTATCGGGGTTGGGTGAACACTATCTATATTAGACAGCTGGCGGATCGCCCAACCTTGATTTAATTGGCATGCAAGGAGGGGAATGTGCTCTGCGCGATCCTCCTCGGCGACTAGGGAACCGTAACTAAACGCCCCATGTTTGTCCAACATCCAATAGGCCGACAAGAACCCCCCCTATAATTATTTCGTGTCTAGTGGGGGCCTACAATCATGTAATCACGGCGTGGATGACAAGGCTAGGGAATGTGCCTCTAATCTCGCCAATTTCGCGGAATCAATATTGATATTTGTCAGTAGTATAAAGATAGGTAACGATACAGGTTATTCCTTTATTTGAACAAGATTAACGGTGTCTTCACTTGTTTTGTATATCGGTTCTTCCCCTGTGGACAGGTAGGGGAATCCGGACGCTTAATCGGTCTTATGTAACCTGGGGCGCGCAGCCAATCCCATGTGTTACATAAGCGGCTGCTGATCCAATCAACGACATCCTGTAGCCGCCGGAAAGTCATGGTCAAAAGAGGGGTACCTAAACTTAGATTTCTGGCCGAGTTTCGTTAACGGGCATATTAATGACGGGGGCGCCTGCCCTCTCGAACAGATTTAACCAAGAATTCTGTTCTCCAAAATATCCGTCGCAAACTGAATCTTTTTTCCCAACTTTACGCTATATATAAGCCTCACAAATTGTGATGGCTGAAGCTGTTGGGATTGCGTCCGGGTTGGTTGGGCTGGCTGGCTTTGCTTTTCAAACTAGCAAATCACTCTACCAATTGATTGAAAGCTTCAAATCTAGCAAAAGGGCAATCAGAGATCTACGAGACGAGTTACAGTCGCTCAACGATGTTCTTGAGACGTTAGAGGGCACGGCGGCCGAACTCGAAAACGAACTAGTTACCTTGAAGCAGCCACTGTTGCGGTGCGGCAAAATATGCCAAGAATTCGAGGATATTTTGAAACGTTGTACGAGCCATTCCGGTGTCGACCGGACGAGCTTCCGTGATTGGACAAAATTGCAGTATATGGGTGGTGATATAAACAATCTCAGAACAACCCTGGCCGGATACAAAGCGACAATCAGTATCGCCCTTGGAAGCGCCACTTTGTATGTATGCCTTCTCGCCCGCGCAGAAAGCTCTGATCTGACCATGAAACTTTATTGGCTAGTCGTCACGCCGCAGTCACTAATAATGTTCTTGATGAATATAAGCGAATGATTGCTGAAGCTACATCAGATCTTCAAGATCATTTGCACGAGATCTCTGAAAACCTACAGTTGCTTAATGAAGCTAGCGAGGGCCCTCTGAGCTCAGACTTAGATTCTCAAGTGATTGAAGAAGAAAAGCAGAGCACAGAGCAATGTCTGGAGATTTGTGCTCAAGCCTCGGAATATATTGAAGGCCTGCAAGCTGGCTTATTGCACGACTCAGTCTCCATGCGCAATCTACCTGCCAGATCCGCCCCTGAGGAAAATGTGGAACCGCAACACGCTAAGAGGGCCACGGGAGCCATGTTTCACGACTTTTTGTCGAAGATCAATGCCAATTCGAATACCCTTGAATCAAGGTTAGCAGAACTAAAGAGCCGCTTGGCAGAAGCTCAAAAGCGTCAAAATGTTTCCAAGAACGAAGCTACTAAGTTGGAAACGATGCAAGAGGAAAAGGACAGTATCGAACAGTGTTTGAATATCTGCGCCGACGCATCTGAACTTGCTGGGAGCGCCCGAATTAATTCTTTTGAAGATGTTAATTCAGCCGACGACTCACGCCAGTTAATAGTCTCAACCATCGGGGACCTGATATCGGCAAAACGTATTGTCACAGGTAACCGGTCTGAACAATGGCTAGGGCAGATGTCGGACGATACAATTAGGCAGCTATCACAAACTCCCAGAGCAGTCGTTGGGAATCTGGGGGAATCGAGAGAAGGGGAAAGCCAAGAAAGAAATACGGAGTTTCACAACCGGTGGGGTGCAGGGTATCCGCTTAAGTCTAAATCTGAGGAAGGCCACTCTAGCTTTAGTCGTTAGATGGCCTCAGTATTTGGTCACTCTGTCATTGTGACTCTTTGCTAGTATTGTGCTGTTTTTTCATCAATATATCCTACGTCCAGGACCTTTAGCTTACTTCCTTTACCGACCGTTATTGCTTTAGGGAATGACTGCACCACAGCAGATGAGATACACAACCATGTTAAACTTAGTTATCGGATATATGAGTACCAGCTAGCGAGTTGCCATACATACCCTTACCGATTCCGCGACCAGGCGCGAAGTAAATTTGCTTAGTCCGTCCCATAACCCTCCAGTTCTTCCCATTGTTTTAAACATGGCTCTTCATGATGTTTTGCCGCTCTAATGTCTGGCCCTACAAGTGTGTTCGGATTGGTCTTTAAGCTATTGTCTATAGCAATTGGGTTATGGAGCGCTGGCAATAAGAGGAGCATCGGAAGAGGAAATGCTATATGAAAGACACCTTTACCGTAAGACTCTACAAATAGCTGCCTCGCAACTCTCTGCTTATTGGCCTGTGCCCAGGACAGATCATCCGCACCGAAATAATTAGCCGGGAACGACTGACCAAGTCTGCCCAGTAAACACAAGTTCTCCGTCTAATCTGAGTTGTTCTGGGTCAAAATAGACGCTCATCCCTATATTATCTCCTCCGATATAAAACACTCGTAAGACCATGTAGACTTCCGAACGGTCGCTGCTAGTATGAACATCCCACATCTGGGCTCGGTTAGCGTCTACTTTACAAATGATTGTCAACACACTCACTCTTCCATACTGATATTTGCTCATATAAAAAGGAGTTTCCAAAGCACCTGTGGTCGTCTTAACCTCAATGTAATATTTCGGGCGCATGTCCTCCTATTCGTCAGCGTCAAAATACCCATTATCAATAAGTAGGGCCGTGAAATCGCCCTCTGTATCATCGTATGTAATGTCGGCAGTCTCCCTCCCATACCAAGGATCCATGTTGGCGAATTCCGGGTAAATCCTAGCATATTGACGAATTGTACTTTGCCAATTCCGATGACTCCGGCCCGTTAGAGCTGGGTTCAGCCGAGTGAGCAGTTCAGAAACCTTCATGAAGGTTAATCAGATATTGGACCTCGGCAGCAAGTTCCGGATATGCAACGTACATATAATTCCCCCGCTGCTCCGATTTTCCTGTTCGTTTCGCAATCGTCAAATTCTCCAGAGGAATGTATGGCTCGGATTCTATTATAAATTTAATTTCATAAGGAGGTAGAAACACAGAGAGAGAAGTTCCTAGATACCTTCAGAATTCCGTTCTTTTTCGTTTCAAAACATAACGAGCCAGCCTTTCTACCGTAATAGACTTGATGGTCTCCACAATTTCTATCATCGCCCCGCCAGTTCACGCCATACGCACGCCCTATCATTGACACCTGGACCATGAATGGTGAACCAGAACTTTCATCATTTAAATACTGTCTACTAACGTCACGCGAAATTCCACGTCCTTTTTTGAACTACATTAGACGTTAATCCGACGGCTTCCAATGGCAGACACCCCTCTTTTCCCTCTGGAGTCTTTTTGCTCAGTTCCCGGCGTCGCTCACGTTTGCGCTGCCGGGGAATCGTTGCCTCTAAACGCGTACAACACGGCACTTGCAAAATATATCAATGACAAATCTGGAGGCCATACGGGTCGCCACGACCAGCTGCAGCACATTGACGATGTTAGAGCTGGGGTATCTCAGGCATGGAACGTCAGCGTTGAGGAAGTCGGGTTCGCACCAAGCGTTGCCGACGGCGTTTCGATCATTCTCGAGTCGTTGGATTGGAAAGCTGGTGACAATGTATGTGTTCACGAGGACGAATTCCCGAGCCTTGTGGGGCCGTTTGCTCTCAGAGGTCAGAAGGTTGAAAGGGATGTGGCGAAATACCCAGCAATGCGCTATCACAGTGACCGGAACTTGCAGGATGTGGTGAACAGCAGAACCCGGTTAATTGCCGTCAGCTATGTTTCATACTACGACGGGAGGCGCGTTGACCTCTCATATTATCGACGAGTCGCGGATTCAGTTGGCGCTATCCTCCTAGTTGATTTCACCCAAGCCGCCGGGTACACTCCGATTGATGCCAGAATTGCCGACTTTGCATTTTCGGCTTGCTTTAAATTCTTACTAGGTACCAGCGGGGCTGCAATTGCATTCTGGAATCAGAAAAGACTGCCGGAATGGCGGCCGACTACGGCAGGAGGGTACTCTCTTGCTCTCGGAGAGCCTCGCCCAGACTGGGAAACGAACCCGCTAGCAATTCGCAACGATGCTATGTGCTTCAGTTCCGGGAACCCTGCCCATCTCGCTATCTACATCTTACGGGAAGCCTTACAATTCCTCAATCAATGGGACCCTATCGTCATTGAGAGGCATGTGCAAACCTTGACTACATTGCTGCTCAGAAAGTTACACCAGGAAGGCATTCCGTCTTCTACGCCGCTTGAGAAAGCACGACATGGCGCCAGCATCACCGTCACTTGTGAAGGATCTTCTGAGATTGTGGACGGGATGAGAAGCGTGGGTGTGTACGCGTGGAATGGTCTTGGGAGAGTGCGATTTAGCTTCCATGGCTATAACCGCGCTGCGGATGTTGATCGGATCATGGAAGTATTTCCTGCTCTTTATAGAAAGCGAAACGCGGGAACTTTCAATGGTTAAGGGCAGTTGGCCTCTAACCTACATCGCGATGTTAATAGACCTAAGGAGACTTTTCTCTCAATGTCTAATATAATTATACATTTTGATCTCTTTACAAAGTGGCATCTCATCTTGTTATAACAAGATTTAACATTCAATTTCACAGCATCGCAAATTTCGGACTCCTGGATAAGGACGTAAAGTGCAGAAGAATGCAAATATCTGCCCGCACCTTAGTGACATCACTATTTCTGCCTAACAACTGTGAATCCCATTTCCTTTCGCTCTCCAACTTGTGAAAGCCCGAGAACCCATATCTGAGCGCATCTTTGGTCCTATCCATAACATCGACCAGTATAGTTTATAGTGGAATGAGAGGAATAGTCATAGTTGTGCACTTATCCGGTACTTGACCCCCAAAAATGCCTCTCAAGAAAGCTTCCGCTCCAGGTAAGCCTACTACCCTTGATTGCAAGTGATTCCCATTCTCAACCTTCACATAGGTGATGTTAGTGCCTTTTGCGCAATATTTCTTCACCAAAGCATCTGTGTCCTCAATAGGGACCGCTACCTCGTCCCTGGTTCCTTTCCAAATATACATCGGGAAGTCTGGAACGCCATGTAAACCCATCGTCCCAATCGAGTTCAACAAAGCCTCCTGGTCATAAACAATCCTATCCCCGTTATCGAAGTATGGGATTATGCTCTGGTTGGCATACGGAGCTAAACCGCCTCTTGTGCCGTTCGTGCATTGGCATTTCGTGGAATAAAATGTTTCTGCGTGGTCTGGCAGCAAATGCTGATCTATGTACGCCGAAAAGCACGGAAACGTATTCGCGATGCCATTGAAAGAGGCCGAAATGAGTCCTGCACTCAATGTTCTATCGATAGCAAAGAATGTCTTGGTGATGTTGGTAGGTAAGCCGCCCATCGCTGCGCCGGCGATGCGTACATTAGGGGCGTATACGGAATGTAGTTCGCTGGCCCATTCACTAGCCAGCGCCCCGCCTGAGTATCCTACTATGGCGGTTTGGGCGTTTGGGCTGATTCCGGTGATTGATCCAGATCTTGTGACAGCCCGGACGGAATCCAGAACAGTATAGCCCGATTGAGTCCCAACCGTGAATGCGGCATTCACACCCTCATAATCTGGGATGCTGATCGGTACGCCCTGGGCAAGGAACGTTTGAATCAATGTCCCAAGCTCTCCGAAGATTTCCCATCGGTATGAGAGAACACCCTCCTGGACCCAGTATGAGGGCGAGCAGTTGTTGTCAGGAGAGTCGTAGGCAATCTGGTAGGACAGGAGCTTGTCGTTCCTCGCGTTGAACGGGATAATGACTGTTGTTACCGCGTAGCTTGGGTTTCCGTGTGCGTTGGTAGTGCGGTACAGGAGTTGGTATGCAGAATGGATTAGTATAAGATCGATGAGTGTAGAGCCGACGTTCACATTTCGATATCCGATGATTGAACCCGGCGTCGATGACTCCCAGGATGCATTCTTGGGCTTGTAGAATGGGTCCTCATTGGGAAGAATGGGTGGGCCGCGGTAAATAGGGGTGTTTCTTGCGGGTAGGCTAAGGGCGAGCAGCTGGCCGATAACACCAAAGAGTATCAATGCAGTATACAACATTTCTTTGAGACTTGGTAACAATCTGCAATGGCTCCAGGAAGCACAATTGAGTATAATAGCTGTAATAGATGTTGTACCGATTCAATGGGACGGACTCGTGACAGGTCACTCGATCAGAATGAGAGGGTAGTGTACCCTGGATCAATGATAAATGGCCTTCAAAAAAGCTTTCTTTCTCCATGTGCCTGAGTAAGGCTGGGTCTAGGGTAATTGAGGATGAATGCCAGGTCCTGTACTAAAACTGGTGAGAACGATCGTAGAAATGTACCGCTAGGCATAGGGTGAGCTTTTCTTCTAAGTCTATACGCCCGGATATCGTAACCCTTTTATGTCTTTGATAGCCCAGGGTTGATGCGATGACCAGCAGAGCATGTGATGTGTAACTCTAACCCACCAAATGACCCGATGTCTTCTGATCAGATTCAGGCTACTATACCACTTGTGATAAACCACTAGTTGGGACTTTACTATCCTGGACCCCCACATGGTGACGTTGTGTTGTGCCGCAAGATTCAAATTCAGGCGAGGCTGTTTTGATGCCAAAATAAACAAAGAAAAAGTCTATCCAAGAAGTTTAAATGAGAGAACATGAGCGAGTTCCAGATTATTCAATACTCTCCATACGACTCGTCTTTATTAAAGATGGACCGAGGTTGTTCGGGCTTAAATGAATAATGTTTCACCCCGCTAATACGCGCACCAGCTACCTATGATTCAATGAGGCTCTACCCAAGATACCGCTAGTTTGCCTGGTTTCGGGCTAGAGTGAAAGTCTAGATGACACGCCAAGTACAAACTTAGTCGAAAGCAGGGCTGAGGCATCTATTACTGGTTGAGACAGCATATGTCGCAATCACCAGTCATTTAAGAATAACACAGAATAGCGGTGAGAATGGGAAAGACTCCGTGCTCTAGCGAGGATCAACCCTACGGAATCAAGAGCACTCATCAAGATAATTCCAAGAAGAACGAACCGCTGATTTACCTACCCACTATATTTAAACGCCTGTCCATCACCCGGCACATCCGAAGGCAGAATTATCTGTTTAGCGTGAACTTCCATCAGTGGCTTTATTCCATGATTATTGGCTTCCCCGCATTCCTATTCCACGAGATTGACTTTATGTCCCTTTTTTAATATTGCATCCGGCTTTACACTAATCCCGAGCAGCGTTGCAGTCTATGGAAAAGTGGGGTAGCGGTGTACCCCGTACATACTACCTCTCGATATATTTGGTGGCTGGTAGTGGGTCTAGCAAGGGATACATCCCTTGAGACTCCTCGCTTTGTGCTATTGGTATTGAATTCACCCTTTAATCACCTGTGGCCGTGGATATGCTCTGTACCTAGCAAAGTTTAAGCATTTCGAACATTCTAAATCATGAAGGATAGATCCTTGATGGACGGAAAGTACACGTTCTCTGAGCTTCAAAGTTTTCACGGTGCCGCCTACCCCTCAATAACCAACAGTCAATGCCCAGCCCTGTCAAGCCACTCACCTGTAATCGCCCTTCTATAATCCCCGCAGATGATGGATCCTGTGGAATATTTATCTAACGTACCACAATACCCACTTGGTAAGCGATAGTTCTAGTAATTGATGGCTCAGATCCACTTCATTTCGGATAAAATTTTGGGAGGTAGAAAAGTCTGCACTACTGCTCCGTATGTACGGAGTACTTTGCAGACCAAAGCTATATTTACTTCTAAGGCCCTGTCCCCTCCGGGGTGCATCCAGTCACTACAACCCAGATGCAACGCTGTGCTCGGGTTCTACAGATTGTTGCCTCAACAAGGTTCTACGAAAATCCATACAAGAACGCGTGATCTCGCCCAGGGTATTCTCCGATCACAAGCAAAGAGATCACCGGATCTGTACTCGTTAACAACAAAGAAATTTCCCCTTTGTATGTTTGCTTGTTAGTCTTGGCATTCATCCCTCGGCCCCTCGCAACTAACTCGGTAACTGCATTCAGCCCAACCATCAACAAACAAACATCACCATGCGTCTCTTTGTCTTCGTCCTTTCATTCATTACTGCCTCGGCTACGGCTTGCACGCCCAAAGGCCAGCCTTGCGACCCTCAGACTCCATGCTGTTCCAAACTTTGCATGACGCAGAACGAGCCCAATTCTGAAAACCCGAACGGCAGTTGCGCCTAGGGAAAGGATTTTTGGAAAATGACTCAATACGCTAGATAGTGACCTGAAACATGCATGACGGGCTTTTGGAATTAATGAAATGGTCTATATGTTGATGCCCATGGACAATGTGGCCAAAATTCAGCCAATTCCCCTCACTTGCAAATCGGAATTTAGATAGTGCATTTCAGGCGGGCAGAAGGTCGGTTACCCTTAGAATACTACACAATAATAATAAAATATTTTCTTTTCTCCCATGCTTTATATCTGAATCTTGCTCCTCATCAGGCTCTACCCCGGTCGCCAATGGCCAAAGATTCGTGTAAATCGCATTGACATCTTCGCATCTTCATGTTTTCCCGGCAAATATATATCTCTACAAAGGTGTAGAACAAACTACATACAGCAGCTCTTATTGACATGGTTGAGGGCATTCCTACTGTGATATACTGGTGATGGTAGTTAATTTTGAAACTAAACTAATCCAGAGAAGTAACTTGGAGCTTCTTGAGGAAAAAGAGACAGTCTAGTAGGTTGCCTACCTAAAAAGGGGTAAACAAAACGGAATGATTGGCCAACTGTAACCTCAGGCACCAAACTGAGCAAAAAATTGCATCGTTTGTGCCAAGACCGTATAGCCCCCTACCTAGCCTTAGCCAGTCGATGTTGCGAAGGATGATAGGGAGTACTGCCGCAGTGAAATTTGGCAAATGAAGAAGTCTGGCAACTCTGCAACACAATTTAAAAAGGTCTAGTGCTTACAAAAGAAAATTGCAATTGGCGTAGCGGCGAGGCCAGGATTTGGGATGTGCTGATGCCGCCCGCGGAGACCGCGGAGACCACGGAGGCCACGCTTTCCGTTTGTTGTATAAGAAGGATCTCAGTGTTGCTGACCTGTTATGTGTTAGGAACATTAAGATCCAGAGATTTTCCCCAGATCGGACTTTTCACTCCTTTGCCTCAATATCTTGAACGGCTATTTAAAATTACAGGATCGTTTCCTATCCAGCGTGGGGACGACTGCCCTAACTACGAGACCCTTGAGCTCGCTCAAAGACACAAAAACATTATGACTCAAGGCCATGAAACTGTGGACAAGTCAAAACCCAGCGCAAACGGTCAATCTACTAGGAGTGCCGAAGACTTCGCCAATGAACACATCACCGGAGGTTGGAGGCCCGGCATGGACCCGAAGGTCGACTATTCGGGTCATTTCGAGTTCGGCGGTTCCTTGGGAAATCTTGCTGCGATGATCGGATTTCCTCTGTTGATGTATTACATGTGGATTGGGGCTATCTTCTATGACGGACAACTACCGCTCCCGGAAGAGGGCCAGCTTTGGGATAATTTCGCAAGGCATCTATTCGATCTCGCGTACGACCATGCGTTTCCTAGTCTTAGGGCATGGAAGATCTACTGGGTCTACTATATCTTTGAGGCGGCATGTTACATCCTCATGCCTGGCTTCACTTGCTACGGAAAGCCCTTATTACACGAAGGTGGGAAACAGCTGAAATACCACTGCTCCGCCTATACCAGTTTCTACCTCACGATTGTGGTCATGGCCGTGCTGCACGTCACCAACCTCTTCCCGATCTATACCTTTCTTGACCTATTCGGCCCCATCATGTCCGTCGCAATCATGTCCGGCTTTCTTGTCAGTTTCGTCGCGTACTTTTCCGCCTTCGCGCGTGGTGCCCAGCACCGCATAACCGGCTACCCGATCTACGACTTCTTCATGGGCGCGAAGCTGAATCCCAGACTATTCGGCATCCTTGACTTTAAGATGTTCTACAAAATGCGCATCCCATGATTCATCATGTTCGGGCTCAGCAGCGCCACCGCAGCCCGCCAATACGAACAATACGGCTACGTCTCCGGCGAAGTCCTCTTCCTGGTCATGGCATATTTCCTATATGCCAACGTCTGCGCCAAGGCCGAGCACCTCATCACCACAACCTGGGACATGTATCAGGAGAAGCTCGGCTTTATGCTCATTTTCTGGAACATGGCAGGTGTACCTATGTCTTACTGCCACTGCGTCTTATACCTCGCGAACCGTGACCCCGCCACTTATGCGTGGAACAAATACGCCCTGACAGCTCTCTTCATCTCATATCTCTTTGTCTACTATGTTTGGGACACGGCGAATAGCCAAAAGAACTCCTTCCGAATAATGGAGCGCGGCACGTTCGTAAAACACAAGACGTTTCCTCAACTTCCTTGGCAGGAGGTCAAGAACCCCAGGACCATTCCTACCAAGACGGGTGACAAGATTCTGGCAGATGGTTGGTATGGCCTGGCGCGCAAGGTGCATTATAGCTGTGACATGTTCTTTGCGTTGTCGTGGGGGCTCATTACGGGGTTTGATAGCCCGTTTCCTTGATTTTATCCGGTGTTCTTCAGTGTGATGATTGCCCACCGGGCGAGGAGAGATATTAATAAATGCCGGAGAAAGTATGGCGATGCATGGAGGGAGTACGAGAAGCAGGTACCATATCTCTTTATTCCGGTGAGTTTGAAAATACATTTTCCAAAGGCTCAAGAGATGTTCGAAGCTAATCGATCGACAGTACGTCATTTAATTCAACGAGGTTCAATTAATGAGCATGGGGACAGGAAGTGGATCAGGAGGCCTATAATTTAATGCGTGTCAAGGTTGGAAATACTCATCCGCATTTGGAGTGTAGTATAGAGTTGCCTGTGTTGAATAGCGTATTGTAATATTGAGCTCTTGTCGCCGGGCATGACTAGAAGGATCCAAATAGAGGAGAGGCAAAACAGAACAGAAGAGCTTAGCGACCAACCAATGCATTGTTCGCTGCTCATTCAAGCCCCATAAACCCCTTACTTTGCACGAAATAGAATCTCCGTCTTCGGATCAGGTAGCTGATTAGTTTGAAACAGTAATCCCTTCGGCCTCTGGTCCCCTTTCAACCTCAACTCAAACCCATCAATGACCTTGGCCAAGACTAATTTGGTCTGGTGACTGGCAAACCACCGCCCTGGACACGCATGTCGCCCACTCCCAAACTGCAATTGTGTCTTGGTAATTGACGTCAACTGGTGCTTGTTTTCCTCGTCGACCGAGCTCTGACGGAGCTTGTAGAAACGCAGGCCATCAAATGTGTTTGCATCAGGATATATAGCGTGGTCAAAGTTGACGGCGTTGGCTGGGGCCAGCGTGAAAGTGCCGGGTGCGATGGAGGTGCCATCCGAGAGGGTGATGGGACGGAGTGCCTTTCGTTGAAAGGTCGCTAAGGAAATTTGGATTAGTACTCAGCGTCATGACATAAATTGAAGGGGATTGGCGGCTGAAATACCTGTCAGATGGCCATTAAACCGCAACGTCTCCTTGATGAAACTATCCAACTTCTTTAACTTCCCCGTACTTTCCAGTGTGAACTGCCCTCCATTTTCGCCACATACGGATTCTATTTCCTCCTGGAGAATGCTCACATACTCAGGATACGTCGCCAAATTGAACAGGGAGTTCGTCAACAGTTATGTCGTCGTGTTCACCGACACCGCGCCAATACCCAACTGCGAGATGACATGGAAGAGGGGGTCATTCCGGTCTGGCTCGGGAACCAGGTCTCTTAGCCACTCAATTGAATCGTTTGGCTTTTTATAATCTGCCTTTCTCTCGTTGTTTTGCCGTTCTCGCAGAATTGGCGATAAGAGCTCTTGGGCCTTGCTGTTACAGCTCCATACGGTTCGTAGCTCTGGGATGAAGAACTGAACGAGAGGGCGGAGCCAAGGGTGGAAGAATCGGAGCTTCGCGGACGAAAGAAAAATGTTCTTCGTATACTTCACAAACACAGGATGTTAGACTATATCTGAGGGTGGGTGGGGAGAGGGGACTTGCGTTGCAGCTTATGTTAATCCATTCCTCATTCTGGTGCAGTGGGTTTCCAACGAAGATCCTTCCGTTGACGCGACTGACGAGACGTAGGATCTTGGGGTAGACCTGGATGGCGTGCCAATCTATCGTAATCCATGTTCAAGTCAGACTTTTGAGGGCATGCTCGAGTTTATCTGCTGAAAGGGCGTACCTTTGCTCTCCGGGAACTCAAGAGGGAATACGGTATCGACCTCATCCCGCATTTCGGGGAATATCCTGCCTATCATGTATGACAACGTTTGTTATTTCATTTTTTCCTGATAGTTTGTAAGCCCCAAGGGAATACTAACCCATGCTCTTATTCAAATCATTCTTCATAACCACATGTCCATAATCCAGTTTAGACACCTCAATTGGCCATAGATACTTATGCAAAAAGAACTGAAGTGGAATCAGTACCACCCGTCTAGTGAACAGAACAAGCGACTTTGTACTAACATGACGAAGTGCAGATGGAAACGTATGATCGGGAAGCATCTTTAATTCATCCACGTAGTCCGGGGGAATGACTACCTGCTCTCCTTCCGTGGTCCAGATTCTGAATGGTTTGCCGTAGAACTGAAGACAATTTAGAGATACTCGAGGAAATGAGGTTAGAGACTAAATTTTACTTTCTGATACCCCTCCTGGAACAGGTTGACTGAGTCGTAAAGCCATCTCTTCTTTTTATTCCCAGCACTAGTTTTGTCTGGTGTAAATAAGGCGGCGGATGAGGTCTTTAACGATTGAGAAGGGCTGAGGAAGGCATAGATCGGGTAGACAAAGGCGAGACATAGTAAGATGAGTAGGGCCGATGAGCCGGAAATCAAACTGTGGGATGTGAGAAGTAGAGAGGGCATGATGATGGATTGGCGTATGATGCTGTTGGCTTACATCGAGGAAGACTCGAATGGAAAGAGAAACGTCCAGGTCTTTGTTACCAAGAAGACAGGAAAAATAACACAAGAGATCGTAGAGGACGATTGATTGTAGTATAATTTGAGGCGATGGTTAGCTGTCTGTCTCCAGCTACCAACTCCTAGGCCGACAGGCTGGCCAGTAAATCCTTTCACAGAAGTATCCGAGTCTCATGAGGGGTCAGCGTTAGACTCAAGCTCCCAATAATTCCACAGAGCCCCTCTGCTAAGTGGTCTCTGCCGGTGCAGGCATGCCTTTAGGATACTAGAAGTATAGTGAGACCAGTGTTTGCGTTGCCTGGAGCCCAACTTCACGGAAACAATTCGTGTGGGTCTTGAAAAATACATGGATCCAAACCGCTTGCTGTAGGTAGGTACCTATTTACCTAGGTAGTTACCTATCGGCTAGGTACCAATTAGGCTCGCAATAATACACTCACCACCGAGTCTGCCACCGCCTGGGCGGTAAGACATATCAACCAATATTTTCGCCGCAATCTGGGCGGTCAAGAATCCACGTTACCCAAAGTCATAATACCTCAGTATTACCGTGTTACCAAATACACACTGTGGGATGTTCCAAGCTCAACACCAGGAATGCTTATCCTCTAAACTAGCCCGTAAGCACTAACCGGCAAGAACGGAAGCTTCTTTCCGAGGAGATTGTTAATCTTCAAAACCGATTGCGTTTTGGATCTTTCATACCGCAGTCCACACAGCATCATTTACCCAGTATGTTTTCCGTATTTAGGTCGGCTTACGGACTAGGCGTGGTGGGCGCGAAACTTAGCATAGCCACTCTGCCACGCTCCTTAGCCAATAGTCACTGAATGCATATTCGGCCGAGTTTACGGGGTGGTTAATTTGTGGATCAGTGTTTCTTCCCCGCCCATCGACGTATCGCAGAAGGCAGATTGCAGAGCAGCTCCCGGTGAAGGGGCCAAGATGTGGATTCTATATCCCCGATACGATGTATCGAGTCTTTCCCTGCTTGGAAAGTTTCTGTGCATACGAGCTAAGGATCGATTGGGCACGGAGTGTTGTATTCCGTACCTACTCGGTGTTTTATTATGGCGGGGAGACATCGTTGTGCGCACATGCGCCACGCAGGATATTTATATTAGTTGGGGCCAAAAACCTCCAGGCCAAGGAAGCCAAGTTGCATCCACGTTGCTTGTCTCAACAAGCTTTGTCTGCGGGTGGAGTCTCGGGAGCACTTGCCATATTATGATGCTGAATCGAGACTTGGAAACGGATATGACCAGGAAGAGCCCATGTCTTCTATGGTTATTATATATAAACGGTAAGGTTTGGAAATATTGTATTCGGAATAGCTATAATATAGCGAACCAGGCAATGCCGACATTACCGTGTGCCATTATGGACTATCCTAGGCCAAGTGAGCCACATGTGATCAAGATCGAACTTTCCTTTACCGGTGCAGTTCCAAGAGACCCTCGCTCCATGTTAAGATGTCTCATCTGATGCCACATAGAGCAAATATTGTTTGGGCGGGGAACTTTGCCCGTCTGCATGAGAGTGGATCCTTAAGTTCGCTTGGACGGTTGATGAACAAGAGGTGTTAGATTGATCCGTATCACCACGGAGTACGGAGTAAGCCTTGAACCGCTTGTCTAATACAGTGTACTTCACCATTGCTACCTTGATTCGCGCATTCAAAGTTTGGTATCGTGTATTCTAGAAATGCGAAGGATCCGCTCCATGAGCGGCGGAGGGATTCCGTCTGGGGGCCGATATGTGGATCGGAGTGATACTGCATCAATGACGGTTAGAACCTCGGCTCTAGTTGTGATACAACATTTGAACCTGAAATCAGTTTTACAACCCTTACGAGAACAAGTCAACAATATTCGTATGCTTCTCTTACGTGAGAAAGATGAGATTTGGCCTCGATTACACTGGACCGTCTTATCAACAGATTTGGATAGGTTTCAGATACGGAGTGAATATCCGGTGAGAAGAATTGTTGGGGCGTATGTGATAGCCTAGTAAGACACACTTGGTGCGGGACGAGCAGTTCAAGCAGTGGAAAGATGTTTACGGGAGCCTGATTTGAAGAGAAGGTCTGCAGTTCGAGTCACGACCTCGAATCCTATATTACATTACTTTCTGCTTCGTGGTCGCTAATTAATGTGGCCATTACTTTACCACTATTTTCAAAATACCCGAAGATCCCCTCACAGCAGAAGTCAACTACGCCATTTACTTTATAGCAAAGGTTGCTTGCAATACTACTAGGTCTTTAGCAGCCTTTCAAAAGCTTCCGCTTGACATTGAACTTGAACATACTAACATGTCTTTCTGTCAATAGAATAACACTCATCGTGCAATACCTCCTTGAACACAACTAGCTATCACTATCATGGGAATCAACGGTGGCATCAACGGCCTTGCGCCTACCAATGATACAAATGGGGTCAACAGAGTCAACGGGCATTATGAGACGAACATTTTCAGTGATCAATCAAGTCCTATGACGCCGGACTCTGAACAAATACCATCAGTCCCCATCGCGATTTGTGGCATGGGAATGAGACTCCCCGGAGGCATCCGAAACGACAGAGACCTATATAACTTCCTAATAAGTAAAGGCGACGCGAGGTCGGTCATTGGACAAGACCGATTCAATGTGGACGCATACTACAGTCCCCATGGGAAGCACGGAACTATAAGCACCAAACATGGCTACCTCATCAATGACGTTGATTTCTCAAAGTTTGATTTGTCGATGTTCTCCTTTACTCCTGCTGAAATTGAGCAAGTGGATCCTAATCATCGACTTGTGCTTGAGGTGGTTCGAGAAGCGTTCGAGAGCGCAGGGGAGACGAACTGGCGCGGGAAGAATATTGGAACATACGTCGGTATGTTCTCGGAGGATTGGCAGGATCTACAGCATAAGGATACACACGAGTATAATCCGTATCGAGTGCTTGGGGGCCTAGACTTTGCTTTACCGAATCGTGTGTCCTACGAATATGATCTCAAAGGTCCGAGGTATGATACAACGCTGCACTTTCAGACGACATCGTTATAATCTGATATCTAACCGTTCCATAGTATGATTCTCAAAAGCGCCTGCTCCTCTGCCGGACTTAGCTTGCATCAGGCATTACAAGCAATCCGACAAGGAGAAATTTCCTCTGCAATTGTGTGCGGCAGCAACTTGATTCTTGCGCCGGGAATGACGATCAGCATGAGTCTACAAATGGCCCTCTCACCCGAAGGATCTTCAAAAACATTTGATGTCTCGGCGGACGGGTATGCCAGAGGTGAAGGAGTCACGGTCCTCTACATAAAGCGCCTCGATGAAGCTATCAAGGACGGGAATCCAATCCGAGCAGTCATTTGGGGTTCAGCGAGCAACGCGGATGGAAAGACCAACGGTTTGGCTCTTCCCAACCCAGACGCCCATGATGCTGTCATTCGTCAAGCGTACAAAGCTGCTGGGCTTGGACTGTCAGATACAGCAATGGTAGAGGCCCATGGAACGGGGACCAAGATTGGTGATCCTATCGAGGCAACGGCCATTGGGAAGTGCTTTGAGCAAGGGGTTTACATCGGAGCTGTACGTTGCTTTGGTCTTTTTATGGTCATCATGATCCACTAACTGCAGGTAGATAAAACCCAATCTTGGCCACAGCGAGGGAGCTGCCGCGTTGACCAGCATCATGAAAGCTGTGTTATCTCTGGAGAACCGCACGATCATCCCGAACATCAAATTCAACAACCCTAACCCAGCTAGTAAGGTCTTCTTTCAAATCTAAAAGAAACCGAACGGTGATGCTAATGTTTCGAAGTCCCTTGGGAAGCTGCAAAGTTGACAGTCCCTGTGGAGCCCACTCCCTGGCCAACGGATCGTGCCGAACGTATAAGCGTTAATTCCTATGGCATCGGTGGCTCAAATGCTCATGTAGGTCTATCGTCTCTTCTAAACAAAACAAGCCGCGAATACTAACTCTATAAGTTTATTATTGATTCGGTGGCCGCTTATGGCGTGCAATGCTCAGGCACCCACGCTCCTGCCGTCGAAAAGAGGTCGAAAAGCCTTTTAATATTCTCTGCCAACCACGTAGATGCTTTGAACGAGGTGGCTCATAATATGGAGTGCTATCTAGCTGCGCACCCAGAGAACGCAAAGGATATGGCCTACACCCTGGCAGAGAGACGGGAGCACCTGAAATTGAGAAGCTTCAGTGTTGTGGATGGAAGTTCCCCTGGCTTCCACGTCTCTACTCCCACTAAATTTCAAGGTCTTCGCAAGGTTGCGTTTGTGTTTACTGGACAGGGCGCTCAATGGTGAGAGTGAAATTTATCTAATCTTGAATGTTGCTGACGGTTTACAACGCTCAGGGTCAATATGGGTAAGGAGCTAATGCTTGATTATCCATCGTTTCTTGAAGAAATTAGGTCCATGGACCAGAGGCTGAAGGAGATTGAGCATGCACCATCGTGGTCAATTGAAGGTAATATCATCTTGTCCATTGAGCTTCGCCCGCTGATCTTTAAACAGATGTGTTGTTAAACTGTGATGACAAAGCTACCATTGGCCGGGCTGAATATGCCCAGCCCTTGTGCACAGCTGTTCAGCTGGCTCTTGTTAATCTCCTTAAAACCTGGGATATAGTGCCCTCTGCAGTTGTTGGGCATTCAAGCGGTGAGATTGCGGCTGCCTACGCAGCTGGTGTCTTGTCATTAAAAGAGGCGATTGTCGCAGCATACTACCGTGATTATGTCTGCAGATCCCCTCAGCGATTGAGAGGGATGGCCGCGGTCGGCATGTCCAAAAATGATATTGCGAAGTACCTTGAACCAGGAGTCAAAGTTGCCTGCGAAAACAGTGGGTCGAGCGTTACTCTGTCCGGTGATTTGAAGCCGTTGGAAAGTACGCTCGCAAGAATCAAGGGAGAGAAGCCCGACGCGTTTGCACGAAGGCTCCAGGTTGAAATGGCCTATCACTCGCGTAAGTTATCTCTGCACAGGATCGCAAGCGACGTAACTTACGGGAAAACAGATCATATGGCCCTGGTTAGTGATGTTTACCGCGATCTTATCACTCCACAACTTTCTCCACAATCGCCGAACATCCCTTTCTACTCTAGCGTCCAAGCAAAGCAGCTCCACCAAGCATCTGATTTTGCACCACGGTATTGGCAAGATAATTTGGAGAGTCCTGTACTGTTTCATTCCGCCGTGCGGGCTTTGCTTTCTGGCTCGCAGGAATGCAGTGTTCATCTAGAAGTTGGGCCGCACTCCGCTCTTGCGGGACCCTTGAGACAAATATATAGTGAGAAGTCAGGCGCGATAAACTATGTCTCTGCACTCTCCCGCGGCAAAAACGACACTGTTTCGTTCCTGGAGGCAGTCGGCCAGCTACATTGCCTTGGCGTCCAGATCTCTTATCAATCATCTCATTCGGCACATGTCCTGACCGACTTGCCCACCTACCCTTGACACTATGACAAAAGTTACTGGGGAGAAACACGGATCATGAAAAACTGAAGGTTCCGCAAACATCTTCCCCATGACCTACTCGGCCTTCGCGTTCTGGAAGCCAACGAGATGTTACCGATGTGGCGAAATGAGCTGCGACTCATGGATGTTCCATGGCTGCGAGACCATTGCGTTGGCAATGACATCGTCTTCCCGGGTGCCGGATACATCGCCATGGCCGGCGAAGCGATCTTCCAGATTAACGATATCCGAGATTACACTGTGAAAGACGTGGAGTTGAGCAAAGCGCTTGTACTCTACAATGACAAATCAGTTGAAATTATGACAACTCTGCGACCACAACGACTCACCTCCACGCTAGACAGTGACTGGTACGATTTCCAGATTGTCTCTTATGATGGATCTGCCTGGAATAAACACTGCTCTGGGCTTGTGCGTAGCGGTCGCGCTTCTCCATTCCCACGAAAGAACACTCAGAGTCTTGATAGACAGGTCTCGTCGACGCGTTGGTATACAACCATGGCTAGAGTGGGTCTCAACTATGGACCTAGGTTTACTGGTCTGGAGGATATGGCAGCCAGTGTCGCCGACAGGGTTGCGGCAGCCCAGATCCTAGACAAGCAGGAACCCGCCGAGTCCCCATACACGCTTCATTCTTCCACTCTAGATCTCATTTTCCAGTCTTTGACAGTGGCAACGTGCCAAGGAATCTATCGGACTTTCAAGTCCTTATTCCTGCCTACATTCATAGAGGAATTGTATATCGGCGATGCAGCCGGGAAGCGTATCGGCGTGAGTACAACGGCAGCTAGAAAGCCTGGTACAGTGGAGGGCGCCTCATACGGCATCACAGACAACGAGATAGTCTTCTATCTAAAGGGGTTCAGGGGCAAAGCGATGGATGACTCTAGCGTAGATCAGCCGGCCAAACTGAAATTCCTTCAGCTTCAGTGGAAGCCGCATTTTGACTTTTTGAAGGCTGGCGATCTAATGAAGCTGAAGTTCAATATTCGAGACCAGATCCAGGACCTTGAGCGTCTCTATGTTTTATGTGCTATTGAAGCAAGAAACGCCTTGAAAGACCGATGCACCTCTCACCCCCACATGGAAAAATATTGCGCGTGGCTAGAGGAGCAACATGAGAGATTCCGGCAGCCAGAATACCCTTTGGTGAATGACTCCTTTGATCTGACTCAGATGAATGAGACCGAGCGCAAAGATCTCATTCCAGAGGTCTTTGACCGCTGCCTCGCGTCGGGCGGCTGGGCGCCGGCGACTGCTATCAAGAGAGCCTTCGAAGAAGTCGTCAACGTGTACGAAGGACGAACAGACTACCTTGATCTCCTACTCCAGGATGGAGTTCTCACCGGAATCTACAGTTGGTACAACGATATCTGGGATTTCACCGACTTCATGCAGCTGCTGGGTCATGCCAAGCCCCAGTTAAGGATCCTTGAAATTGGAGCAGGAACGGGCGGGTTGACAGCCAAGTTCTTGGAACAATTAAAATCTGACTTCGACGAGCGACTGTATTTGAAGTATACATACACTGACATATCATCGGGTTTCTTTGTTCAGGCGAAGGAGCGGTTCAAGGACTACGATGGTATTGAGTACAAAGCCCTTGATATATCTAGGAATCCCGTGGAGCAGGGGTTCAACGCCGGCGAATACGACCTGATTATCGCATCCAATGTGAGTCCGAGTAAGATGAGGAGGCCCAGATCTTGACTAACTGATAGTAGGTTCTGCACGCGACGCCATTTCTGCAGGATACGTTGACCCATGTGCGCACCCTGCTTCAGCCTAAGGGTCAATTGTTTCTCCAGGAGTTATGTCCTAGTATGTTTGACTCACAAATAAACATTGAACCTCGCTGACCCTAATAGTAACTCGCGCCATGAGCTTCATTATGGTAAGCGCGACCTATTGTTTCTTTTCGTTTCCACGGTTTACCGCCAGTCCCGCACTGGGTTAATTCTCTGAACATTATTAACGTAAAGCAGGGCCAATTTCCAGGATGGTGGCTAAGCGAAGAGGATGGTCGCATCGGTAGCCCGTTCATCTCGCCCGGTGAATGAGACAAGAGACTACGGCTGGCGGGCTTCGATGGCTGCGACTCCGTAACTCTCGACAATGAGCAGCCCTACACTTACAACGCCAATATCATCGCAAAGCCAGTTATTCAAGACAGTATTACCGAGAGAATCACCTTGCTTCACCCTGCAGAGCCCAGCGAATTTACGTCGGAGCTAGAACGCTTTCTCCAGAAGTAAGGTGTGGAAGTAGACTATCGCAAATGGGGAGAAGAACTTCCAGCTAACCAAGACCTGATCTCCTTCATGGATCTTGGAGAAAGACCGCTGCTTCAGGAAATCTCTGAAGATGATCTTAGTCATTTCTTGCGGCTGGTGGACTCCCTCCAAATATCGACTGTCCTTTGGCTCTCACATTCCGCCCAGATCAACCCCAAAGATCCGCAGGCAGCGCAGATCCTCGGAATGGCAAGAACCATAAGATCCGAGCTTGCGATGTCTTTTGCCACCCTTGAGCTTGAAGACCTAAAGTCAGGGGCTGCCCGGGCTGTGATTAATGCTATCGGAACCCTGCAAAGCTCCAGAGACGACATCAGCGAACTGGACCCAGACATGGAATGGGCTTGGTCTAATGGCGCATTGAATACCGGGCGGTTCCACTGGGTGCCGGTAGAAAAGGCACTTTGCGAGACTGCAGCAGAGCCCGAAACCAAGGGATTGGCTATTGGCACTCCTGGCTTATTGCAAACCCTTCACTGGGCCAGCCAACCCTTAAGTAATCCAAGCGCAGAAGCAGCGAGTATCCGAATGACAGTCGTTGGACTCAATTTCAAGGACGTCATGATTGCCATGGGTGTCATACCAGGTGGAGATACCATCAAAGATGGCAGTAGCCCTCTGAGATTAGAGAGAACTGGTTATATTACCAAAGTTGGATCCGAGGTATCGAACATCGCTGTTGGCGATCGGATAATGCTCATCGGTTGTGAATCTGTTGAAATGGCTACGGTTATCAACAGATCGGCTAGTCTCTGCGTGAAGATTCCCGATCAGCTCACGGATGAAAAAGCGGCTACGATGCCTGTCGTTTATATCACCGTGCTGATGTTCCTCGTTGAGAAATGGAAGCTTGAGAAGGGCCAGTCTATACTGATTCACAGTGCAGCCGGAGGTAAGCCATCTCAAATTCATGAATGTTATGTCTAGCGACTAATTGTATTAGGTGTTGGAATATGTGCCATGAATGTGGCCAAGTGGATCGGAGCAGAGATCTACGCAACTGTTGGCTCGGAAGAAAAAGCCGCGTTCTTGACCCAGGAATTTGGCATTTCAAGGGATCGCATTTTCAATTCCCGAGACAGCAGCTTCTTGGACGGTGTGATGAACGCTACTAGTGGAGTGGGCGTGGACTTGGTATTGAATTCGCTATCCGGCGAGTTGCTGCACACATCATGGAAATGCGTCGCTCCTTATGGTGCCATGGCTGAAATCGGCAAACGCGACATGGTTGGCCGAGGAAAGCTTGCCTTGGACCCGTTCGAGGATAATCGAGCTTTTATCGGCGGCGACATCGCTCGTCTCCTTGTCACGCACAAGTCGACCGTGGCGCGCCTTCTGCAACTCATGGTGGATCAATACCTTAATGGCCTTTTTAAGCCCATTACGCCGATCACCACGTTCAATGCGGAGGATGTAGAAGATGCCTTTAGATTCATGCAAAAAGGCACTCATATCAGAAAGGTTGTGATCAAGTTCCCCGACCATAATACTCTACCCTTGACTGCTACCGTTCCCCAACCACGATTCCGCAGTGATGCTTCTTATCTCCTGGTCGGTGGTCTTGGCGGGCTGGGTAAAGCAATCGCGAGCTGGATGGCACTAAACGGTGCACGTCATCTCATGTTCCTCTCCAGATCTGCTGGAAGATCAGAGGAGGATCGTCTATTCCTAAACGAGCTAAACACAATGGGTTACTCTACACAGTGCTTTGCATGCGACATTGCCGATCCGAGCGCCGTCAAGCACGCTGTTGAACAGGCTTCTGTGCCAATCGCTGGTGTCATGCAGATGGCAATGGTATTGCGCGATGTCGGTGTCCTCGGTATGGATATTGACTCCTGGCATACGGCGGTGCGCCCCAAAGTTCAAGGAACATGGAATTTGCATGAATGCCTCCCGAAGGATATGGACTTCTTCGTTCTGTTCTCCTCGGTTGGAGGAACCTTTGGTTACTATGGCCAGTCCAACTACGCCTCGGCTAATACATTCCTTGACTCCTTTGTCCAGTATCGCCAGAACAAGGGCCTTGCTGCCTCGGTGATAAATATTGGCCCAGTCGACGACGTCGGATACGTGAGCCGGACTCCAGCAACCAGAGAAACACTAATCGCCACTCTGGAAACATTATTGATAGAGCAAAACTTCCTGGACAGTTTGCAGCTCACCATGGCTCGATCTTCGTCCCGGTATGCACCGACCAAGACACGATCCGCGTTTGCCGGATTCCAAAACCCCAGCCATATCGTGCAAGCGTTGGATTCGCGCATCCCCATCATGGATCCCCAGAACGGCAGCATGTGGAAGCGAGACCCTCGGATGGCGATATACCGCAACATTCAGAAGACGTCTGAAGCGGAAAGAAGTGATGCCGCCGACCAGCTCAAGCACTTCCTCGCTAGCATGATAAGTGACCCGGGTAAACTAGAGCAGAAGACCTCCGCGGATGTCATTTCTGCCGAGCTAGCACACTGTGTGGCAAGCTTCTTAATGCGCGAGGAAGACGAAGTCCCGATGTCCGCAACTCTTTCTGATATTGGTGTTGACTCGCTGGTGGCGATTGAGGTGCGGAATTGGTGGAGGCAGAATCTGGGTGTTGATGTGTCGGTCTTGGAATTGATGAACGGTGGTACTATTGAAGCACTGGGTGGTTTGGCTGCGAAGAGGCTGCAACAGAAATACTCTAGTAAATAGTTACTGTACCAAATGCAGTTAATACAAGCTCCATATCTTTAGACTATGCTGCGGTAGTGACCCCTTCGGATTTATCACCCTCAGGTTCATATCTGGCCAGTCAATTAGGGTTCAGGGCCGCGAATATTAAATAATTTAAGCGACGATAAAGTGTTTTCTATAAAGTCAGGTCATCTCCCTCCTTGGTCCCCTCCATTCTCTTTTACACCTTCCTCATTATACTCCCGCTTCTACCTCTACACCTGCCGCCATGAGTAACAAGTTTGCGCCATTCGACAGAGTCGACCTCACCTACAAAGTCATCAATGGTCAGCATCTTGATACATCGATTTTAACTCCAAACCGCCTCCAGTCCAAGCCGAGCAGTGAATATCCGGTTCTCGTCTATTGGCATGGCGGCGGATTCATAATCGGAGACCGCATGTACGAAGGCTGGTTTGCGCCATGGTTAGTAAGTTCATAAGTTCCCCCTCCAATGCCGTCATTACTAACAATAGTTTAACTAGGATGATCGAGCTTTGCCTCTCAAACGACTCAATTATCATCTCCCCAGATTATAGACTCATTCCTGAGTCCAACGCCGCCGATATACTTTCTGACGTTGAAGCCTTCTGGCTATGGCTCCGCAATACCCTCCCTACAGAAATCTCCACCTGGCACGCTCGTCCTGACCTTTCCCGGGTCGCATGCGCAGGAACCTCAGCAGGCGCGTATCTCGCCATGCAATCGTCTCTCCTTTTCCCGCAGATCTCGCAAATCAAAGTTATTCTCTCGATCGCGGGCTCTCTCTACACCGACATCCCGCATTATAAAGTCCCCGGACCAAAAGTGATTCTGGGAAAGCGACCGCCTCCTCCGCGAAAGGCCGAGATGATAATACGAGAATATACGAAGAATATGAAAGAGGGTGTGATTAGGACGAGTGGCGACGCGGTTGAGATGTGGGAATTCCTGACGTGTGTGTTACAGCAGGCTTATTTGCCTAGATGGTTGGGGTTGAAGGCGGATGACAAGCTTGATGTTATGAAGATGATGAAGAAGGTTGACTCTATGCCTCCGATCTGGCTGGTTTAGGGAAGGGAGGATTCCGTTGTATGTTCCCGTTTCTATCTTGTTTGTTACATCCCATATCCCTTACTTTCCAGTTCGCGGGCCTTTGTTTTTCTCAAAGAGCTTTGCGGTGGGGCTGAGCCGGGCGGGAATGCAGATTCGGATCTAGATATGCTGACAGGAGTTCATTAGGTTCCACCGGTGTGTGCTACGGGTTTTGTGGATCGGTTAAAAGTGATTCTGCCGAACGTGCCAGTCTTGTTAAGCCTTCAGAAAGGCGATCATGGGTTTGAAGTGATGCATACTGTAGAAGATGAATGGGTGAAAGAGGGACTGGAGTTTATGGAAAGATATTGGCCTTGATAGCCGCTCGTCGTTTCCAAGATTTCTAGGCTGGTTAAATGAACGTCATCGGAAACAATTGCATAGTAATTCAATTTGATGCCATTTCCGGGATCATTGCAGCAATCTAGTTTCACTATCAAAAAGACTCGCCCGATCAAGGACGTCTACTAAGCCCGTGGGATCATGCCAATCTGCACGCCCCCAAAAATGCTAGCTGAAACGCGGACCGACTCCTTGTAACGTGTGAAATCGCGCTGCTCCACTGCCTTGAAAGTTTGCACCAGGCGCACAATAGTATATACCGCTTCCGTCAATGCATATTGTTGTCCCAGACAGATACGCGGTCCTCCATTGAATGGGATATACGCCCAACCGGGGCGGAAGGTGGGCTCGCCCCATCGATCGGGTCGAAATTCATGGGCATCGGGGCCATAGATGTCTGATCGTCGGTGGAGAACGTATGTGGGAAATGAGACTCTGGTATAATTGATGAAGCCATTAGTCACTGTAAGGAATTTACAGTTGTTGGGATCACGTACTTCTGGCCCTTTGGGATGAAAATCGGAGATTTATGGTCGGGCCCGCCTCCCACTGGAAGGATCGTGTCGCGCACTGCAACGCGACTGTTGATGGGGGCGACTGGATGGACTTGAAGAGCTATTGGTTTGTTGTATTAGCAACAGCAGTATCATCTGAGCGCGATAACTTACTCTCGTTCATCACGTAGCGCAGATACGTGAGCTTTTTCAGCTCTTCATAAGTTGGCGGCTTCCCATTCAATTCCCCGATCTCAGCATCCAGCTTCGTCCAAACCTCTGGATGCCGAGCAAGTAGATAGAAAACAGTTGCGAGCAGGCTTGCAGTTGTATCGCGACCGGCTTGCATGACGTTAAGTGTTTCCGAACGCAGCCGCTGAGGGTCTGTAACGGATTTCATCAAGCTGTCCAGAAAGATGTATTGGTTCGCCTTTCCCTCCACACGACGAGTAGCCGCTTTGGCAATCACCTTGTCAACAAACCTGTGGACAGTCTTGCATGCCTTTGTGAAGTCTCTGTTGAAGTACAAGAACAGATATGGTTCATAGTGTAAACGACGGACGGTTTCTCCGCTAGCATAGTCGAAAGCGGCACCGAACTTGGCTTCGTCGGAACCTTCGGCGGCTTCAAAGGCGCGAACTGACTCTCCAAATAGGAACTCAGACGAGACGTCAACTAATAGATCATGAGCTCATAGTGCCATATAATTCCGAAATGATGGTAGTACTTACATGCCAGCTTGAAGAACATGTCTTAAATATCAATTGTACTTCCGTCCTTCGGCATGTGCGAAATCATTTCCTGGACATGCCTTTCCAAGTTGTTGAAATCGGTATATAATGCCTTGCTCATATTCGGTCGGACCAATGCCCGAGAATGTTCCCAATCCTTGCCATCATTCGTGAATACGCCCTTACCCAGCAATGGGCCCAGGGCAACCTGTCTGAAACCAAGGGAATAATCCTCAAACCGACTGGCCTGAATGGTCTTGATATTCTCAGGCTCTGAGGTGTTGATGATTCGACCACCGATGGTGTGCGTTTGGAAGGTGTAGCCTCCAGCAATGTGTCTTTTTTGAATGAGTTCTAGACCTCGATGCTCTTTGAATGCTCGCATGATTTCCTTGTCATAGTTTCCTCCCTCTGGAAGAGCAATTTGAGCGAGTATGACAGGGTCTTTGGTGCCGTACTTCAAGGCATAGTGACGAGTGGTCTTCCATCTTTTGATCCGGTGGGCAATGTGCCGGGTTGCGATCACTAGGATTGCCACCAGCACAAAATATAACCACATCGTGCCTTGTTTCCGCGTTCTTGTCTGCTATCGTCGGGATAGTAGATAGTTAGTATCCCAGACAGGATGCCTAAAGGACGTCGGTAGACTTCAATCACAGTGCGATACCCTCGAGGGCCTAGATCAAGCTGGGAATCATCGGGAAGGTAAGACACAAATGTCTCACTCTACTGACAAGAGTTACTGCCGCTATAATACAATACTCGGAAGAGATGTTGTAATTGCATTCACTGACTCGTTACTGCTGCGGTCAGATAGCCTAGTGTGATAACACGTACGTACTTCCTAGGCGTGCCGTTCTAACCGGCCAATACCCCGAGATAAGTTAGTGCACTACGGATTAGTACAGCCAAACAGTGCTCGCTTACCTTGTTATCCATCTCACGGAGGATGTCATACACTCAACAGGCAACAAGCCTCAGGCCGTGTAGAGGAGCAAGTGCTGATTGTCTTAGTTCGAAGGATTTGCCAGGAGTTCCATGGTGCAACCCGAGGGGGACCCACTTGGCGGACCGACCCGCTGTAGTGTTACGCCTGGAAATAAAAAGATACCGTATGGCCATTTGCTGACCTTGTATTCTGCCGGCAATACCTCGATGGCAGTATCAGCAGTGTAATGTGTTACCGTACCTGTGTCTGGCCCGGGCAGTGATTGCTTTCCCCCTTCTTACTGCTCATTCTGTCTCTTCTCTACTCCCTATCCCTCCCAATCGCCGATTCCATCAATTTGCATCTGGAAAACAACCATTCACCACCTTTTTGTCTTTGGTTTCATCTTTCTTTCCCCATCGCATGTCATCTCTCTCTTTTAACTCCCTCATAATCGCCATCGCCTGGCCTGGATAATCGTCTGGATTCATTCATATTTATAATTTATCCCGGGCCATGGCTGAAAAGGCAACCAATGGTTCACCCACTGGTAATCCAATTTCCCAACCGCAGAATCTATCGGATCCGAACCTAGTAAGTACTTGTTCCTATCATGCCAAGTCTGTCGCTAAATCAATCGAACATGTATAGGTAACATGGGACGGTCCGGACGACCCAGAGAACCCCAAAAATTGGCCGCAGAGTCGAAAATGGACGACTATTCTGCCCATGTCCTTGTTTAACTTCCTCTCCTCGATCAGTTCCGCTACCATGGCTCCGGCATTGACTGCTATTCAAAAAGATCTCAACTTTTTCTCAAGCCTTCTGGCGATGTTGTCTCTGTCGACATTCTTATTAGGAACGACTTTCATTCCTTTATTCACAGCTCCCCTGTCAGAGGTTTTCGGTCGGTCTTTGATTCTTCAGTCGGTGAATATCTTTTATATCGTCTTTAATACACTCTGTGGGGTGTCGCGGACTCCGACTCAGCTTATTGTCTTTCGCTTCTTTGCGGGTTTGGGTGGAGCAGGGCCTTTTGCAGTATGTCATTTGCCCCGTTCACAAGAAGCCATTCTAGATTCCTAATGTGAGGTTTATTTGTAAGATCGGCAGTGATATCAATGCCGACTTATTTACACCTCGTGAACGAGGCCAAGCTCTTGCGGTTTACACGTTGGCCCCCCTCGCCGGAGTAGCGATTGGTCCGATAACAGGCGGCTTCCTCGTTCAATACACATCGTGGCGCTGGTGCTTCTATGTCGTGTCAATTGCCGGCGGTGCCATCCAGATATTCTGTCTCCCATTTTTCCGAGAGACCTATGCGCCTATTCTTCTTCAAAAGCGCTGCAGACGACTCCGGAAGAGCACTGGGAATCTCAACCTCTATACCGAACACGATACAATTTCGCTTGCAAAGCTCCTTAGCACTAGTATTGTTAGACCTTTTAAACTGCTCGCTATCCAGCCCGTGGTGCAAGTGTGGAGTTTATACTGCACATACCTCTACGGGATTCTGTATCTCCTGATTGCGAGTTTTCCGGACGTCTGGTCGGACGTCTACGGCGAGTCTGTGTCCATTGGATCACTTAATTATATTTCCATGTTTATTGGAATGGGGATTGCTTCTCAGATCGGAACACGACTCGCCGACCGCTATTATAGGAAACTTTGTAATAGGAATGGGGGACAAGGACTTCCAGAGTTCCGTCTACCTGTGCTTATTTTGGGGGCGTTCATTGTACCGGTCGGGTTATTTTGGTATGGCTGGAGTGCAAGGTCGAACGTCCATTAGATTATGCCGTGAGTATACCGTCCGCATTGAATCTCGTCGATTCATGGAGCATTAGCGCTAATCCTTCATTGCAGAAATATCGGCGCGGCAATATACAGTGCCGGGACTATCCTTGAAATTCTTTGTGTCATGGGCTACATCATTGACACTTATCAAAAATTCGCCGCAAGCGCCATGGCCGCCATCATTGTCCTACGGAGTATTCTTGCTTTTGCCCTACCTTTGGCCGCGCCTAGCCTGTAAGCTTTCTACTTCCGTTCATGTCCTAACTGACGGCCTCGAAACTAACTCTATCCCAGTTACGGCAATCTAGGAAACGGATGGGGCAATACGCTTCTTGCCTTGATAGCAACATTTATCGGCATACCTTGTACTATTTTACTTAGATACTACGGTCCGGCTCTCAGAAAACGGAGCCCTTATGCCAGGGACGACTAATTGAACAACAAATGATTCAGACAAATTGATCTGTGTGGGATCATATTATTCGATTCAATTCGGCCGTAAATTTAGAAAATGCTACGATGGATCAGTTCGCATATGCTTTCGCTGGTACAAGTTATAGCTTCCATAATTCAATTCCGTCATCTGGACCGTGCTCTTGTCTGTTACGATCCACACCGACTCCCTTGGATCACCAGCAGCGAGTAAGTATGTATCTCAATGATTAGCTGTATTCGCTGCCTTTGGCCTAGCCTCCCATTCTAATGCTGAGCTGTATTCTTCTTTCAATTCGTTCGGCCCAATTCCCCATCCACTGAAGTAATTTGCCAGGTTGACATTTCATCCTGGACTTGATGATGCCCCTCAAAGCAAGCTAATCACACATGGCTCAATTTAACACCTTCAATATCCACACTACCACTACTACAGCTTCATCATCAACCCCCCAAAACATTCTGGATTACTTCTGCCAGCCGAATAATCCCGTCCCCGATATCTGCCTCATCCACCCACATATAACAAAGCCTCAACTGCCGACAAAGAAGGTCCGGTATGTCGTTCCCGGGCACAGCGAAGACTGTTCCATTTCCGAGAATGAGATCTACCCGTTTCGCCTCCTCGCAGATTTTGGAGCTACTCAGCGTCTTAGGAAGGGTAAGCCAAACGAAGTATCCGCCGGCAGGCATCGTCTCTCCATCTGGATGAAATGACACTCCAAGTGGTACGAGATGGGTTTTGATGGCTGAGGAAATAGCATTGAATCGTCGCATACAGGTCGGGATCAATGCTTTTTCAATATGAGTTGTCAATGACCCGTCTTGAACAATTTGATTGATGAATGTTGACATTAATTGGGATGGTGCACCGCCGGAGATATTCGAACCGCTGTCCCGGTTAGTCTTTGTCTTACACAATTGATACAGTTCCAAAAAAAAAAAAAAAGAAAATCACCTACCATTGAGAAAGTCCATACATCAGAGCCCCTGGCCCGTCGGCCCACCCAACACGACACCCAGGTCCGACAAGTTTACTGAAAGATCCGTTGCTCAGAGCATTTCCGAATTGATCTTGTAATCCACTATTTAGCGTTCTGTCGATATCAACAATTCGCGGTGGAGGGACTGCTCCTGTCGACGATGTTGCGTCGGATATATGCAGAAAGTCATAGACATCGTCGCTAACAATCAGTGCGTCGTATTTGCGCGCTACTCGCACAAGTTCTTCTCTTCGGGATACCGGCATTGTGATGCCTGTGGGATTAGCGAATGTCGGCACGCAGTATACAATGTGCTTATAAATCTTCCGGTATGGTAGTGGTGGTTTTATTGGCATCTAGTCGAAGTCAGTATCTTCAACCCAAACAGATACGGCAGTTTATACTTCACACAACCTATCCAAGGTCGCCGGATCCGACTCCATTCGCGATATCGCCTCATCAAGGGCCCTCGAATCCATTTCCTCCACATCTTCCGGGATGGATTTCAGCAGGCCATGAAATCCGGCATCTTCAAAGATTTGAAACACGAGATGATAAGTCGGTTGAGGCAGCCATATGGCTCTGATTTATACCGGGTCGATAAACACCTGCAACAGACAGGCCAGGTTTTGACTCGCCCCACCAATGATGCAGATCCGCTCGGTATCGATTGACTGCGTCAGTTGATATACACTCGTTAACTATCTGGCGATGTTTTCCCTGAGTGGCAAATAGCCCTCGTCAGGGCCGTAGTCGCATCCTGGGCCTGAGATGGCTGGATCTGATAACGCAGCGGAGGCCGCCTGTTTGAGTAACTCGGTTGGAACGAGGTTTGGGGCTGGCGAGCCCCGGAAGAAATTGATTTCGCGTCTCTCTAACATCTTTGGACTAATACTGTCAATCTTTCAGGAATACGGTGGGGTGACGGGATATTTTATGTTATGAGCTGCTGGAGGGTGAAGTGACCCTTGGTTCAAAATGCCCGAAATGGAAAGGTATGCGACCGGGCCATTCACATCCACGCCAACTACGGATTATTGCTTCTTGCTTTTGAGATAAACAACTTTTCACGATTCTATCTGCTTTCTAAAATCGCAAATCCCACCCGATCTAAGGACCCAACCGAGGCAATTCCTCGGCCACCGTCTGCACGTCTTTATCGCCTCGTCCACTCAAACACAGCACGACGTCTTTTCCCTTGCCCAGCTGACGCGCAACCTGAACCACTCCTCAAACAGCATGCGAGGACTCCAACGCTGGGATAATACCCTCCAGCTGCGACAATAGTCGGAAGCCCTCAAACGCATTAGCATCAGTTGCAGCCAGGAAAGTTGTCCTATTCGCATGCTTCCAACTCGCCAATTCAGGTCCAACGCCAGGATAATCCAATCCCGCCGACACCGAATGCGTCTCGGAGATCTGTCCATGTTCATTCTGAAAAACATACGTTTTCACCCCATGCAAGACACCAATTGTGCCTCCATTCAAGGTCGCAGAGTGTTTATCCTTGCCATCCCCTCCCGCCTCAACGCCAAATAACTTGACCGAGGGGTCGTCTGAGAAAGGATAGAACATGCCCGCGGCGTTCGACCCGCCACCAACACACGCGACCAGCGCATCGGGCAGCTTTCCAATCTCCCGGCTTAACTGTTCTTTCGTCTTCTTCCCGATCACCGACTAAAAGGTCCTCACCATCGTCGAGAACGGGTGCGGCCCGATCGGCGACCCGATGATGTAGTGCGTTGTATCCAGCCGGACGATTCACGCCCGGAACGCCTCGTTGACGGCGTCGCGGAGAATGCGCGATCCTGCCTCCATGGGGATTACCTCGCCGCCGAGCAAGCGAATCCGAAAGACATTTAGTGTCTGTCTTCGGACGTCTTCCGCGCCCATGTAAATCGTACATTTCATGTCTAGCTTCGCGCAGACCGTAGCCGTCGCAACACCGTGTTGTCCTGCGCCAGTCTCCGCGATGATCTCCGTCTTGCTCAGCCGACGAGCCACGAGGATCTGGCCGATCGCATTGTTAATTTTATGTGAACCTGTATGATTCAGATTTTCTCGCTTCAGCCAGATGTTCGCGCCCCCGGCATACTCGGTCAACCTGTCCGCGAGATGCAGGCTCGAGGGACGGCCCATGAAGGGATAGAACGAGCGATACTCTTCCCAGAACGCCGGATCTTTCACGGCCTCGTTGAACCCGGCCTCCAGCTCGCTGATGCATTTTGTCAACGCCTCTGGAATGTATTGGCCGCCGAAATCGCCGAAACGGCCTGCCGTGTCGGTGATTGGGGGTTTGTCTTCTTTTGCGCTTTCCTGAGTGGCTAGTGGGATCTTGAATTGTGGGATTTGTGCAGTTGCACCCGATCTCGAAACACGCCGGCCTATGATCCCAGAACAATACTCCTGGATGAGCTGCGCTCCTTGTCCCGCAGGCGCATTCGACAGTTGCGTTATGATCTCGCTTCCGATGACAGCGCCGTCCGCGATGGACGTGACGCTCTTAAAGTGCTCGCGCGTACTGATTCCGAACCCGACAGCGATTGGAACATTTCCTGACAGATCTTTCACCTTCTGCATCAGCTCAGGCAAGCTCGTGTTCAGAGATCCCGTGACACCCGTGACGCCCATTCGCGAAACCAGGTAGATGAACGAGTCCGCGATGGAACAAAGCGTCTTCATTCTCGGCTCAGGTGTAGACGGTGCGATCAAGGGGACGTACGACAAGCTTTATATGAAAACTCCAAATCAGTCTTCATACTCGAACAAAAGCCCACAAGCTGGAAGAAAAAGGAAATAAGACTCACCCAGAACCCGCACAACTGTTCCGGAACCGAACCGCCTCTTCAGGCGGCAAATCCACAATAATGAACCCGCTGACGCCGGCGTCGCGACAATCACTGAGTAGCTTCGCCTCCCCGTATTTGAGGATAGGATTGAAATACCCCATGAATAGAACCGGGGTTTGAAGCCCTTTCCTCCGCGCGTCTTTCACCATCTGCAGCATAGACGAGACCGTGACACCGTTATCTAAAGCCTGTAGGTTGGACTTTTGGATTGTAGGACCGTCAGCAATGGGGTCTGTGAATGGGAGGCCAAGTTCGATGATATCTATTTCACTTGGTTAGCATAACCTATTTCCATCATGCGACCATGTAAAAACAAAAATTGAGTGAAACAAACCAGCTCCCCCAGCCTCCATACCCAACATGATATCCACCGTCTCATTAGCCGTGGGGAACCCGGCCGTGACATACGTCACTAGAGCCGGGCGACCGTCTGCCTTGCATTACGCAAAGGTATTCTTAATATGCTCCATGGTGGATTGGTTGAAGAAAAAGGAAAAAATTTAATCTGGTCAGCCATGATTTTTATATTCCAGGAAAAGGGCCGAGACGGATAGACCTCCGAACGCCGAAGACCGAACGAGTATGAGTCACAACATACCGGCCGTCGGTTGTTAAGGCCAGATTGGAATAGCGACGCTACACGAACAACGGCGGCGGCAGGGGCTTTGCGGAGGGGCCAATAATTACTCTGTGGTTTAGCAATAGAATATGTTAGATTTTATATCTAAGGTTAAATGTCAATTACTCAACGGCTACAAAGAATATTCTTTTGTTGCGCATGGAGTTGTTTAGATTGGGTATTAATACATAGCGAGTTCTACATATACAACACCTGTGGTAGCACGTACTGGGTTGCTCCTGATTTCATTTGATTCAAAAAAAGAAAAGGGCGTTTCTAGCACAATCAAGTGTGCTAGTGTCCCGAACTCTCTACGCACTGGAACCTGCCGGACCGAAAGCGCAAGGGGGCCTCTATCTGTATTTTCACGTCTGGCGAGGAAGTTGAACTTTTTGTGGACGGAGACTTCGAAGAAAGATTAAAAAGTGATTTGTTTGGGCACTGCTTTAAGGGGGATAATATCACGCATGCAACCGGCGAGGCCTACATTGTGAGATACAAAGACCGGAAATAGTAAGCTACCGATAATTTGAAGACCACTGGTGAGCCAACAGGGCTACGGCTACTTCGCAGGTCACCGCTCTTAATCAATTGCTTACGAGAGACAAAACGAACCACAGAGAGTGCCAGGCACATAAAGCTTATATTGGTCGAACAATAAAACCCCTTGGATAACCGTAGTACAAATTACACCAAGCTCTAGGTCAAGGAGGCAAACAACCTAAGACATCGCCATGCTCCAAGCCAAACCAATCCACAGAGGGCTGTATATTGAAAAGTTCAGACATGAGTCCATCATCCCAAATTGAAGATTCTCCGGGTTCACAGCTGCCTTGCACGGTGTTCGGGGAATGGCCGTCCACAGGTATATTTGTACTCGCAGAAGGGGTGGGAAATTGGCCACCATGTACCGTAGCTTCGGCACGGTCATTGCCTGCCGAAGCATCAGCTGGCAACCGCCGTGAACTGTGGGGAGAAAACCCAATGTCACCCATCCATGATATGTTCCCGTTGCTCCGTTGGAAAGAGCTTTGTCGCCTGTGGACATCGTGCAGGTTGGAACACAGACCTATCAAATGCGATAATAAGTTTTGAAGATTAATGCTAAAGGAGCATTGGTCTCGTATGCTCGAAATAGTTGCAGTCGCTTCTTTCAAAAGCTCGAGATCCTGCATATTCGAGGTAGCGACAACATTGCAGAAGATGACAAAGAACGGCGTGAGAGGGTAAAGAAGTATAGTCCTATTACACAGTAAGAAAGAATATCGCTTGCCTGAACGGTATCAGCAACTTACCAAAAAAGAAAGTCTGTGTTGATCTTAGACGTCGTAGATATATGTGTCTGGCATGCTCTCATTGACAAAAGCGCCTTTCGCGCACACTGAACACATTCTTCCCGCTTCGCATGATCGTGTAGGGTCATATAGTTTAGACGGAGGACTGTGGTTGCGATTGAGAAGAACGTAAAGTCGAGAGCATCCCATTCGAAGTCCAGAGAGGGGATGTCAATATACCTTGGTCGAAACTGCAACGCCTTAGCTCTGGGATAAACGGAACTTTCGGGAAATTCATACTTGCATGATACTCAGGCGGATGGAGTTTAATTCGAGCTGAAGTGAATTTACCAATTCGATCGAACAGGGCTCTTCCGCCTTCCGGCCTTGAATCACAATGTCAAGGTAGAGATCTTGGACGCGAGCGAGTCTGACTAAAACCTTAACTTTGCAAGATAAAGGATCGCTGATTCTTGTATACACCAAGCTTGCCGGGTCTGGTCGCAGGGTTGGCAAGGATGAAGGCCTAACAAGAAGCATGCTCAAGGTTTTGTCCATATAGTAGCACCAATAAGTACAATGGCGTATTTCGGATGAGTCGTCGCTTTCAAGAACGGACGGAGATAACCTGTGGTATCCGAGGGCTACAAAAGTCCTCGATGCCAAAGAGGTTAGGAACCACGAACGACTGGTTTGACCAAGAAGGTGCACCAAAGATGCCTATAGCAGAGAGGTTAGTAAAGGATTGGCCTAACACAAAAGCGTGACCTAGTAGTATGGATTACCCCTGATAAAAGCGCTTGTAGCGTTGGGAGATTCGGTGATCTTGTGAAGTCAATTACCTTCATGCATCGCAAACTGTTCTCAATATAGGACTGTTTCGACTTTTCTAGCGAGTCCGACAAGGCCCCAGGCGTACAAAATCGTAGCCATCGACTAACGTAAACCGTGGCTTTGCAGAGGACGCATAGACTGTATTGGAGCGCTAGATTTCCACACACAGCTCCACTCAGCAATGCCAGACACATCCGCTCCAATGTCTTGGGTGAGATATGATCTGGCCAATGGACCAGGGGTCCACCATCATCCTTGGCGCCATTATCGCTCCGCTGGTCTAGTGCTGTTGTTATTTCCCATTTAGCGGATGTATTGGTAGAGTTCTACCTTTAAGTAACATGAAGAAAAGTTCAGGACGAAGTTTCTCCGGCGGGGATGGGTCGCTGTCAACGGCTTGCTCATGCTGTGTGGTTTCCACAAGCTGAGATGCGGTCACGAATCTTCCAACAAGCCCCAGGGCTGATTCAAGCACTCGTACTCGGTCCAATGACAGATGTGCGTTGGTAACGATCTCCTGTCGAATCAAGTTACTTGTGCTATCGGTCCCAACGTTCTGATTAGCAGTATTATGCTCGGGCACGATTAGCGGATGAAAGGAACTCTCAGCCCCTGATACACGAGCCAAACTTGTGTCTGTCTGTGTTTCCTTCTCCTTTGAAGCTTCCTCTGGCGTCAAAGTGCGAGGTCTTTCGCTTGGGAATTTATTGACGGGGAAACAACTGTATTGGCCGGAACCGTCTTCGCCAATTGTATTCTGCAGCTGCTTGGGGACCCTCGGCGCTTTCGCTAATGTCCTAGGGCTTCAGGCCACCGTGTGTGTATATTAGCGAAGGGTGACCGAAGGGAATAAGGGGGAGACTATTGAAGTGTGTAGGATCGGTGAAATTATATACACTGACCTTGGCCCGGTGCCACGAATACGTCTCGGGCGTGACCGAATGCATTGGACATTCGCCTGGATGCAATTTTGGCATTCTATTTCTCTATCGCATTTGATCTACAGATTTAGAATGTAAGTTCAGGCATCAGATTAGCCGGACACATATGACAGGACAAGAGAACGGTAACCGCATTTTTTGAGATGGGGCATAGGAGATACGGACCTTTTTTGAATAACAAAGGTCGCACTGATAAGAACGAATATATAGGTAGTTAATAATGGCAATTTCATGTTGCTGAAAATTTTGAAATCTAACAAGGGGTCGACTTTACTCACAGCGACGGCTCTTTTCTCTTGGTCAGTCAAAAGATGCTGGCGGAACATTTTGACCAAAGTTGACGGTTCTGAAGTCCGATTATCAGCACGCTATTAGAAAACCCTTTCTTTCGGAGCCCCGGGTCTGAGGGTGTCTTGGAAATCTTTGGAGAGTTGGGGTGTGGCAAATAGCTTCTCGTCGGTGAAATGATATGAGCAACAGACCCAACTCGGAAGTCCTAGAAGGAGTTGGCGGTTTTCGGATTTTCGGAACTTCGGAAGCACTGTACAACGAACAAAGGGGCAAACTTTGCAACGCAGTTCAGAGGGCGAGGAAGGTCACCATCAGGCCTAGGGTTGAAATTTGGCACCGGACAAAATATACGGGAGACTCCAGATTTGGTTAAACCCGATTCAACCTCCGAGGCCCTTATCAGGTAATAACGTCATCATTAGGTCCGGTTACCGTTTGGAGAAGCACAGCTCTTGGTCCAAATAGTCTGTGCGCAGCTTTGACCCATAGATCCGTACTTCATTGGCTAATTCCTTACTAGAGTGATGGTCAGCCAATCGGACGGAAATCGAGATGTTTCCTCTTGGGGATGCCACAATGCCAACAGAGACATACTGTGACCGGAGCCCGCATTGAGGATATTGCAAAAAGTGAGAACCCCTGAGCAGTTTCCCTGACTATTTAAGTTGAGTGAGTCTGTTGCAGGATGAGATCCGCCCATTATCGGAAGAATCAGCTCATTCGTTCATTGCTTATTCTCTCCCCTCTTTTGCATCGTCTGTTTGTTCCACTATGGAAGATAATACATCCACCCCCACACTCGCAGAGCCTCGTGGCGACACAAACACGCCCCAAGAATCCCCGTGGCATTTGAAGTACAAAGTGCAAGAGTTCCATGAAAGAGACGTTGCTTCTGGATTCAGGCCTCGGGAGCTCGGTGTCACTTGGCACGATCTCACTGTCAAGGCCACGAGCGCAAGTACCGCGGTGAACGAGAATTTTATTTCCCAGCTCAATCCTGCGCATCACCTCTCACGACTTAGAAGAAAGCCCATGCTACAAACGATCATCGAAGAAACTCATGGGTGCGTGAAGCCAGGGGAAATGCTACTTGTTCTCGGTAGGCCCGGCTCGGGCTGTACAACGCTGCTCAACTTACTCGCCAACAAGCGGGCGGGCTACCAAGAGATTGAAGGATCTGTTTTTCATGGGGACATGGCATCGCACGAAGCTGGGAAGTATCGCGGACAGATTGTTATGAATACCGAGGACGAGATCTTTTTCCCGACTCTGACTGTAGGGCAGACCATGGACTTTGCGACCCGAGGCAAGGTCCCATCCCATTTACCGAACGGCATTTCCTCAAAGGAGGAGTATCAAACCGAATTGAAAGACTTCCTTCTCCACTCGCTCGGTATTTCTCACACGTCAAACACCAAGGTGGGGAACGAATACGTCCGTGGTGTTTCTGGAGGCGAGAGAAAACGTGTGTCAATCCTTGAATGTCTCGCGTCTAAGGGGTCGGTATACTGCTGGGATAACAGTACCAGAGGTCTTGATGCAAGCAGTGCATTGGATTGGGCGCGTGCGATCCGGGCGATGACTGATATCGCTGGGTTATCTACAATCGTGACCCTTTATCAGGCTGGAAATCATATATATGACCTTTTCGACAAGGTTCTAGTATTGGACGAAGGGAAACAAATCTACTACGGCCCACGGCAACACGCCCGTGGCTTCATGGAAAGTTTAGGATTCGTATGCGAAGATGGAGCTAATATAGCCGATTTCTTAACGGGAGTAACTGTGCCGACCGAACGACGAATTCGACCTGGATTCGAGGCAACATTCCCACGAGATGCAGTGTCTATCCGGTCTCATTACCACAAATCCCACACCTACCGAGCAATGAGTGCCGAATACTCATACCCGTCGACAGAGATTGCCCGTTGTCGCACCGAAGACTTCCGGAAGAGTATCGCTTTTGAGAGGAACTCGACCCGCAGTCAGTATACTGTCAGCTTCGCTTCACAGGTGTGGGACTGCATTATCCGGCAATACCAGATCATTGGAGGTGACATGATTACGTTCGCGATGAAACAGGGATCAAACTTGGTTCAAGCATTGGTCGCTGGCTCGCTCTACTACCAAGCGTCCGATGACTCCTCCGGCCTATTTATTAAAGGCGGCATTCTATTTTGGTCCGTTTTATATAACAGTATGACGGCGATGTCAGAGGTTATCGACTCATTCACAGGCCGACCTGTTATCCTGAAGCACAAGTCGCTCGCCTACATCCACCCGGCAGCAATCTCCATTGCCCAGATCACGGCAGACATTCCTATCACTCTTCTTCAGGTCTCAGTTTGGTCTTTGATCGCTTACTTTATGGCTGGTCTTACCACTTCTGCCGCATCCTTTTTCACATTTTGGATCGTGCTGTTCATTACCAATATGTGTGCCTGTGCACTATTCCGAGCCATAGGCGCTGTGTTTGGGTCTTTTGATACCGCCGCCCAGCTTTCTGGCTATGCTATTGCCATTATGGCTATGTATGCTGGCTACCAGATCCCCGCAACAGAAATGCACCCTTGGTTCGGCTGGCTCTATTGGCTCAACCCGCTGTCCTACGGGTTTGAGGCCTTGATGGGAAACGAGCTTCACTCCAAGACGATCAGATGTGTTGGTAATAACCTAATTCCTAATGGTGAAGGTTATAGCGAAAGCAGCCAACATGCATCGTGCGCTGGCGTCGGAGGAGCCGAGCAAGGTGCGACCTCTCTGTCTGGGGATGACTATCTTGCTTCCCTGTCATATAGCCACTCTCATGTGTGGCGGAACTTTGGCATTCTCTGCGCCTGGTGGATCGCCTTTGTTGCAATCACGGTTGTTGGCGTTATCCGCTGGCGAGACGGCTCTGAATCTGGGGCTTCGCTACTTATTCCGCGTGAAAGGTTGCTTTCTCATCAGAGTGCATTGCCATCTGACGAAGAGTCTCAAGTATCAGAGACACTCAAGGCGAAGGAGGAAAAACCTTCCAACTCGTCAGGAGCTTCCCCAGTCAACAACACAGCGCTGGAAAAACAATTGATACGAAACACGTCCACTTTCACCTGGAAAGATCTCAAGTATACAGTCAAAGTACCATCTGGCTCCAGAGTATTACTCGATCATATTTACGGATGGGTCGAGCCGGGTACGCTCACGGCGCTGATGGGCTCTTCCGGTGCAGGGAAAACAACGTTGCTTGATGTTCTTGCGCAGCGGAAAACTGAAGGCACTATCCAAGGCTCAATCTTAGTAGACGGCCATCCTCTTCCGGTGTCCTTTCAGCGTTCTGCAGCCTATACAGAGCAGCTCGATGTTCATGAACCCTACGCCACGGTCCGAGAAGCCCTGGAATTCTCAGCCCTCCTACGCCAATCCCGCGACACACCCGAGGCCGACAAGCTCCGGTATGTCGATGTCATTATTGATCTCCTTGAGTTGCATGATATCGCAGACTCCTTGATTGGAAAGGTTGGGACAGGGCATGGGCTTAGCGTTGAGCAACGGAAACGTCTCACCATTGGAGTGGAATTGGTCTCGAAGCCTAAGATACTGATCTTTTTGGATGAGCCTACCTCCGGCCTAGATGGCCAATCAGCATTCAATACCGTCCGATTCTTGAGAAAGCTCGCGGATGCCGGACAGGCCGTTTTAGTGACCATCCATCAGCCGTCTGCACAGCTTTTCTCTCAGTTTGACCGCCTTCTGTTGCTCAAGTCGGGCGGGAAGATGGTATATTTCGGCGATATCGGACAGAATTGCCAGACAATCAAGGAGTATTTTGGCCGTTATGGAGTACCATGTCCTGTGTCTTCGAACCCTGCGGAACATATGATTGACGTGGTCTCTGGCCGTGTCTCCGACTTGGATTGGCATCAGATATGGCTTGATTCACCCGAACACAGACTTGCAACCAACCAACTCGCGACGATCCTGCGCCAGTCGGCATCGAAGGGCCCCATACAGGATGATGGTTTCGAATACGCAATGCCGCTACTCTACCAAACAAAGGTCGTTCTGCATCGGATGAACCTTGCTCTATTCCGCAATACCGGGTACATCAACAACAAAATGGCGCTCCACATTGGCCTAGGTCTTTTCAACGGCTTCAGCTACTGGAAGATCGGTGAGACTGTTGGTGATTTACAGCTCAAACTCTTTACCGTGTTTGTCTGGATGTTCGTCGCCCCCGGTGTGATCAATCAGCTCCAGCCATTATTCATTGAGAGGCGCGATCTGTATGATGCTCGCGAAAAGAAAGCCCGCATTTATTCATGGAAGGCATTTGTCACGGCCTTGATTCTTTCCGAGGTGCCTTATCTTTGTATCTGCGCTGTTTTATACTTTGCATGCTGGTACTATACAGTGGGTAGCCCGATAGAGTCCAGCAAGGCGGGCGCCGCATTTTTCGTGGTATTTATATACGAGTTTCTCTATACTTCCATCGGGCAATTTATTGCAGCCTACGCGCCGAATGCCGTATTTGCTGCTCTCGCCAACCCGCTCCTCGTTGGATTTCTGGTTTCTTTCTGTGGCATCTTGGTTCCTTACGGACAGATTGTCGCGTTTTGGAGATACTGGGTCTACTGGCTCAATCCTACTACGTATTTGGTTGGGAGTATGCTTACATTCACGATTTTCGACGCAGATGTTAGCTGTGCCGACAGCGAACTTGCTATCTTTGAACCACCTAGCAACATGACGTGTGGTGATTACTTGGCTGAGTACCTTGAGAATTCTGGGGCAAATCTGTTGAATCCAGATGCTGTCTTGCAGTGTGAGGTCTGTCCGTATACCAAGGGCAGTGATTACTTGGAAACAATCAACATCAATGGATGGTACTACGGATGGAGAGATGCCGCCATTACTATCATTTTTATTATCAGTTCCTACGCGCTTGTTTACTGCTTCATGGCCCTGAAGACGAAGTCTTCTAAGAAGGCGGAGTGATCGGCTTTCGGTTCACGTTTTGTTCATCCCATGGTTGATTGCTATTTTGCAGACCGCTTGTGTCATTTTCCTTTGTCAGTCTCGCTTTTAGACTTCTTGCATTCGCAGTCTTTTCCTTTCTTCTTAACTACTGTCTACAAACCTTTTGCGGAACACATTTTGGGCTATAGATAGAGGTTAAACTTTCAATACAACATTTATAAATAGGCTTTCAATACAAAATTTATAGATAGGGGGGTTCATTGATGCTTTACAACCCGTGCAATGCAGTAAACATTAGAATTTTGCAAGGGCAATCAACAGGTCTTTAGGTTTTCATTCTAGCCACTGTGATGAAATTGCTTCCTAGAAAGTACCTGAGGGCTTTATCACTGCTCATCTACTCACCGCGTCTGTCACATTTTGCCCCTTTTATTTACCTAGCAGTGGTTGCATTCATGGACTTATGAGGCACTGTTGACCATTAATGAAAAGTAATTTTAGCTTTGACATACTTCATTAACATATTCGTCTTCATCGAAGCTCGCAAATATCGAAATCAAAACCCCACATACATTCTTCCCTACCCTCCCCATCCACCTCCTCCATCTCGCATACTATACATTAAACACCTCTTATCAAAGCCTCTGCATCACTCTTCTCCTCCGGCGCCGTTCGCTCAACTTCCCTAATCAACTCCTCATGCCCCCGGCTCCTCGGCTTAATAGTAACCTCAAACGGTGCCGGATGGCTAATCACGCCCGGCAAGAACTCCACCTTAACAGGAATCTCCTGTCCATTTTTCACCGGCTTCGTGATATTCAAACTCGCGACCGCCTGCGCAATCGTGAGAAAGATATCTGCGTTGGCGAGGACCCGACCAGGACAAATTCTTCGTCCGAAGCCGAATGCGAACATGTTGGGATCGCGTTCTGGTGTGTGGCCTTTCTCGGAGAGGAAGCGCTCCGGTTTGAAGGTCATTGGGTCGTGATAGATTGATGGGTCGTGCATGAAGCCCCTATCGACAGACAGGTGTCAATAAGCATATGTCGCCAGTGGATGGGTGGGATGGATGGGTTCTCCTTACCAAATATTTGGAATCATGATCGCTCCCTTTGGGATGCGATATCCCTCGTATATATCCTCTTCGCTAGACTTATGAACGAACCCGACGGGCGCGATGGGATGCCAGCGTAGAATCTCCTGAGCCATGGCGTTGATGTACGGCAGGTTCTCGCGGTCTTGGAAACCAGGCAATCGAGACGTTCCTACCACGCGGTCGATCTCTTCTTGCGCGCGCCGTTGTACTTCTGGGTACAGGGCCATTGCGAGGAAGAAGCAGGCGATTGAGGAGACGGTCTAACATTCGTGGTGTTAGTGATATCTACGGTTACAGTCCAGGATGATTACGAGAAAGATGGGAATATGTCATTCACAGCATCAGCGCCTCCAGCATACAGCGACACAGCGGACCACTTCAACACCATCTCATCGTCCGAACCCGGCTCGACATGTTCCTTGTTCAGACTACTCAACACGAAAGATGGTGTGTCTTTCTTCTGTTCCATCTGTCGCTTAACGAAGTAATACGGCAGATCGCGCAGGCGCGCAACGCTGTTTCGGTACTCCTCGGCCGTCTTGTGGAATCCGCCGCCTGGAAGCCAACTAGGAAAGTGTTTGACTGTAGTCGTTGTCAATTACCTTTCTCGGGTTTTAGAGCCACGGGGGGGCGCTCTCGGGTACATACAAGCGGGAACAAGATTAACAAGCCATCCATGCGGAACCACGACATCGCAGAATTCAGCCATGCCTTTTTCAACGAGATCAACGAGCGGATCGCGACCCTTCGGTTCGACATTGTACCCGTATCCGATCTTGAGAATTGATGCGCCGGTTTGTCTGTTCGGTAAAGATAGAATCAGCTTAACCCATCGTTTCAAAGAGCACAATCCAGCAGAACTAACTTCCGAATATACTCCATCAACTGATCCGGCGTCTGGATCATCCGCAGAAGAAACCGTCGAACCTCAATATCCAGAATATCGTTGAATCGCGCAACAGCAGCCGTGGTACCGAGTTCTCGGTGCAGGGCCTTGCGATGCGTTCGGAACAGAGGCGTACACTGCAGCAAACTCACCGCTTGACCCCAGCCGGATCTGGGCATGTTAGACTGATAGATCAAAGAGCGCAAAAGTGACTTACAGCTCCGCCATAGGAAATTCCGGTCTAGCAGAATGGATTGCGGAGCGCTTTTCGAAGAGCGTGATCGCCGCGTTGGCATCGTTGATGATGATTAATGTTTGGCCGAAGATATTCAGCGAACTGATCCCTCCTATCGGTACGGGTGAGTACATTAGTATTGTACGCGTCGACCCCCGGCGAATGGAAAGCTGCTATACCATAGAGATCCTTGTATTTCCATCAATGTAACCATTCATGGGATCCGGATGGTGGGAGGTCACGGAGATTGCCGACAATGAGTTGCTCGGGAGGCCCGGGCGGAAGAGAAGCACTCGAGCCTTTTCGTCCGAACAGAGATTTGAGGAGGAATAGGCACAAGACCCCCAGCGCAGAGTACACTATCACAGACATGGTGGGAAAAAAAAAGTAGTGACAAGACACTGGAATTGAAGAGGTCAGCGAAGCAGAGTTACAACGAGCGGGGTCTGTGGAATAAATATGCCATGTCTAAGGATTTCTACTAAGACGGCGATGACTTCATGGCGGGAACGGCGAGGAACGTCAACCCAGATATACGCCCTTGCGTAAGCTGAACGTGTGCAGTCAGTGCACGGAACAGAGCAGATTTATCACATCTCCTAGCAATACAGACCACATGGTTGGTCTAGAGCTGGGTAGGCAGAAGTTTAACAACGAAAATATCATCTCATTATTAATACGACGACATCCATTCAGTAAGTGTTCAAGCCCTATAACCAGTGGGATACCAACCAGATAATGCAACAAGAGCTCTCTCATTTGCTTGCGATGTTGCATCGAACCATTACTCGTATGGCACAGGAGTGGGGAGCGCAGATCCTCAATGGACAAGGTCTATACGAGATCTGTCACAAGCAAACGGCGTGATTGGCCACAGGACCATGCCATGGCTTGGACAATGTCATTCTCCGCATGCCGGAATTTGTATCCTGTCATCGATGCAGTAGCGCATCCTTTGGCTCTGAGCACTACATTCCTCGGGGACGGTCTTGTTGGGAGGAATGCGGGAGCATTGAAGCTTGCTTTTCTTGGCGATCATTGGGGGCATGACTTGACCGTAGACCTACTGGTTGATGTTTGTAGGATTCGTCCAGGCTGCTTGAAATAAGCATGCTGATGGTATGACAGTGCATATCGCCCTAGCCTCTTTGGTATCCGATGATGTCCGTATGTGGGCTGGGATGCAATAATTTGTGCACGAAGAAATAACAAAGCATTACGCTGTAAGGATATGACTCGGCTATAATAGGAGTGCCATAAGACGTTTCAGTCACATGTATAAGACTTCGCCTCAGTGCTCGAGAACTAGTAGTGTCCGTGGTCCAAAATTAGGAGAGACCGTCTGTCCCCACACAAACGCCAATTATTACGCCCCTTCAACAGTACTATGTCACACCTTTCACTGAACTCCTGGCGCTCTCATGATTCATAACTTTACAAATGCCCATATATATCTTCATCTGGATCACACTCTGCCCTCTGTCCCAATTTCGCACACAGCTCCTCCAACGCCTTCTGATCCTCCACATAGCAATCAGGACGCGACCCTTCACCATTACGATAAATCATCTCCTCCATGTACGGACTCGGTCCAAACCCATCGCAAAACATCATATATCTATCCTTCGGCAAGCTCACCTTGATATGTTGCTCCTGTTCGAAAGGAGTCGTCTCTTCATCCCACCAATGCGGACAGTGCCCAGCTCTGAAATGTCTCAGAAGTGGTAGTTTATCATTGAACGCGTTGAAATAGTCATGCCAGCGCTTGTCATATGCTGCGTAATGCTTTTCCCCTAGACCTGCTTTGGGCCCGAAGGAGGCTGCGTCGAGGTATGTTTTGTCATTCTCGTAGATTGCCACTTCGTAGAGGATTGGGCAGTCGTCCAGGTACAGCTCGGTGAGTGTTTCGCCGTGCGAGAGGATCCAGTCGAGTTGCGAGTCGTGGACGAACGCATGGTTGCCGAGAGCCAAGGTTTTCAGTTGTGGGAAGTATAGCCCTGTGGGATCGAATTTCGGGTAGAAGCCGAAGTAGTTGCTCGAGTAGAGGGTCAGATATTGCAGCTTTGCTAATGTCGGCTGTAACCAGAAGGAAGGCAGGTCTGTGAAGAACTGGTGCGGTTCATCATGCTATTCACATAGTCAGTCAGGTCACAGATGAAACACTCAGGAAGTGCGCAAACATACCGTCAGATCATTCTCTCCATTTCCTTCGCTATGTTCGTTCGTAATATTCAGTCGCAGTGTGGAAAGCCCTATCAGCACCTTCTTGATATTCCCTACGATTGTTTCGTCCGTCTGGTTGATATTCTGGAGATCGCGAATCCCAAGCTCTTGAATAGGGTGAGGCAGGGAAGACAAGGATTCCATGAACGACCCCAGGACACTCTCACGGAAGGGAGGCTCTTGTTGACAGTCGTACCAGAGCGAGTCGAGTGATATTAGTCCATAGCACTCGTGGGCAAAACGCAACACGGCCCCTTGGAGTCTAGGGAATTCCTTGAGCCGGTTGAACAGTTTGCCATATCTTCGTGGTAGAAATAGCTCTTCGCCTTTGTCGTCATCGTACTCCTCGATATCAATATCCTTGTCTATGTCAACACCTGGTCACAAAATTCTCTAAACCGGGCCAAAACTCACATGGTCCCAATTAGCCGTATCTAGGTACACCTTGGTCACGCAGGATGCAAGTAACGGATCATTCAAGATCGTCTCGAACTTCTCACAGCTCTCCTCTGTCGGCACCACGCGGGCATACCGGAACAGCCACTTCCTGCTAACATTGCTCAGTGACCGACAGGCCAGCCGCAATTGGAGCAATTCCTCGCGGTCGGCATAATACGCGATCCTATGTAGGATTTCGTTCGGAAGAGACAAAAGAGCTGCCATCCTGCATGATTCTGGCCTGAGTTGAGCCGCAGAACCAGCATGATCAAGTCCATGAATTTATATTCTCCTTCTGGGCCATCGCGAACGGACCTTGGGAAGGCAACAGACCCCAGTCGCACCAGCTGCTATTGCCGACTGACTCGACCACCTTAGCCGATACTCGACTAGGAATCGGGGCGAGCGCTAGAGGATCCATTTGGAACTGGGCCCGTTTCTTGGCCCAATTCAGGTTCCTCATTCAACAGAACAGAACTACTAAATAGGCTTAGTGCAAGGCTACGGCATCTTCGGCTTCAGCATCCTAAGGCATCAGTGTGTCGGCAGCAGGGTTATTCCGGTCCCGTCCGATTTCCCGTGGCTGATGCCTCAGGTTAGAGTCATCGCCGGATTCACTTCTCTTGTTTACATCAACTGTCAACCATGAACTATATGAACACACGCACGACTATTAACGCAGCTCAGGCCTCACTTACAAGTAAGATTTTGAGATCTGTTAATATCCAGCGTGTCTGCATGGTTACTACAGATAAGATCTTGAGCTTGTTACACTTCCATGGAAACTATATTTGTGCACAGCTGAACGGGACCAAAAACATTCCCCATACTTTTATTGATGGTTCAAAATATAACAATATACTTCGACCACTTTTTTCACTATTGCAATCTGTCCAACGATAGGTAGGATTCAAACAGACTTTATGCTAACATAGTAAATGTGATTGGGAATAAGTGGGTTACTGACGCTAGAAGGAAAGTTGTTCCGAGGACAGTTAGAAAGCATGCATGGCGACAATAATCATGGGGATAAACCGTGCCCTCTACTCGGGGCAATTGGCCAGAACGCTCGTCTCGCGACCAGGATTGCCGCTAATCGCTAGGGGACGGAGGAGAGCTTAATCCCATTGCTATCTCCGACCCCATTAACTCCATGTGTCACGATGGAAGGGTATTAAAAGAGCGGGATCAGCTGAGAAGTACGAAGATTAATTGAACAATTCTCACCAATTCTTTGAAGAAACGGGATATTGTCTTACCTCATATACATACACTTGAAATACTCGCAAAATGGCCCCCCTCGTCTGGTTCATCACAGGTGGCTCCTCCGGCTTCGGATACCAGCTCGCTCTCCACGCGCTGGCTGCCGGACACAACGTCATCGCGACCGTACAAAGCACCACCAAATCCGCTGATGCAGTGCAAGGCATCGAGTCGCGAGGCGGAAGGGTCATCGAGCTGGACGTCACCAAGGCCGAGACCGTCCCCGACGTGGTCAAGAAAGCAGAGAACATCTACGGACGAGTCGATGTTCTTGTCAACAACGCTGGATATTCGCTGCTGGGCGCGATTGAAGATATTAGGTATGTTATGTTATCGACACCGACACATTGCAACCGAAGCTGATACAGTGAATCTGATACAGCGACGACGAAGCCCTCGCGCAACTCAACACCAACTTCCTCGGACCCCTACGACTCATCCGCTCGTTCCTACCGTCCCTACGCGCCCAGGGCAGCGGAACAATTGTCAACATCACCAGTATCGCAGGACTAAATGCCCTCCCATCGTGCGGTCTATACGCATCCAGCAAATTCGCGCTCGAGGCGCTATCCGAATCCCTAGCTCAAGAAGTCGCACCCTTCAACATCTCCGTGCTGATCGTCGAGCCGGGCGCGTTCCGCACGAACTTCCTCTCGGCAGTGCAGAAGACCAATAAATCGTTATCGAAGCCCTACCGTGGAGGCCCTGTGGATGATATGCTTGGGAAGTTCGAGAGCGCACAGGGGAAGCAGCCAGGCGATGCTGAAAAAGCAGTCGCGAGGATCTTTGGAGCTGTGACGGGCGAAGGTGTTGCGGGGGAATTAAAGGGGAAGGTTTTGAGATTGCCTCTGGGGCCGGATTGCGTGTCGAGGATTGAAGTGAAGTTGAAGAGTGTTTCGGCGGACTTGGAGACTTCGAGAGAGGTGGCCATGGGCACGAATATCGATCAATGAGGGATGCGGGTAGGCAGATAAGAGCAGAACAATGTATATATGATAGCATAGACAAGGGAGGACCAGAAACGGTTACGACAATGACGGTATCAAATTGCAGGGACGGCGGTGAGAATTGTGATAAAATTAGGTACTATATGTCTAGCTTTAACGATGTAATGGTGAACATCATATGGCCATTCCCGGAGTACTAACTATTTTTGCCTCGCTAGCCACCGACGGCGGTGTATCAACCGACTCGGGGCGATTAGTTCTGGTTTCCATCGTGTTGCTCAGGGGTCGCAAGTCGAAGTGTGCAATGATAAATTACTTAGATCTATTGCAATGTAGATAATTTAGAACAAATCATAAGCTGCAAAAAATCCATTTTTGCACTCTTTACGAGCTGCTCGGAGGCATTTTGCGTACTTGTAAATTCCGAGTCCGAAAGTCGCGGTCGTGCAAAGTGTCCCTGAATGCTGCCTCAGGCACCGGTATCCAGTTTCGGTCTCACTCATCGGACAACACAAAGCCGGAGCGGCATATGTCACCGCGTGTATCTCGGGCGAGGCAGCATCGTAGATCGGGTGCTATCACTAATCATGGGTTTCCTTTCTGGCACGAATATTGTGTGATACGCGATGAACCGTGATGGGAAATCGTCAAACATGCAACCCGTACCATGCCCAATAGCGAAATATCCCGTTCTCCAAAGGATTGCTAAACTATCGAACCGCAGCACCAAGTTCACGGGGAATCACCATGTCTATGAAAGCCCAATCAAAAACAAACGGCATACCGACCACGAGATTTCTGAGTGTTCAGGGACAAACAAGTTGCATGCTTTGAAAAGGTAACATACATAGTAGGGGGGTCCCGGTGGTTTCGTGGGGTTGGAAACCGGATAATTCTAGTTCCGTACGGTTATAATTAGTTACCTAGCCGTTATGTCTGGTTTAGCGGATTATATTAGGTTATATAACTAGAAATAACTAATAAGAACGGTTAGTTAGTTATTAAACTGTAGAAGAACCAAATTATAACTATTTAATTATACAAAATTTATATCTAAACAGTTTAATATAGTATATAATAAGAATATTAAGTAAAATATATATAAATTATATATTTATTTAATATTAGTAATAAGTATATTTGTAATTTAAAACAGTAAATAACTACTAACCGTGTATAGTTATAGTGGGCGTTATTTTACTATTTTTAGTTTTTAATTTAGTTTTATTGGATTAAACCAGTAAATAACTGTTATATAACCATTAGTTTACTGTTAATTTATTGTTAAAAATTTAAAATAGTTATAAACTATAGATAAATAGTTTATTATATATACTTTTCTATTAATATATAATCTATAACTAAGTATTATTATATAACTATAAATCTACTATTAATTAATGACAGTATACGTGGGGTTTCGGCACCTATGTAGGAAGTCCTGCAATCCTTCTATCTCTTCTTTCTCATCGTCTTACAGACAAGTATCGTTAATACACCTGCGGATTTTCTTAACGAGCATTCGCGACGGGGCCAACCGAGCTGCACGGCCCCCGTTGGAACTCACCCCCACCGGCATGGCAGGCCCGCGCCCACTGCGGGCCTCCTGCTGCGCCAGAATCTCTAGAACGGACATATACGTCCCGGAGCCGACGGAATATTTCCTGTGCCAGTCAATAGAATCTCCACGCCGCGGTCGATGTATTCGAGCAGATCACAGCTTAACTGCAGGATTGTTGTGATTTAGAGTACTTTATCTAGCTTTAACGTCGACCAGTCTAAGTATATATTAGAAATAAGCGTGGAGCTCGAGAAATTGTTCAGAATAATAAGTAGGCCGGTCAGATTATTTGTGGGGATATATCGCGCGACTAAGAATAGGATAAAGATATATAGATTAGTAAGGACGCTGCGGTGCAGGCGAATAAGAAGTACGTGGTAGATAGTAATAGTTAGACAGATGGGGAACTGGATCTGGTAGGCTGGTGGGAGGGCCGGTTGAGGTCTTTAAAGTTTCTTACCGGGATAGGTATTGCTGCTGCTATTCTCCGAAGTTTCTTGGGAGCAATCTCCATTCTATTCTGTGTTTAAGCTGGGAGGGAATGCGGTTGAAAGATGGCCTGGGGTCGGTGGTGTGGACAAGGATGAGGTGTCCTGGGTTGAGGTTGAAGCGGAGCGATTATTTCTATACCTAATCGGTGATATTCTCGTCGTCCGAATCCCCGGACCAGTCGTTGGTAGTATGATCTGGATATAGATTGCTGCAAACTAACTCGAGATATAAAAAGACGAAAGATTAGATAATTTTAAGAAAGATCTATAAATAGCGCATAATCTGATGTATTAAATAGTTACTTTGGATGTTCACGAGGTCCGATAAGCTCGAGCCGAGAGGGTGCGTGTTATATAAGAAGCTATTTATAAAGGGGTTATTTTGATCTGTAAAGTAACTTTCGACCGGATATACCTGCTCCAGGAGTGTGCTATGAAGCTTCCACACGCGCTCGATATTCTATTCCTAAGGGTTGACGGCTATAGAGTCGGTCGGGCCGACTGCTTTGGGCTACGAGCCCAGGACCAGATCGGGGAAAACAGATGTATTGAAGATATTTATATTTAGAAAGCCAAAATCAAAGTCTATATCCCCGTGGTCGAAGTCTAGTTTATTAATTGTATCCATTTTAGTCACCTCGAGATCGGGCAATCGGTAGATTGTGGTACAGGATGATAGGATTAAGGAGTCAGTCCCGGTGTTATTGAATAATAACTTATCGAACGACCTACTAGACTTTCTACGGTAACGAGCTTTGGGATTTAAGAAGCGCGGTCGACCTATAGGCATAGGAGCGCTGGTAATACAATTGAAATGCTTTCGAGCACAGCGGAGCTTCTGGCTGCGATACCGGTCATTGGTATGTCGTCGAAATGGCTTCGAGATTCGACTTCCATTATCGGATTGAGAATGTGACGTGTAGGGTTCATATGCGGCTGCAAGTAACTTGATGAATTCGACGTAAGTTGGATGAGATGATGGACTGGAGATGGGCTGATTTGGGGTGATGTAAACAAAGGGTAAGGGGAGGAGGAGATCTCGGAATGGTGAGTCTCAGTCCCCCACCACACCGCCTGGAGTGCTCCAGGTGCTTATAAACAAGTATCCAAGGTTAACGGTCGTTAAATAAGAAAGAAGATTCGATATCAAATGCTTCTCCACCAGACCTCTGAGGGGGCGAGGGATTTTGTGTCAGTCTCGTTCAATCTCTGAATTGGTGTTGCATTCGTGATTTGAATTTCCATAATGAGATAAGCATTCTGGCGCAGTCCTGACCCTTAATATTTCCAGAGATGTTTCAACAGTCCAAGAAGCTTTTCAGGGCGATATTCCGCTACGTAGATCCAGCTGTCTGAAGGAGAATCGCCATCTGGTGGAACAAGACTCAGGCGTTCGCTAATTCCAAGTGAGTCAATTGGCCATTCGCGACACAAGGGGTGGGTTGTATGTGGCCTTGTTGGAATGTTCCCTAGATACGTTGAATGCTTGAGCAATACATCCATGCCCTGGGAGTACTCTGTTTGCCCCAGGGCCTCTGGTCCGTATGGGGGCTAGGGCTTTTATGTTCATTCTCGCTCAGTTACTGAATTAGAAGTCTGGTTCAATAGTTATCCGAGAAATAGATGGATCAAGATCCAATTAACTTGACACAAACAGCTGTAAACTACGTACTGTCTTCCTGTAGATGAGCACTGCGGATGGTCTGCCGAATAGGGATTCTATGAGCGGTAACTATCCCGAGCCGAGCCGAAGGTCGGGTGGATTACCCTTTGTGGTCAGCCGAAAGCGGCCTTCCGTAGGTTGGAGTCCCGCGGGGATCGCCAGCTTCACAACACAACATGGATGTGCTGTCTTTGTTGCCATTGGGCACAGAAAGCTTTGCCACAATGTTCATCAATTGCTCTACTAGTGCTTTCATGAGCGGTGTCTGAAGGCGACGAAGATGGGCCGATGGAAGTTGATGACGGATGCCGCTGATCGCTCACACGGCCCGGTCTACTCAGTATTTTCCCCCACAGTACCCCACGGTCCTCTCAGCTGTGTTAGGGACTGGCGGGGCATTGGGAGCTGGACACATATAAGTTGCAGCTCCGACGAGATCTTTTCACCTGTTCATAACAAATCTATTTCTTCCATCGCTCCAGATTCCCTTTCCCAATTCCGGCTCACTCCTAGCCCGCACACACGATGATAGGCACTGCTACCACTCCCAGCTGGCTTGAACGCCTGGAGGACCAAGGTATATCAGACCTGTTCCGAGAACAATAGTGATGTGACAGCTCATCTCTTTCTTCCCAGTTAATGTCGATGTTGACTGGATGGATCCCGTCTTCATTCAAAGCCTTCCTATTACTCCCCATGACATGACCAGCAACCAGATCCATGTCCACGCGCAACTAGGGAACCCTATAAACAAGGAGTTGATTGCGGAGGTTGCTCGCGAATACAAGGGTCGTGGCTGGTTGGCCATCTACACTCGCGTTGTAAGAAGACCCCCAATATAACAGACTTGTCAAGGGTTCTCTTTCATTTCTCACTTACACGATCTCTCTCCTCGATTCAGGCCGTCCTGCTGTGCAAGAAATCCATCGATTACATTTCCGGTCGCGTGTTGCTGCAGGTCTCCCCCTCCGAGGCATACAATGGTGAGAAGGTCCTTGAACACGCCCGGCTATATGCCCAGGAGTTCAAGTCGGTGGGCATCTTCAAGGACCGCTTCTGCATCAAGATCCCCAGCACGGGTCCCGCGTTGAGCGTTTGCCCATTCTTGCAAGCGGAAGGTATTCAAACACTGAGAACGGCTTGTTTCTCGCTCGCCCAGGCCATTGCGGCCAGTCAGGCTGGATGCTTGTTTATCAGCCCTTATTTCAATGGTATGAGGCTAGTTTCCTCGAAATTCTCTTGTCTGCGCGGGTCAACTAATATTCTACTTTCTATTCCTTTCCAGAGATCCGCGCGAATCTTGATCTCAGCCTCTGGCCCAACGTGGAAGATCCTGCCTCGCAGCATCCTTTCTCGGCCCGTCTTGTTCAGATGTTGGAGACATACCGTCGCCTGCATAAGGAAACCGGCAAGAAGCAACCTCTCATCAAGAATGCTAAGTATGCATTTCCTGTGTGGGCTCCCGGGATGGTTTCGACCCAGCTAACATCTGTCTACAGCTTCATCAACGCCAAGGAAGCTCTCGCGCAGGGCGAAATTGGGGTCGACTCCGCCACCATCTCGAAGGAAGTCCTGGAAGAGCTTCTCAAGCTACCCTACAATGGCACCTGGCAACCTGATGAGGGTGGCGTCCCAAAGCCTCAGTACCCCGGTCACCAGAACACGGTAGCCACTCCCAAGCGTCTTCAACATCTGGCTAGCATTGATCCGCTTGTCGCGTCGTGAGACGGCAAGATCGCTAGCACAGACGTCGACTATCTGGCCAACAACGGTGCGGCCGTAGAAGATGCTATTAAGGCTGACCTTATCGCCACCTCACGCTTGGCGGATGCTCTCCAATTATTTACGAAGGTGGAAACCGAGAGTAAGGCCTTGATCGAGAAGGCTCTATTGGAGGTCTAAATCCTTTCTTATCATGTGCACAAAATCATTTGCACCTGTGAGTTGTTTTAGGTAGAGACTGAAGGAAATAGATTATAGAGGTTGCTTCCAGATGAAGCGCAGATACTGAATAGTGATTGCTCGTTAGTCAACTATCTCGATACTGTGGTTGCTTTGGGCCGTTATCTACATTTGAGGCCAACTGACAATCAGAATCTGCTTTGTTTCAATTACAAGCGACAATCCCCACGGACGCACATTTCTTTTGAACGGAAATCCATGCTCCCTGAAAGCGAAACTTTTTTAACCACATGTACGAATTGCCTAATAAGGACATGATATACATAAGTAACATCAATCGAGATCCTGCGCCCTGCCGTTGGACCCTAAACCGGAATCGATCGCATCCCCATACGATTGATGAATTGACTGACAGGGATCCTTCAGGACTCTCGGCCCCAATACTAAGTTTAAATCGATCATATTTGGAAACCACGTCATGAGGTCAATTCCTCTTTAGTAGAGTCCCTGTAAACTAATACGGGAATTTAGCGCGAATTGGCGATGATGATCGACACTCGGATCCTGCCAAACTAAGAGGAGCCAATGAAATCTGTTTCTGGAGCCATAGATCAGCAGCGTAAAATAAACGGAATATGAAACTCTGGGAAAATATACCAGTTTCCCGATCGGGCAAGTAAAGTCGGGGGTTCGAATACTCCGACACTGACCTGTATATAAGGAGCCAATTTGCTCGAGCTTAGGATTCAGGAACAGTCATTCAACGTTTCCATTCCAGCTGAATCTTGTTCTGGGCTAATTGAGATCAACTTTCTGAGTCCCGAAATTATGCTCTACCCTGTCGACTTCACGGCGTTCGCGCTGTTTGCTGCAGTGCAAGCCATCCCATCCCACCAACCCCATCTTTACAAGCGTTGCGGCCCAGTCCAAGAATTCTACAACCAGAACCAAGGCGACTGGGACACCTATAACACTACCGACTGGCTGAACAGCTGGTGGGACGGCCACACCGACCAAGTATCCAGCAACACGGCCGGGTTCGCCGGAGCATTCGGACAATGGGCCATGGGAAACCCGGACTGGTCCTGCAGTGACAGTGGTTCCAATACCGACTGCGACCTCAACCTATGCGACAACCGCGTTCTGAATGATAAGGGTGATGACATTCGCCCGGCGTATTATGTTCTCGAGTCCGTCAATCGGCTACATACTTATTTCACTGGTCTTGGGGAAGCGTTCACGACCACGGCGCTGGGGGCCGCGCTGTCGAAGGATGAGTGGGCATTGACCTTCTATAAGGACAAGGATGCGAAGAGCGTGACGGCGCTTAAGGAAGCTCTGAATGCAGTGACGACTATTGTTGATATTGGGGCGACGTTTGCGGGCCTGGGTCCTGCGGTCGGTGGTGCGGTTGCTGGTGCAGGGTCTGCGCTGCTCAGTGGCGGTATTGCGGCGGGTAATCTGGTGCTTGGGGATCAGTAAGTTGTCATTCCTATTATTTGAGTATCTCCTATGTATATAGTGAGGACTAATTTGTACGTGATACAGTAAGGACGACACCTTCGAGAAATCAGCCGATCTCGGCAGTATCCTGGGCACCGTTGTCGTCGACTCCCTCAAATCCTTCACCACAGCCAACAACGACCTCATGGCCGGAAAAGAGCACAACGAAGCCGATATCCGATCCTACCTTTCCGGGGGGGTTTTCTTGGATTACTCAGGGGTGGACAAGAATGTCGTGACCGACTCCATGACAGCCATGATGGTCGGAACGGCAATCAATCAGCTTTACAGGACTTAAAAGATCTTCATCATGGGAGACGGAGCCTGCGGTGATGATCAAGGTATTGGATCAGGACCTCAAGAGGCCGTTGTCTGTCGTGATGACAGGGCCTGGTATCTATACTACTGGCAGGAGAACGACGTGGTTTCGACTACCGCGCATCAATGGGGGTGGGTGGCGTCTCCGCCCGGTGCGGATTAACTAAGACAGGGTCCGTATAGCGGTATCAGCATTGAGGATATCATCAATTCATCGCTCGATGCGTACAATGCCGCCGGGTACGACTATAATGCCGATAAGGCAACGGAACGAGCATCGGATGCGGTTTCGAACGCGTGGGCCAGTCTTGGGAAGAAGGGCGCTTCGTGTGAGGGTGTGTTTACTATTCCTGTGTGCGATGTTGGAGGCGCAGTGAACTCGGACTTTGAGTCGAAGGAGTATATCCTGCAACCTTATGGGCATGATATGCGTCCCGTATGGTGTGGTGCTATCTGTGGAGGGGATCAACAGACAACACAGATTTTCATTAACGCCGCTAATATGGGCGGTTTCAAAAGCCCAAAACATCTCTGCTCCGAAGACCCGGGTTATTGATATTGGATGAGAATCTCGCGACGAGATGCTGCGTATTTGCATTGGTGGATTGGCAAGTATTTTAGGCAATAATAAATATACTGTCATTGCTTTGAAATCTTGACAAACGATGAGGCACATCGAGAAGAAATGTTAGCCTATATAATCATCAGACCATTCATTGTCCACTCTAGCCCAGAGGATATCGTCAACCCCATCGAGAACATAGTTCCTAACATTTTTCATGCCCAATCTGGGTAACACGCTGGCCACCCTCGCGGAATTTATTGTTATCTACGCCAAGTTATCACGTGGTTCGTCGGTTGCCGTGAAACAGTTCACGTCGGACTGCTCATTCCTGAACAACACTTCTGCGCCGCAGCAAAAAGCCGACAAGCATGGCAATCAGATCTGGCAAAGCTTTCTTTCCCCGTCTTTTAAGTCCTTCCCAGCGTTTGACTAGGCTTACACGCCGACCAATTTCTACCTCTACGCCTAGAAACCAAACTCTAAATGCAAGAAACTTCGGTATGACCTGCTAATTGCTATGACGAGCCGTAAAGATGGCCAGCTAACGAAAGTCTAGATTGTGAGCCGGAAGACCTATTTAGATACTCAACTCAGAGGTGGCTCTGGAATGAGTCCCAGCAGCTACAGAGCAGATACATTTCATTCAACCTGGATGGTTTGGTTGAGGTCGCCGTGGAAGCTGCTGGTGGCGATGCAGTCTGCAGTCGATTCTCCAAATTACCGGAAGGCAACTTCAACAAGACCTTCCTTGTCTCTATGAAGGATAGACGAGAACTGATCGTCAAAATTCCGAATCTGCAACGCGGGGCCGAGTCATTATACAACTGCCTCAGAAGTAGCAATCATGCAATACGTGAGAACCATCATGCCCCCAACCTAGAGAAATGCTACCATTTGGCAGTTTCTAACCAGCTGATAGACGAGGGAAAATCTCAAGCTTCCCGTGCCAAAGGTTCTCGCTTATTGTTCCCGCGCTGGGAGCAGCAAGTTGGGCTCTGAGTATGTGATTATGGAAAAAGCCGAAGGTATTGAGCTTGGTCGGATATGGGACGATCTTAAATCCCGCGACAAACTATCTATAGCCAAAGAAATCAGATCTATCACCTGCACTTTATCCCGGGTGAAGTTTCATTGTTACGGCGCTCTATACCGCCGCGTTGACATCTCCGAGACGGAAAGTATCAAGATTGACGACACCTTTGCAATTGAACCGACAACTGGAAGAGCCTGGTTTGACGATAAAAGAGAAGAGATTGATATCTATCGAGGCCCGTGTAAGCTATCTCCGTTTGATATAAAATACTGACAGGAATCATTGACTGTGGTGGCAGGGGCGAACATAAAAGAGACGATTAATGCGCTGGCTCAACGAGAGCTGGCCTATTTGAAACAATTCTCAACATTCCCTCGAGACTGTCAACAGTGTATTTTCAATGGGCCTGGCGGCTACCATCCAACGAAGGAGGCAAAACTAGCCGTTCTACAGGACTTTCTCAAAGTCTATCAACATGTCTTACCACACGAGGATTCACTCAATGCTGGTATTATCTGGCACAATGATCTCCATACCGATAACATCTTCGTCGACAAGAATGATCCCACCAAAATCACTAGTATTATTGACTGACAAGCTATCCCCGTTTATCCCATGTTTCTTGTCACCCACCACCCATCTCTGATCGACTATGACAGACCAAAACCGGAACGATTTGTGCAACCAGAGCTCCCTGAAGATATTCAGAACATGAATTCTCAAGATAAAAAAGGTGCAAAAGAGTTGTTTCTGGCCCAGACACTCTGGCTTTTGTACGAGACCCAGGTTTACAAAGAAGCTCACGATTTGACCCGCGCATTCCAATATCGAGAGACGCTACAAGCCGAGATCTTAGGCCTGATCGGGTCAATCTTTGATGACGGAGAACCGCACGTGCAACAGCTTCTCGCTGCTGCCACAGAACCAGATGCGTGGAAAAAGCTAGTTGAGGAAGATGGTGATGGAAACCCAATCGTCGGCTGTCCGATACAATATAGTCCCCGTGACATAGAGAGACAAACCGAGGAGTATACGAAATGGCAACGGGACGTGGAGAGGAAAGCAAAGGTGCTTGAGGAAATTGGAGTCTACAGCGGGTGGAACGGAGCCGTTTCGCCGGGAGACTATGATGAAGTTGTGAGGCGCCTGGATCGTGCCAAGAAGAGGTTTTTAGATCGCGAATCAAGAAACCCTGAGGAACGAGTATTATGGGAAAAAGCGTGGCCCTTTGAGGATAAAGAAAGCTCATAGTTATCTCCTAGTATGTCAACCACCAACAATGGCCTTCCCGCCCGAAATATCCGCCGGACATCAAAGATAACTAGAGATTGTCGAATAAGTCATTCTAGATCCAGCACACGCCCTAGTGCTGCGTAGATCACAGACTAGATGTAGATAAAAGACTGGTCGTCCTTATTGATCGACAGCATACAGGGGATTTCTGGCTCATTGGCATCGCATTTCAGGAAAGTGAACATAGACGGTCGTGAGTCGGCCCTGTTATCTCCGTCCCAATTTCCCATAAAAAGACGAAAGCGTAAAACTTATTCTACAAAGCTCAGTTTACTTGCCAGCTAATGATCGGGATATCTTCTCTGAGTTGCTTGATTGGATGTATCACGCTGAGATTTCCAGTGAATTGGCTGCTTGTACTAAATTACCCATATTGCTTCAGCTCTGGGTTTCTACCGGAAAATTTGAAATTCTGGGCCTCCAAAATGCAGCAATAAAGGTTTGCAGGCTCACAATGGATACAACTGCGGTGTGGGTTTTTGAGTGCGACAATATCCGATATGTCTACTTGTGGTCGGTAACCGGGTACAAAACGGAACCAAATCACGCCCACGCACCCGCTAGAAGGAACTATTCCATCAATCTCTTGAAGATCTTTGCCGCTCCTTGACTGCGGATAGGGAGAGCAGAATGGATGTGGTTGGACGCATGAACTTTGCGGAACGCTACTCTGTGGTTACATCTTAAGGGGGAGATAAACAAAGAGAGCATTTATGCACAATAAAGCAACAATAGCTCCTATTGTACATGGTACAAGATGACCCTTCGCCGAGTAAATGCCGGGTGGGAGGATGTATGGGATGCCATGGGTCATCGTCGGGCTTTGTCGCGGCCTTGGTGGTAATTCGAAGGTGACCAACAACCCAGAGCAAGATGAACAAACACATCATTATTACTCACTTCCAGCGTAAATGGCATGACACTGGGAAGGATGATACCTGAGCAAGTGGCTATTAAGCAGAATGTCAATTAAAAAATGTAGGCCGGGCATCTCATCGCCCACGTTCGCGCTCACATTTACCTATTGACCGTGTCGTCTCCCTTATACTACAAATATGACACCTCAGCAGTTTTGGTTCAATACAAGATGAATCCAAAACACTCAAATACTGTAGATGTTGCTCGGTCTATTTAATTTCCTATGATTTTGCCGATGACTTGACGCAAAACCCTGTCACGACCTTCGCCAGCTTAGCATGCTCTTACGACGCGACGATATAGATATTAATTTGAGCGACATTGAAGACCAAACACCTTTTATTTCGTAGTCGATTACGGGAACAAGGATATTGTAAAGATGCTTCCTGATGACGCACGCTTAGACCCGAATCTGGGTGAGAAGTTCTCACCTTTAGCACTTGCTGCAGGCGGAAAATCACTGGAGCTACTAGAGATGCTACTGCGGGACAAGCGCTTGATTGTGAACATCCAAACATACCATCGCATGCATCCATTAATCGTGGCGGTTTTCGGGACACGTGAGGAAAGCGCCTTTCGGCTGCTACATACCCCTAACATCGACGTTAATTGTTGTTTGGCTGCTATGAGTGCACTTGTGTGGACGATCCCATTCAAGCAAACCACGATTGCAGCCGAGCTCCTGAAATGCGACCTGATTGACGTAAATCGCCAAGATGATTCTAGTCGAACACCACTAATGGTCACTATCCAATTTGAAAACAATGAATTATTTACGACCTTGTTGAACAGGGAAGAAATTGATCTCAGCCTTGAAAGTAGTAGTGGTAAGAGTGCGTTAGACTATGCAATAGAGTCAAAGAGCCCGAGGATGGTGAAGGATATCAGAGAAAGACTGTCACTCACGAGTTAACCGTGTATCCAATGCATGTAAACTTGAGATGCAATGACTATATTCGATCATCTAGGACTGTACCTATTATAACTATACGTCATTTGCATGACATGACACAAGTTACAGGAAGGTTTATACCATGAAGACGGGTTAATGGAGCAACTGGGCAACAGCGCCCTTCCACTCGCGACCTGAATTTATCCGAATACTGGTCCGATACGTCCTCCAGAATCTCAAGGACTGAGCAAAACGGCCAACTGAGGAAAAAGTGCAGGTGGGATTTTAGATGCCGTATCGATCATCCAGTCATCCTGAACCACTAGCTAGCCCTTATCAAATGTAGGCTCCACGGTTTCAGCGGGCCTTGAGTATCGGCTTCTTGCTCAGTATCTATGTTTACTATGCTTGCTAGCCGCGTAGTTGTACCGCAAGTGGGCGACTGTACGCGAGCTCGGATCAGGTTGAACCGTTGTTGGGATCGTGACCAGGGTGGACAACTCATACATTCCTGCATTTGATGCATATAATTTGTCTTGCATATGTTAATGTGAAGACCTGCGGGCTTGCGCGTCTGGGTAGGAGGGAAGAACCCAAATGTGTGCCTCCCATGTTAGCAAGTCTCTTTCGAAGAACTTATAGAAAAGATAAAAGAAGCATTGATACTTAATGGTTTCATTTTCTGGTGATATTCGCGACTTTTCTCGTTCCTTGGCCTAGGATTTCGGTGGATCTCAGCCGGTCGCCGATTTAGGCAGTGAGGTGGTGAATGGTCCGTTTAACGGCAAGAACCTACAGGCTCGACAAAACAGCAGTCTACCCAACCATTCCAGCTTGGTTAGTCAGTCTTCCCGTACCCTGTTTGGCCTTTCCAACCACGAACCCAGGTCATGTACCGCCCGTACCGTTGGCCAGTTTTGCCATTGCTAGAACTGGAGTGCTGGGCCTGACATGCGGTCCTAAGAATCCGTGATTAGGTGGCCTGGAAACGAATGTTGTTTACTGTCGGGTTAGGTTGGGGGTTAAGGGTCGGCGTTAGTGAATCCAGTCGAATTAGTGTTGCTTCTTTTTTTTTTTTTTCTTGCGCGCAAAAAGGCAGGCGTTCATATTCATAAGAACGTTACTGTAAGGAAGCTAGGCCTGCAAGGTAGGCTTCGGGAAAGCTATGCATGAGACGTGCGATTAGATCTCGCAAAATCGCGCATTGGATTTCGACTCTTGGCACAAACCCCGCCAAGAAAAGTAAATAATGGTAAAATATACACATACAACACGCCTGCACTGAAGAGGTTGCCTTCCTGGTATTGGACTCGTCACACACAAAAGCAGGAATACTGGTTCCGGGCTGATCTACGGACCACATCTTCCATTTGCGGTAGATATCCGAATGGGTAGTTGGTATCACGTGAGGCATTCTGGTATGAGCTTCCAAAAGGCCGTGTACGGGTTCATACACAGCGTCACTCAAGACGGTGGTGGGATATACGTTCTTTCGTCTCCTTGAGAAAGTGATGGTAATGGAGAAAGCCGAATATATCCTGGAGAGCCTTCTGGTTGCCTCGGGTGTAATCGATAATCAACGGATAGAGGAAAGGGAGAGATGGTTTCTCATGGACAGTGGTCCTATAGCGCCTATAATTTCCTTCACTATTGACAAAGTCAAAGAGGTGGTTGATAGGGTCTGGCCGCTGACCAGCCAGTGACAAACCACTTAGGACGGCGGTAAGGGCGAAGAAATTGCGCAGATTGTAAAGGTCCTATGACAAGTTATTAATAAGAAGTGCCGTGTTACGGGGACCGGCCTTTATTCACCAGTACTAAAGACTGCAGTGCACCACCTTACCCCTTCACGCAGCTTCGTAATTGCTGCAGTTTCTGCTTCCCGTAGATGTATTTAAGGCATTCAAGAGAAGAGCGTAGAGCGGTGATCCAGTGAGGCTGGAAAAAAAGACAACATGTGTCCTGTCCAGTGGTCTGAGGAAGAGACCGTTGTTGCGATTGTGCTCAGCATGTGGGGAGTTCGTCCCGATACCATCGCTACATTATTGACTAGAAAGAGTGCCTCTATAAGGGGGTTCCTCAGTGACTCGTCTGGACCAACAAATTACAGGCGCACATCAGGTGCTGTTTGGAACCGGCTCCAAAGATATCGCGATAATCACAAGGATCTCTGGAATCCTGATCTGGGTGAATGGAACAGCACTGCTGTATGCCAGTTCTTCTTACGATCCGACCTCGATAAGGATCTTATTATCCAGTTTCTCTCTTGGACAGACGGTGATGTTGAGTTCATGGTGAAGGTATTTTTTTGGCTAATTTTCCTGAACACTCTTTGGATTCTCATCGATCAATAGTGCGCCGAAATTGATCATCTGCGACCGATTGAGTCATATCATGAGCTCAGGGAAACTCTTCAGGTCTGTATACTAGATTGGAGCCCTGTTGGTGATACTTGAGAGACTTATTAATCATAGGCCCTGGGCATTGACCACTTAAGCGACACGTTGTCGGTGGCATTGGGTTTAGAGACTAGTCATCCCTAGACGCCCTCCCATATTGCATCTTAGGCGACATTCCACTACTACCTGCATATTTGATATATGTATTAGCGGACATGTTTGCGTTTTATTTGTATCTATACGTTTATCGCTTCACTGGTGGATAATTGTGTGCGATTTTATCATAAACCAGGTAACGCATTTATAGGGCTATGATCCAATAAAATGCATTCAATGGCCTTATAGCGTTGAGTCATTGGGCCTACTCTTCCAACCGGTCTGTTTCAATTTGCCAAAATTTCCCAAGTTCACACATCAATACACGTACTTTCACCCAGCGGGTTCTTACACGAGACATCTAGCTCCACTGTATAAAACAAGCCCACAGGCGGCTAAACGCAATACGTTGATCGGGTAGGTGCGGTTAGACCTCGGCAGAACCTCAAAACGGGTGAGCAGGTTGGAACCTCCACCCGCCTGAGGTTCCGTAGGCCAGAACCTCCACCCGACCCTCAAGGCCTTCCATCATCAATGGAACCTCTGAGGTTCACCCTCAATGGACCCTTGCTCACCCGCCAAGACTAATTTTGTGCATAATTCACCCTAATAGGATGCATAACCATCGTTGACTCATCCTCCAAAATACTGTTATTTACAGATGTTTTAGTCCTGTCCTACGTATCCAACATTTTCCACGACACCATCGGCAAAATCTAATGAAATCATATGGTATTCTATTATCTTCGTTGTGGAATTATTCATTTGTGTAGTTTTGCAGGATTTTAGTCTGGTCATGGTGGCCTGGGAGAGACCCAAGTATAGATTTGGTGTATGGCTGAAGAAATATAAGGTGGAAATATATAATCGAAGGTGAAGCTTTGTTCATGTAGTTTGCGCTTACAAAATATCCTCACATCTTGCTGAATATTGAATAAATCAGGCTAGGATTTGCTTCTCTTACGCCTAGTATACTTGTTTTAAACCATTGATTCTTAAAATCTCGGTACGGCCCTTGATATCATTGTGAATGAGGGCGCTTGATGACCACAGGCATCTAACTGAAACGGGTGACCCTGAGGGTGAACCTCAATAATCGAGGGTGTCGAGGTTCTGTTTGAGGGTTACCCGCATACATGGACCAATTACAACTACACATGTGGGTGCACTTGTGATCTATCAACATTTCATGAATGCCCCCCTCTTTAACTGCTGACTTCTGTCCCAGATCTCGCAAAATTCTTCTGTAAGCCCCAATCTCTTCTCAGGTGTAGCCATCGCTGTCTTGCCATGGCGAGTCAAGGCCAGGCTTCCGATACTTATCCCTTTTCGGTCCCTGATGGGGATCAAATAGAGTATCCTCCCTTTAACTTCTCTCAAGACGTATAAGGATTATATACGCCCGATCCTTCCTGTAATCAACAAACGACCTTCTCTTCATCTGATCCTAATTTCACTCATTCTGGACCCTTACTACTAATCCCCGAAATCCTAGAGCGTGTGGGTCCCGACCGGACTAAAGCATATGTTCTGTATTCGGAGATGTCTAAGGACGCGTTTGTTGCCTGGTGGCTTGAGACGGACTTTGGCAAGAAGAAGTGTATCCACTGGGATGGCAGGCACCATGCAAAGTGCTGGGAGCAATTCGAACAAGTCGCCCACGGGAAGACAGGGAAGCCGGGGGTCATGTGTACCCACTGTTGCGCCGTCCTTGATCATCCTGCATCTGGCCACACTGGAACATCCTCAATGAACAAGCATATAAATGGGCCAGGTTGTCGAAAGTCCCCAGGCAAGAAGACCAACATTCTAGCCTCAATGCAGCGTGCGGTATGTGGGATGATCCTCTCGAATAATGTGCGGAAACTCACCCCCTTTTACATTAATAGGCACACAAAGCCTCTAAGAAGTCTGAGGTCGTCTTCACCCAAGAAGTATGGGAGCACAAGTTGCTTAAATTTCTTCACTATATCACAACTTCCTTTCCAGCTTATTGAGCGTCCTGAATTTCACGACATTATTAATTTTGCTCGACTTGCCCCATCACCACCCCACTTTCCTTCGTCGAAGACGGTTCGACGGCGACTACGAGACTTTGTTGAGGAGCAGCAACAAACATTACTTCAGAAACTACCTCCAAGGGCAAAGCTATCAATTGCATTAGACTGTTGGACCTCACCGTTCCAACAGGCGTTTATAGCCGTGACGGGCTACTTTCTTGACCAGGAATGGGAATATCATGAGATCCTGCTTGGGTTTATGCCGCTCCATGGGGCCCACTCTGGCGTGAATCTGGCCTCACTTCTCTTTGAGGTACTCCAACAACACCAGATCGCTCACCGGGTCCTGGCAATCACCACGGACAATGCATCGAACAACAACACCTTGATGTCAAGCATCCAGGAATCAGTCCAGTCACTGGGGCTTGATAACGCTGCTATTATTCGAATTCCATGCATTGCGCATATTATTCAGCTTAGCCTGAACGACCTGCTAGGGCTGATGAAAGCAAATCCAAAGAACGAGACCATACAGATAGACTGGTCCGATACATGCAGCGCTTTCCTTGATCTTCAACACCAAAACACAGCCATTGCTGATACCCTGAATAAGGTAAAAAATGGTTTCCTATAGGAATATCCGTTTGCTAACTTCTTTATGAGATTCGAAAATTAGCTATCTTTATTAACGCAAGCCCTCAGCGCAGGGAAACATTCTGCAGCCTCCAAACCAAAGAGCCAAAGCTGATGCCAATCCAGGATGTTAAAACTCGCTGGAACTCAACATTTTTGATGCTTCAGCGGGCAAAACGACTGCAGTCAACATATAATGCGTTCTGCTCAGAGTCGCAGTATGCTCTCCCTCACTTCACGCTCTGTCACGAAGAATGGCGGCAAATCGAGTACCTTCTCTGCATCACCCAGCCCTTTTTCAGGTTCACTACCCTTCTATCTCAGACGAGAGATGTCAGCATCCACCTAGTCTTTAGTATCTATAATAAGCTGTTTGATCATCTTGAAAAGTCAATGGATGCTCTTCGGCGAAAGAGAGTTCCGTGGAAACAGCTGGTACTAAAGGCCCTTGAAGCAGCGAAGTCCAAGCTTTCACATTATTATGCTATGACTGATGATATCCCCATGATCTCTACGCCATTGGTACTATCATCGCACCCCAGAATAAGCTGAAGTTCTTTTCAACCAAAGAATGGGAAGATCCGGATCAAGACTGGCTAACACGCTATCGCAAGAGCCTCGAAGATTATCTGGAGCCCTACAAAAACGATTTATCGAGCATCCAGTCACGATCAAAGGCAGATGAATCTGCTATTGCGCTCTCGGAACTTGGAGTGAGCTGTATGCCAGCAGGTTCCCAGCCATCATTGTCTGACCAGCGCGATGAGCTTGTACAGTACCTTGAGAGCGGTGTGTACTACCGCACCTTATCACCTGACGACCGGCCCCACCTGACGAGCGTTTTCCGCCTCAGCGGCCAAATAGGAATTGAAGCCATACAACCACATGTAATTCAAATTAGATAGAATTTTTTGAGGAGTAAAATACACATAGAAATGAAGCTGTACAGGCCTTTTTTTTAATCGCGAAAGCGCTGTGGGAGGCGGATTTGCCTACCTCTGCGATTAAGCGTTGGAGGTGCCTGATCAACAACCTCAACGCCTACAGGAGCGATATCAATCGATTTTTTCGCTTTCGAAGTGCTAGGGGGCCTGTTTTTGCCTCGCTGAGCCGAACTGAAGTCATTTTGAAGCTGTATATCCGCTTGTTTAGCGAGCTGATCATCCTGCTTTCTCTGCTTTTTTGCCTCTGCCTCACGGAGCCGTAATTCTCGATTTAAAGCACGGATTCGCTTATTTTCTTCGATTAAAAGCCTTTTCTCCTCTTTCTCCCGCTGCTTAAGAAGCCTTTCCTCTTCTTTTGAAGCTTTAGCGAGCTGCATAGCTTTATCTTTGTCTGTTTGAAGATCACGAGCTTGCTGGATCTTCTTAGGAGAGTAAAACACTGCGTAGCCATTCTCAGGAGCTTGTAATTCGAATAAAAGAGGCTTTCCTCGCTGACGCTTCTTCTTCTCTTGAATAAGCGCCTCTTCAAGACCTTGGCAGCGTAGTTTCAAAATAATATTCTCTGTAGAGAGAGCATGCATCGTAGAATTCAGCTTTTTGGCCTTTTGGTCATATAAATCAGTGACAGCGTCTTTAAGAAGCCTCTCAATCTTTCTCCAATTCTCTGCATCTAGTGCTGAGCGAGATGAGCCACTAGATGAAGGCCGGCTATCGTCCTTTCGGTTGAATCGTGATAAAACGATCTCAGGATCTAGAGGCCAAATGCCTACTTGTTTCCATGAAGAATCGATATTTTTAGGCGATAAAGCCTTCTCCCATGACGGCCAAAACAGATGAAAAAAGTCTCTTTTTGTGATATGACAAAGTCCTTGAGATTGAGCAAGAAATCGCTCTAATTCTGTACTGTATACTGTAGAGAGAGGCCCAAAGATTCCAACGTCAAGCGGCTGCAGCGAATGCGTAGAATGGGGCGGATAGGTTATTAAAAGGATCTTATTTGCTTCGCAGTATTCAAAAAACTTCATATTGACGTGAGATCCGTGACTGTCGAGAATAAGAAGCCTCTAACGCCTTCTTGCCTTCTCTTTTGTCTCACGATCAAATACATCTCGTAACCAAGCGTATCCTAGCTTATCATTCGTCCATCCGGAAGGTGAAGATGCAAAAAAACAAATATGTAGGCCAGGGTTGAAATTCTGAAGCCACGTGTCTTGAAGCTTTGAAGAGGCGGCTTGGTATATAAGCCCTGGAGATAGTAAGGTCCCGTCTGCGTAAATATAGGCGATTGTAGTAATCCATTTGCGATTCCCATCTTGAAGCCGCTGCTTCAAGCCCTTTTTAAATGACTGCTTAGAGAAAATCCTCTTTGTCTTACTGAGTACTCCAATCATGAAGCCTTTCTCATCTATATTGTAGATATCTTCCTGCCGAATGTCGTATTCTTGCATTTTGCGAGTTAAAAGTTCGAAAT